TCATTCTTCTAACGTGAGGTTATTTTGGCGTGGACATTTGCGTTGACGTGATAAAGGCAGACTTGCTGCTGCGCGTCTGGAAACACGCGTTCTAACGCGTTTTTCAGTGCCTTTTCCTTGTCAGTTATGACAACAGAGGGCGGAGGGACCTGAAGTTGCTGCCGGAAGTCGTCCAAACGGTCACATAACCAATCGTAGCCTTCCTGACGCTCTGTTCCGATTAACCCAAAGGCGAAGTTTGCAACAGAGTTCTGATCCGTGACACCAGTGACCTGAAAAAGGTACATTTTAAACCTGTTCGTCTTGTATGTATTGTCTAGGCCGAGAACTTCCGGGAAACGCTTCCACATCGCTTCGCACCAAGGGTAAGTCCAGAAGACTGCCTTGACCTTGTGATCCTCGTCATAGCTAACGAAATGACGAAGGTTGTGCTGTTGCAGGAGATTAACCCACTGCTGCGTTGGGGTGAGGCCGCCGAGCTTCGATTTCCGGATCGTCTGACGGTCGTTATAGATATCTTTGGATCGAAAATAGGAAGCGCCTTCAGTCTGCGACCTTATAATCTCTCCCATCTCGCGGGCGGGGAGGGCCTTGTGCTCTGACAGCGACTTCTCGATCTCTTGTTGCTTTTCCGTACGGCGGCGATGGATACTATGTGCCGATGGATCAAGGGAAGCTTCATGATTGTGGCGGCCTTCTAGGACACGAAAAGTCCACTTCTAGTTGGCTTTCTTCGAGGCAGAAGCTGTGATTTTAAACGGGCAGTCGACTTTGCTTGTCGTTGCCTTTCTGACGCCCGAACTTTGAGAGGCTCGGCGAGCGCCGCGGTCACATAATATCAGATAGAAAGTCGGGATGACTGTGCCGTTGACGTTGACTTTATTGCTGGGCGACTTCTTGATGATTGCAGCGCCGTGATCACGATAATAGCTCTGCAACGAGTTGAAGAGCTCATCAAAGGAGTTATATTGTTGTGCCGGCGGCGGCAAAGGGATCTCTCGAGCTGGGGCTTCTGTGAGACTCGCGGCAGCTTCAACTTCGTCTTCAACTTCGTCTTCAACGCTCAGGATAGCTTCATTTGTGGCATTTTCCTCATGAACTTCATCCTCAGGGGCGTCAGCAGGCTGAGGGCTATCTTCAACGTCATATAGCCAGGCAGAATCATCATCAAGGCCGTTGAGGAAGTCTTCAAAGGATAGTGCCCGTTCCATCGTGATCCTAATAGGAATTTAAAGTCGCGATATCACGATATGAAGTTACGATGTTTATTTGCAACTAATTTTGTATATCCCAGTGCACTACACTGTATTTTGGTGGGCCGGCCTGGGCCCCACTGAACCTAGCTAGAAACGGCCTAGTCGGGTTGGAATACTGCCCGAATAGCAAAAATCTACTGCCCGAATAGCAATACTCTTTTTTTTTCCCATAAAGAATTCTATTCTCATAAAGCGCGTCCAAACTGCCAAGAGCTGCCAAGGACTTTTCCGTCATCCAAGGCAAGGGCAATGTCGATGGAAATATTGCCGGCGACACTGCCGGAACAGATGGCCAAGACGGCCCAGCCCGGCATCGTGTTTCTCCTTGGCAGAGCGCCGCGCTTCTTGGCTACACGTTTTCTTTGCCGAGCATCACCGCTTACTCTGCGCTAGCAATACGCGTTCGGGCAATTTGCCACACAGCGCTACGGAGATAAAGATTGCTTAGGCAAGCTTGGTGGTGCTAGCATCAAATATGGAGCGCCTAGCGCGTGCTAGAGCAGTGCCCTCGGCTGATGCTGGTGGGACCAGGGGCTTTGGCGCGCTATACGAGGGACTGGCGCGGCACTACTTTATCCGCATCAGAGAATTTTTTTTATGCATAGAAGCGTTCGAGAAGCTAAGCAGCAGCTTTTGCAGCAGCAATGTTTCCACACCACTCCATCCTGAGGTGGCAACGGGAGGCAAGAGTCAGGTCATGAAGTCCTTATCAGTGGGTGGGGGTCATCTTGATGCTTGCCGTACAATGCTAAGTTTGCTTGATAATGATTCATTATATACTAATACTACATAATACACTTGGTATCTACAACTACTCCATTAGAGAACTCCACCCTCGCACCCATCCATTAGTTAGCTCCTTCGTACTCGACCTCCTTTGCCGGAGGAACAGTTGGCTGTTCGCGGTCAAGCTCAAATGACTCATCTTCAATCTTGTCGTAGTGGTGGAAGAGGAAGAAGAAGATGATGGCAACGATGAAACTGGCGGCAGAAACACCAGTGTACATCCAGACGAACTCGGGGTCCTTGGAAACGGAGACAAGGGCCTCAGAGATGGCAGAGCCGAAGGCATTGGTGAAGAGGTACAGACTCTGGACGAAGGACTTCATGGTGGGAGGAGCCTTGGTGTAGGCGTACTCGAGACCAGTGACAGAAATGAAGATTTCGGCAAGACCGACAAAGACGTAAGCGGGCGCCTGAACAGCAATGTGCACGTTGTTGGGCAGGGTCTCGCCGTTCACTGTGGCAGCAGGGCAGTTGAGGGGATCCTTGTAGCAAGGGCCAGCATTGTAGATGAGGTGCTGGACGATGGCGGCATAGCCCAGGCAGAGAGAGGTAAAGATGAAACCCAGGGTGATTCGAGCAATGGGGCGAATGTTGATGCCAGCCTTGCGGAGCGTGGGGTAGACGAAAATGTCAAGGATGGGGGTGAAGATGAGAATGGAGATGGGATCGAAGTTCTGCATGAAATCGTTGGGCATGCCGTGGCCGTTCATCTGACCAGCCTGGGTGACGAAGTTGGTGGAGAACTGGCCATAACCAACCCAGAAGACGGGGTCTAGATATAAATTATTAGTCAAAGGTTTTCGTCACGAGAGACAGTAGTTGTCCAACAGAAAACTTACAGAAAACGAAGACCTTGCAAGCACGGATAGCACGCTTGAGCTCCTCAACGAAGTGGTCGTTCCAGTTAACCGGCTTTGTCTTGCCGTTGGCTTCACGCCATGAAGGCTTGGCAGCGTCCATGTTGCGAGACATGATCATCAAACCAATGGCCTTGAAAGCATCGGTGATGATGGAGCCCTGCGGCGGGTGGATGATGTATGACTTGCGGCGGATAACGAGAATGGCGATACTGAAGTTGAACATGATGAAGCACATGAGGAAGGCAGTCCAGAAGCCGCAGTACTTCTCCATGAAGGGGGTGGCGATCAGGGACAGAGAACCCAGGTTGATACACCAATAGAAGATCATGTAGATGCGCTGGTAGGTGATGGCAGGGTCAATGATGATTCGCTCGCCGTCCTTTTCGGTTCGGATGGCCATGGTTCGGCGTTGGTACTGATCGGCAATCAGGGGGGCGATGTTGGACTTGATACCACCCGTGCCGGCACCGATGATGATGATGGAGACAATGTAGCCAGGCAGACCGGCTCCGTGGGCAATAGAAACGGGCAGAGAGGTAGTCCAGAGGATAACAAGACCAACCCAGTAGACGCAGCAGAAGAGCATGATAGTCTTGTACTTGCCGAGATACTGATCAGAGATGATGGCACCGAGAATAGGAGTAACTGTGCACCAAAAAATGCCGAATTAGCCAACATTGCTCTTTGGGAAGCCAGTCACGCGACCAGCAGATAGGTAGGCAGAGCTAGTAATACATACCATAGCAGAACCATTGGAAGAACAGGTTCAGACCAGTGGCGGCCTGGCCACCCATGCCCAATCCAGGAGAGTCGGTGGTGATGTGAGGACCATTGCTGATGTAGTTCTGGAAAAGACCAGAGGCACCATAGTAGGTGAAACGCTCTGTCAGTTCGACAATGGCGATGAGGAAGGCCGAGGCGGGCAAGTTCTCGCCAATACGGCGCAGAGTCCGCTTCTCATACTCGCTGGGCTCCTCGCCGTCAGGAGTGGGACCGGCCTCAGCACCATCTGCTGAGAGAGTGGTGAAGTCCTTCTTCTCATCAGGGTCGGCGGCAATGAAGCCTCCGGCGAGATCGTGAGTCTCGCCGTGGTGAGTACGCTCGTTGAACTCCTCGTGGAGCCTGGTTGGGTGGGATATGTAAGCATATGGATTCGGCATAGAGAGGAGCGAGAAGAAAATTCTTCAGCTCCCTGTTCGAGACTTACTCAGCAGCGGTGTCTTCGTGGTTGTTGGCCATATTTGCGATCCGACTGTTGTCTAGTTACAGACCCAAGGCAAGTCCCTTCGAAAGACGACAAGACAAGCCAGGAAGTGAGCGAGGGAACAACAAGGGAGAAGAGGGAGGGAAAGGAAGAAGCGCATGCGGCGGGATGCTATGATTTAAAGAAATCAGGCTACGAAGGATAGCCCAGTCCACTCTCCATCGCCAGTCTCCATTGCAACGTTGTCCACCCAGCTTCTGCTATCAGGATGGGGGGCATGTGAGTTTGCCCCAGGAGCATTTGCACTAGCCACGCTGTGGTGGCCTCGCTTGTCGCCTCTTCCCCACGGGCCATCAGTTCCAGAAGTTACACCACGCGGCGAGCTCGCTCTCTTGGGTGTTGAGCCGATGGCATCGCTCGTCATAGAGAGAGCCGCGCTGGGCCGCGATTCGTACGCTGAGATCCGGTCCCTCGCTCGCTGGCGCCATCCACGGTACATTCCTGGCTGCGATGGCTGAGCTACGCCCCAAAGCAGCCGGCTGGTGGCCAGGGGGCCCCTGTTCTGGAACTTTTTGTCGTCGCTCTCACTCTCACGTTCTGAGATCGAGTCCACTTGGAAGGCCCGAAACGAATAGGAGCGCGCGACGGCGTCTGCCAAGAAAACATGGCAACTCCGTGGTGCGGTCGCTCCAAGCCACCGGCATGCGGCGTGCCGATTTGTAGCGGGTCGGCAAATCGACGCAGCGCAATTTGCTAGCCGCAGCTCTTGGTTCGTCGAGGCTGGAAATTGCCCGGACATGGACGCGCGCGCACGGCGAGGGCAAAATGTGGCTTGCCAAGGGGCCTTTTCGCCTCTGGGGCCTCATGCACCGAGGCCTGCGGATAGCGCAGGGGATTTCCTAGCGCCCCCGCCGGGCCAGCTGCTGGGGCGAATCAGGGCGAGGATGCGGCACCCAGATGCGCGTTTTTGGTATAAACTAGCCACGGGCTGAGGAGGAAGAAAAAGAAGCATGCGCAAAACTCAAACCCCAATAAGCGTATTCGCAGTGCCGCGGGCGTTGCATCTAGGCTGAAAAAAAAAGGAAGAAAAAAAAAATTTGCATGATTCGTGCCTGAGGAGACGATCACGTGTTTGCTGCCACATACCTGCTGCTACGGGTAGGAGCAACGGCTGCTGCAGCATGGCGCCCGTTGCTGGTAGCATCGCCAAATGCTACGTAGAGCCCATACTACTGTTACTACTACTACTGTATAGGTAAATGGGCACATCGCCAAGACGCTTTGCCAGAGAGGGCGCGCGCGCAGTTGATCGATCATGACACATCACAGACGCGCAAGAAACCACCAGCTAGGCCGTTCAGGGCCGCAGCAGTTCCCGTTCTGAGCATGGCTCGACGGGGATTAATTAAACCAGGCCCGGGCGCACTCCAAACATGATTACTGCATGGCTGCAGCAGCATAACTGCGTCGAAATGAAGCTTAAGATAAGGACGTGCCCAATGTCCGGAATACGACTCTGTCGCAGAGCAGCATTGAGACGGCTGATGGCGCGCCTCGACGCTCTAACGCTCTAACGCCGTAACGCCGCAGACCGCCAAAGCACCGAGTCATTCATCCGTCGGGGGGCATCGGGCGGCGGTTGCCTGAGCAAGTATTCGGTACCCGGTGTCTCCCGTCCTTTTGGCACGCATCCGTGTATTGCATACAGCTCCAGGCCGTCTGCCAGGTTTCTCAGCCTCTCGCACTGATATGTGACGGTGGCCTTCTTCACCATCCAGCCGCACCACCGCCCACCATTAATCGCTCAAACAGCAGGTGCTAGCACGAGCACTACTGGTGATGCTAATAATACTCCTCTCGTGCTGGCCTGCCTGGGTGCGGATTAGTGCCAGGCACCACCGTTGCATGCAGAATCGAGTGGTAGCACTTCGCGTGTACATGGCCATATATCACTGCTCATATGCGTATGATCAGCCTTCTGGACTCTTCCCCAAGCATTGGCAGCAAAAGACCCTTGGTTGGTGGAAGGCTATATCTGCTAGTAGTGGCTGATCGTCACTAAATCGTCTCGTATTCAGCGTATATGTAGCATCAATGACTGCACTCTGTCATGGTTGGCCTCGACGGCTAATCGGCGCTCTCGGGAACAAGGGGCTGCGGAGAGCTTGGGGAACTTTTTGTTTTTCTCCTCTATCTGTGCGCAACCTTCATCACGGCCTCCACATGCGTGCGAGATAATGCGGAGGGCTGGAATTAAGGGTTCTGGGGTTGAATTGTATTATGTACGAGAAACTGTGGAAAACCACGGTTGATGATCTGATGGTGTGGCATTGGCCAGTCCGCGCAGAGTTTTGTGGGACGGTGACATGGCCCGATGCCAGCGAAGAAAACGCAGCTGATTAAGCCAGATCCAGTAAGGCTGCGCAAATGGCATGAACATGAGCACCTGCATATATGAGGCTGCCTCCTATTGCTGTACACCGGGGCCATCTCATTTAAACGAGGTCACATCGGTTGGCCGCGATGATCTGGATGATTCGGTGGTATCCTGTTTGAGCAAAGTCCCCTTGTTTCATCGAATCGAAGCCATCTAGGCTGAAGAAAATCATGCGGTTGGATCAGGCGTATCTCACTTAGAACAGATTTGCTAAAATTAACCGAGACCACCTAGAAGAATGAGGGTCGGCTAGTTTGACCCGAGCTGTTCAGCTTGAACAAAGCCGTCTTGCTTACCTGAGACGGTTGGGATTGACCAGTATTACTTGGTGCGGACAAGCCGCTAGGATGGGTCCAAACTGCCTACTTGCATCTAAATCATCCTACCAGGAGCAAGAGAATGAAGCTGTAAACTCGGCGTGAAACTCAAGACTCAAACATCAAACACACTCTGAAGTGGCTTGCTCTCTAGCTCACTATGCTACACCAAAAACACGCATTAAACTGGACTTCCGCCATAGCCAAATCATTTCATAAAAGAGAACGCGCGTTGATAATTTCTACTATTTCTTGATTTATTGACAAACCCCTGTTGCTTTAGGCTTAGATGAGAAACATGGGGCTTGATGGCATAGGTGAGAGGCGTTATAACTTTCCACCTTTCGTAGACGTCGCAGCAAGTAAGTAACTGTACTTTTGCACTTGCTGCAAAAGCCAGCTTATAGCTGTGTGGCTGCATACTTAGTGGCTACCGGCAAGAGAGTCTAAAGTCTCTCTAGGATTAGTTTTGATGCCGTCCTTGCTTGGTGAAAATAGGTTGACCTTGATTTTGATTTTAGCCCTGGCCCCTTATTCCCCCTCGGATGCCATGCTGCACCCGTTTTCTTTTAGTGGAGCTCAACCTCTGACTCAAGCTTTGGACGGCTGTCGACTGCGTTTACATCGACTTCGACGCTAGCAAGGTAGAAACCATTTAGTTGAATCAAGGTCAACTTGTCAGCTCAAGGTCAACCAGAGCTCTTTCGAGCGCTTCTAGAGATTGCTGGTATGTAGACGCTGCGAGGAAGAGGGAGATAGACCACCCCCGACTTTAGCCTTTGCTGCTCACCCTCGAATCGTCTCCGCGTATGACTTTACCGCAAGAGATCCCCCCTCGCGGCTTCATTGCGTAGTGATCTGGATAAATTTTAGCGTCTTTCACTGCGCAAATGCGATCGAAACCTCTTTGCTCAAGAAATTTGGGTTAATTGTTCGCAAAAGAGCATAATACTACCAGATGATCATCAGGCAGTGGGGGCCGTGCAATTAGACGTCATGGAAGCACTCTAATGTTCTCTAGTTCACAGACACTAAATTGATCTGCTTGCTATGCGGGTTGCATAAAAGCATGCAGGTGATTATCATTGAATAAAGCCTCCTAGCACATGAAAATACTGCGGAGGACGGCCGCTCCGTTTACTTCAATAGGCCAGTTGCTAAACACTGCACTACTTAAGACCGAATATCAGCTGTTAAGTTCGTTTGAGACCAAGAGAACCACAGAGTCTCGATCAAAGCATCAATCGCGGTTTCTATATTGTGTGTTATTCCTCTTACCCTAGCGAGCTTGCTTGGCCAATATTGCAACCTTAATAGACACTTGCCACTTACATTGCTGCCACGGAATAAAAGGTCCAACATGACTATGGTACGAGATTCACTCCACGAAAGGAAAAGGATGACATGATATACTCTAGTATAGAGTCTCGACGGCTACGACCGAAAGGAAAAGCAAGTGAAGGAGGGTGCAGGTGGAAGCCATAGCGGAGGATGGCCACATAACCCGCTCTATCTCATAGTGAGGGGCCTGATTTACCCATTCTGCTCACAGCATATTTTCAACTAATGTCACCGAACGAAAATGGGAGGCAACGCGTTTTAAAGGAATCAACGTGGTGTTATCTGGCAATGCTCGTCATGCATTAGCGACGATATCATCATTTAAAGTCTGCTCTGCGGGACGGCAGGGTGTATCAGCCGCTAATATCGCAGTAGCAAAGTAGAAAATGAAGTCTGGCGAAAGGAAACTTCCAACATGTTCCAGACTACAGTGGTAATGTATTTCTGGACCACGGCTCGGCTCCAGCTGCACAAAGTCTTTGGCTGTCCACATCTGCTCAAGCACTTGTGTCTCCGGTTCTGGTATTACGGCATCTAAGCATGTCTACGACGAGGACTGCGCTTCGGCCAATGATAATGTAACGTTTCTTCAAAAGCAATTGCTTGTATATTTATACCCAATAAGTCATAAAACAGTTCTCATCCCGGCCCGTGGATTGACCTCGTCAACTCGTATTTGGAGGAAACGGAGCAATCCCATCTTGGCATACTTACGGCATAGCCATTATGTTATTTATGGGATGATAGAATCTACAGTGTCGCTAATCTAGAAATTTAGAAAAGTCCAAAGGGCGACCTCAGCAGTGTAAGGGACAAGGAAGGATATACCGATTAGGTGGACCTCACATTTCCTCAAGATATACTGAGATATTTGAGCTCAGCCCAGTTGTATTAGAATATAGGGAGATATAATGATACTCCTCCGCAGGGGTATCGACTCAGCAAACTTCTAGACCAAAGTAGGCAAGATCTGTGCCAGGAATATGGAGATGCTTTATAACTCTCCACCTCCGTACCTAATGAGGGATGCTGGCACCACTCGGCAGTGGCTATCATCAGTACCCACTCCAGCGGCTACCAATTTCAGCAAACGCAGCAGATTGAAAGGAGCATGCTATGTTGCGATGTCTCAGCTGTCATGTCACCTCCGTATTGTGCTTTTAGCCCGGCGGATCAACTGCAAACAATAGCCGGGACTGAATCGAGACCCACTCGTCAAAGCCGAATGTTTCAACCAATCATTTCATCAGAAGCTCCGATTCGCCACCCCCAGACCAAAAGCGACTCCACTAAAACCCGCTTTCCGCTAGACTAGCCGAGATTTTTGCCTAAATGGGATAATTGGTGCCTCGATGTCAACTTAAAAATAGCAATGGACAAGATGATTTAATGGACAGATGCTGCTGCCAGCAATTATAAATAGGGCTGCAGCTTTGAGAACGAGGGTACCTGGGCTGGCAACTTTCTCTAAGGTATATTAACTAGTATCTTGACTTCTCTCGAGCAGATCTGTACAGGATGCTGGCATAGCAGCTCGACAACGCCCTAGTTGGCGGCTGTTTTCTCTATTACCGTGCCTATAGGGCTTTAGCGGCTAAAGCAGCGTAAAATAGGTGCCACAAGCCTATGCATCATGAATGTCTTTTATGTGCAACTTGCAGCCGCTGCTATTGGTCCATAAAGTATACATCGACTTATTGCGAAGCCAGCTAGCCTTATACAGCTCGGAAGGGTTCTTCCGTCACCCCAATGGTCTGATTCTCGCTGTATTAACACCTTCCTCTTTAAATTTTCCAGAGATGTTGTTTATGTCTGGGGAAGGCTGTGAATACGACGACTTGGACCTGACCTAGATCTGACACGGAAGATGGGTGACCGAGCCCTAAACAGGTAAGTTTCCCCTGTGTTAATACAGTGCCTGATCTTGATCTCAAGTAGAGAATATGGAAGATGTCAAGTGGCGTATATTGATGACATCCTATTACCACTCAGCATTAGCCCAGAATTGATTCGGAAGATGGTAGCCGAGCTCTTATAGGTAACGCCTATCTGTGTTAATATGATACTCTCGCTAACTACTAAAGCAAACCATATGAAAAGTATCTACGATTCCTCCATTTCTCCACTATTTTGTATATCGTCAAATGCAATGTTTGTACTCAATATGGCCATTATATAAAGGGAGTCAGCTCCCTCAATATTGGCCATTATACTCTCGAGTACATCGTTAGCGACTGTCTAATGTCCATTTTTTCAGCATGAAGTTTTTTAAGAGCCAGGCCCTAGCCTTGTTGGCTGCAACTTCGGTAGTAGCCACACCATTGCAATCCGTTTCACCACGCGCCAGCAGCTATGTGACGGTATCAGGCCTCCAATTCAACATCGACGGTAAAACAGGTTACTTTGCAGGCACCAACTGCTACTGGTGTTCATTTCTAACCAACCATGCCGATGTTGATCTAACTTTTAGCCACATGGCTTCTGCTGGCCTTAAAATTGTTCGCATATGGGGTTTCAATGATGTTAACCAACAGCCTGGCAGCGGAACCATCTGGTTTCAGTTGTTATCAGCATCAGGTTCTACGATTAACACCGGTGCCACTGGACTGGGAAATCTGGACTATGTCGTCCAGTCGGCTGAGACACACGGTCTTAAGCTCATTATTAACTTTGTTAACAACTGGAGTGATTATGGAGGAATCAACGCCTATGTAAACGCTTTTGGTGGTAATGCGACTTCCTGGTATACTAATACAGCGGCCCAAGCTCAATACCGCAAGTATATCCAAGCAGTGGTTAGTCGCTATACCACCTCGACTGCTATTTTCGCTTGGGAATTGGCCAATGAGCCTCGCTGCAACGGATGTAGCACCAGTGTTATCTGGAATTGGGCGTCGAGCGTCTCTCAGTACATCAAGAGCCTTGATCCAAACCATCTTGTAACTCTTGGGGACGAAGGACTGGGCCTCGCCACGGGATCAGATGGTTCTTACCCATATACCTACGGCGAAGGCACGGACTTTGCTAGCTATATGAACATCACTACGCTTGACTTTAGCACTCTTCATCTTTATCCAAATTCTTGTAAGTTTTTCTCACAAGGAGATACACACACACACGCACAGAGAGAGAGAGAGAGAAGGCTAGTACTAATTCTATTTCCAGGGGGTGAAACCTACGATTGGGGAAATGGCTGGATTCAAACTCATGCTCAAGCGTGCGTAGCATCAGGCAAGCCATGCATGTTGGAAGAATGTAAGTTATTCTGTACCCTTTTTTGCAGTTATTTAGACAGCAAAGAACATGGAGATATGAATTACTGGCTAATTCAATACTTGATGGCTAGACGGCGCGCCAACCAACCACTGTGCTATTGAGTCTCCGTGGCAACAGACTGCTCTGGCGAGTAAAGGCATGGCCGCCGATCTATTCTGGCAGTGGGGTGATACCCTTTCGAATGGTCAGTCATCTGATGATGGAAATACCGTCTACTATGGCACATCGGATTTCACATGCTTGGTTACAAACCATGTCGCGGCCATTAATGGTGGGACTCCACCTCCTCCAGCCTCAAGTACGACTACGAGCAAGGCCACGAGCACATCAAAGCCCCCCTCTGGTCCCACTGGCAGCTGCTCACCTCTGTACGGACAATGCGGCGGCACAGGTTGGGGCGGTGCTACATGCTGTTCATCTGGCACCTGCACGTATTCGAATCCGTACTACTCTCAGTGTGTGCCCAGCTAAATATTGTTTATCAAATCTGGGATGAGAGACAAGTGAATGGAAGGGGCTAGGTACAAAATGAAATTTATGAGAATTTCCGACTTTTGTTTCTATTCAATATTGAACTTTAACAAACAGTAAGAGTGAGAGAAGTGATATGGCATAGCGTGATCTATTCTGTCAAGAGTCCAATATGAATGCTTAGTTGAAGAAAGCATTAAAATTACAAAAATGTTTCTCTGGTGTCCTCATTGAGCGCTTGAGAAATGCCCTGGCAGTAGCTAACGCATAACTATTAAATGGTTGATCTTGCAGAGAATATAAAGTGCATCACAATGAAATGGCATCGTCTAGAATGTATATATATCATAGGAAATACCTATCATATTATATGTAGCCGGAAAGTAGGCAAAATTCTTCTTTATAGTCAGCCAAAAGAATTTTCTGGCATTTAGAACCAATCCTTTCTCCCTTCCTTTCTGGATTCTTAACCAGAGTTGTTTACTAAAGTCGTTTCTCCGGTGTTGTATAGCTGATCCAATCATTATGCTAGTGTTGGAATTATAACATCGAGTATGATCCTGTGTTAGGCATCCTCATTATCACTATTCTTCCACAGTGAGAGCCTAGGGCAATAACTGTGTCCGTTAATGATAGTTGTGATGACGTAGAAGGCGACAGAGGCCATACAATGGGATGCGAAGACCGGTATTCCGGTGGGAGACCTATGCGCCCATGTGGATGAAGGGAGCCCAATCTAGAACGCGCTCCGGGTTCCGCTGCCTCAATCTCCTCACAGCCTGATCCAGTGCCTCTGGAGCTGGCAATCCGGCATCCCCGTCACCCGCTGCGAAAAGCGTACGATAGAATTCCGCCGCAACCTCTTGGCAACAACGGTCCTTTGTCTGCCACAGCGTACCAACCACATGCTTAAACCCCACAAGCTGAAACGCGCTCGATATGTGGATTGACTCGTCTGCAAGAGTGTTGGCTCGGTTCTCGGCTGCTGAGCAGACAGACAGGTAAGCCAGCTCAGCCGATGAGGCTCTACATGCGCTTATCTCTTGGACAGCGAGTCTACCTGCTGCGAGACGAGTGGTCACTATCGAGTCCGGCCACTTAGAGCCACGGGTATGGGAAGGTACCGCTTCAGGGTCCGGCATGAGAACGAGGTGGCTGCTGTTGAGGTCTGTGGCTTGTGCCACGGCGTGGCAAGCGAAGTGCACAACGTGCGCCAACGGCAGCTCCTGTAGCACCGAGCGTGGTTCCGGGGCTTTGAGCTGGACCACCGTTGCGTGCGGCTTGGATACCGATGCAATCGCGGCAACCTCGTGATCAACTGCAGGAAGAGATTTTGCACCTGGAGCATCAGGAACCGATACCAGGAGAATACGTTTGTTCTTGTTTGGATTGTCGACTTCTTCGAACGAAGTGTGGTCGCGGGCAAAGGTCAGCGCTCGTAAAGTCGTGGTATAGGAAGAGAGCACATGGCTGATAGTGTTCTCGGTCGAGCCTTGACTGTGATCCCCTGCAGCGTGGAATGGTGCTGTGCTGAGAATGCCGGTTCCGATCCAATGCACCCGCGGCCGGAGCCCGGAGCTGGATCTTGTCATTCCCAGGTGGTCCAGAACAGGCTTCACGGAGCTGAACCAAAGCCAAATCAGTATTTCTCTCATATGCTTGTTCTTTTCGGCGAGATTTCTTAGCGTCCAGTTCGCTAATGCGTCTTCCTGCAACTTTCTGTGGTGCTGGATGTCTTGATAGTGGAGGAGAGGAAGATGCAATTCTTCAATGCCTGAGCTGGTGATGATAATGGCGTCGCTGCGATGGACAACCTCGCTGCTGTTGATGATAATTACCGGACCATTGCGGGCGAGGGCAATCGCTTCGCTTTCGCTTGGCGGCAGCAGAAAGTTCTCTAGACCAGGCAATTTCCGGATCCTAGCGAGCATCGCGTCCATTTTATTCGATAGCTCACGCTGCCTCCTTGTCTGGCGGCCGCCTACTTTTTCCACGGGAAACGAGCTCTGCTCACGTTGGAGAGAGTTGTACCTTTCGAACAAGCCGGGCGACGCCATCTGCAGGTCGTGAGCTTCCATCGAACCAAGGTCGAGAGGCGGAGCAAATGCTGCATAGCCGGGGATGCGCCTGATGGCATCGATAACTACCATCAGCTCTTCTAGCACAGCCTTCCGTCGAGTTGCGAACTGATCTTGTGTCCTCTCCTGAAGAGATGAATCGAGCTCCATGCAGAGCCTGTGCCATTCTGCAATAAGGCCCTTATTTCCAGCTCCCAGTTGCTTCGCCTCGCTCCGAAGCTCCATAATGGAGCCTAGCAGCACGCCACGGCTTAGTTCTAAAGAGCACAGAGCGCGATACGCGCTTCCTGGAGAAGACAGCTGCAGTGTAGCCGCAGCTATATCAGAAGGGACGCCATGCAAGCTCGAGAGGAGGAACTGGCGGTCCGCAGATGGCAGCCACCGAGGGCATCGCGCAGCCACGTTCTCTACAAGTTTATCCATCTGCTCCAGAGCTTCCGCATACCGGCCGTTAGATATCAACAATCGATATAAATGCCGAGCCGCATTATCCCTCACCGTCGTTCGTCCGGTCATTGAATCGGCAGAGCTCTTATATGCGCTGATGCATTTTTCCAAGGTCTCCTGCGACGGATTAACCGCATAGTCGAGCTCCAGTGCTCTACCGTACTCGAGACGAGCATATGATGCCCCCAGGTGAGATGATGGATACACAGATACTGCTTGAAGAAGCCATTTTGTCGCTTGCTTCAGGTCCCATATATTCTTCGTGCGAACATAGCTTGCCATCATTATGATTCCAGTGTCTACGAGCGTTTCCGGAGCCGGGTTTTTGTTCTCGAGAGCCTCTCTAGCAACAATAGAAGCGTACTCGACCGCAGTTCGAAGATCTTCCACGTTGCCCATTACGAAGTACCGTTCAAGATACGCACTGGCGAGATTCTGCATGCTTTTGACCGAAGCCTGGCAGTAGAAGATAGCATTATCGATGTCCGCAAGATCTCCAGTGCGCTCGCACTTACTTAGATACAGCAGGCCGAGGTTAGCAATTAGACTACTTCTCCCTCTTGATGTCTGTGGTCCTTGGCCGCGGTAATCTTTAGCGAGTTAGCAGCAGACTCTGTAAAAACGACTTGGGTTTAGCGACATGGCACATGGCACAGGTTACCCACCTCCTAGGAAAGCTTCGATATGTCGGATTCCGGTGTTGAGATCCTCAATCTCCCCGGTCTCCAAGTACCGCAGCCGCATCATCAGCGCTAGCGCATTGACGCTTGGTCCTCTCTCGTCGACGTTCGCGCCTTGGCTCTGATCGTCAAGCCTGGTCGCCTCTTGAACCATCTCGATGGCCTTCTCGAGAAGGTCAAACGTGCCATGCAGTTGATATTTTGACTTGTACGCATTCGCAAGACCAACCAGGGCAGAACTTCTGATCAATAAGTCATGCTTTGCCTTCGGGGATGGATATGCTAAAGCGACAATCCGCACTGCAGCGGCGCCGATGAAGATTGCCTCGGTCAGCCATTCTTCCTCGCGTCTGGTCAGGTAGACGTCTCGCAGCTCGTGAGTCATATTGCAAAGCAATCTACACCGTATTTCGCCCGGGCGGTCCATTCTAATGGTTGTTAAGTCGAACATGACGCTATCGAGCGTAAGGGCAGGGAGGGATCAAGGAACAACATACTCGGAGTACTCGCCATCGCATTGTAGGGCGAGGCTTTCCTTCGCCTTGGTCAGACTCAATTTCAGATCGTTTAAATCATGGGATTTAAAGTAGTTCTGAAGGAAGAGATCTGCCGTCATATCTAGCAGATCGACTTGCGTTGTAAGATCGCCAGAATGCAGGTCCACGAGATCGCCCAAGTCGCTGATAAGAGGTCCACAGAGCTGTTGCAACTTCTGGCTTTCCCGATACGCCTTTCTGGCTTGGTCCACAAGTTCGGCGAGTCTGAATTCGTTAGCTACGTAGAACTGTGGCGTCTTATTTAGATACTGGTTCATACCTCTCCTTAGTCAACGGCTTGGGTGAGTGCTGAAGCACCTTTAAGGATCTTGAAAGCGCAGAACTGTACTGCGCACCATCATTTTTTGGGTTGAACTGCACCGTAAAATCGACCATCTTTATCCGATGCTGTATCGTTTTCGCTCCCAAGGAAACTGCGAAGTTGACTTGGTCGGCCATCTCTTTTTTCATAACCTCATCTGTCTTGGCACTCGTGCTGATGCTTACAATCTGGGCGTTGATAACGACATCTTTTTCCAGTGTCATTAGGCTGTGGACGAAACTTCTTGATTTTAGAATGTCTGATTTGACGAGTTTGCAATACTCTGCATGCATTGCCTTTACCACCTGAAGCACGATGTAGTTATCCTGTGGGGCCGCGGCGAGATTCCCAGCATGCTTAAGCAATCTGCGCAAGACATCGCTGTTATAATGCAGCTGTTCAGCATGCTGGGGGCCCGTTCCGTTGGCCTGTGAGGCCACCTTCAAAGCCTGGTGAACAGCCTTGACGAGGTCAGAGGGGTTGCCGGAGAGCTCGTACTTTCGACTTGCAATCCGTCCAACGCTTCGCAGGACGAGTGCCATCCCCTCGTACGCAGCCGGTATGGGACGCATCAACTCGGAGGCCTCCCGAAGAGCATTATCGACGGTATATACTTCAGCTGTGAGCCCTATTAAGTTGCTCAGCTGGGTGACATAGTCCGCGAGATACCGGACCCGCGAAGGATGCACAGCTGGGCATGCCGTAGCAGCTTCCTTGTAGAGCCGAACCGCCTCCTGTAGGTCCACTTCTTTGTTTGTGCAATCGTATTTCTTCCTCAGCAGGACTGCAAGGTTCGTACAGGCCTCCGGCCTCGAATCATCGCCGTGCGGGATCGTGTCCGTGACTAAACGTTGGAGTCTGATGGTTTCTTCGAGGTAACGCCAGTAGCCAGTTCTCTCGTATTTACTGAGCAGTGCCAAGCCCAGACTCTGTTGAATAACAATCTGCTCTGGGCTACCGGGCGCCGCATTCTCTAGATGTTGGCGGCTAAGCTGGATAGCCTCTTCGCCGTGAGCAGGATCGCCTGTCTTCTCTGATCTGAGTATGAGACGAGTGACGAGGCTGGAGAGCGCCGCATAGTGTGGCAAGGTCCCTTGCTTGGTTTCTCTCAACATCTCACGGCTGCATTCGATCGCTTCATCCAAGTCACTCAGCCGACCACCGTGGTCGGCCGACTGGAATCGGGCAACGAACCCGTCTCCCAGATTGCGGATCACGGCCGGCCAAGGCGGATCGCATGATCTGCACAGCTTTTTGGCCTGCCGGCCCAGCGCGATCGCGTCTTGGACATCTTTCCGGGCTGAAGTCTTAAGGAAGCGCACTGTCTTCAGGAAAGCCAGGATACTCATATACGATGCACGATTTTCTGAAATATTTGCCAAGGTTAGGACTTCCTCGCCAGCCGCGATAGCCTGGTCCAGGTCTACGGCGGTCTCTCTTTTTTGATAGCGTTTGGTCAACGTGTCGCGGAGAGCTCTCCAGGCCGGTGTTTTCTCATCGAGGGAGAGATTATTGATCCCTAATCCCATTTCGTTGATGGTACAGTCGAAACCTCGCTCGCCTTGTCCGCCTCCAGCCGCCCGGCTGGGTGGATAGGTGGATGATTCTGCAGCCATTATTGGGGGGAAGCTCTTGGCTCTTAGTACAAAAGAAGAAATCCCCGAGCGAGTGCATGAAAAGGGGAATATAAGAAGGTAACTTTCAACACGACCTGAAATCTAAGAGTTATTCTAGGGAGACCAAGTTGAGAGCTTGTGCTGGGAATATTGAAGGTTAAGTCATGGCAGAGTTGATCTCCTCTCACTTTGCAGGAGACATTCATCTTGAGTAAGCAGTCAGAGAGATCACCTGGATAACCCCTGCAGGCGGCACTCCGGTTCTCGAAAGCTCAATCTCGCCCGAAAGGCTGCCTTGCCCAGGCTTACGACTTGCTGCGTGGGACAGCATCGATCAAATGCGCACTGCTCAACACGAAGCAACATTTAGCGCAAATCGGGGGGGATAATCAAGCTGTAATTGTGTCAGGTTATGTAACTAAGCCAGTTGTGCCGGGGTGCAATTGGGATTTCCCTTTTGCAAGTCTAACACACTGATTCGGACGGTTTTCACCCCGCTTACATGGCCCAGGTCGAGTTTAGGCAGCTGAGGTGTGGTAATACCACCACCTTCCTTCACCAGCTGATAGGCGCCTGTGCCAACCAAAAAGCAATTACCAACACCTTTTTGCTGCGGTTGAGGAATTGCTCAGCTTCCGCAGCTCGTTAAACACTCTTTGATGGATATCTCAGAGCAAGCGATACAACCGTCGGATTTTTTTATTGTTTCCCGTACGCCACGATCCCTTTGTCTTGTCCTGCAGAGCAAATAGTGTACAATACATAACGCAGCATATGATTGAAAGAATAATCTTGCCGCTAGAACACACCCCTCATCTGCGATGCCGGGAAAGATTCTGATCCAAAGCAGCCTGTTACCCCTTGAGGCCGTGTCGCTCGGCCGGTTCGTCGTGGACATAAATCATCCACAGCGTCGCTACCACGATCCTTTCCCCGGCAAAATCCTAGGCTCAACCGTACAGGTGGAGAAGGATGTCACGGAGATGGTGCAGCGGCTCCAGAGCACGCGTGCCCGCGTCTCCCTGACGGAGCTCCTGACCTTCTTCAGGTCGAAGCATGAGAGGCAGGCCATCCAAGTGCGCGCCGTGATGGCGGGGCGATATATACTGAGCCAATGGGACAGCATCTTCTGCAGTGCGTGCGCCTTGGAAGGGACTAGACGATGGCTGGAGGATGCCATTGAGGACGGGAAGGAGATTTACTTCACCGTGGGCTACTGCACATTTGTCAACCCTGCAGCGGTGGAAGAAGCACGATCTGGCAAAGGAATCGAGCAATCGGTGCAGCTACCCGTGAGCATTGTGGCGGATGCGAATCTCGCTGGGATCCAACTTGGAGGGGTTGCCGACCCTGCTATGTCGCACAGCAAGGAGAAGGATACGCTGGCGGCAAGATCATACAGCATGAGCGGAGAGTACGTGTATGCCGTGCAGTACTGCAAGGTGAGCTTCAAGTGGTTTTCGACTCGCAATGTTGAGTCGAGCTTGCTGGGCAAGAATAAATGGAGGGTGTATATCGGCGTCAGGGGGGAAGAGGAGGACTGGGACGGCAAAGCAGACGACAATACAGTGGAGGCTGAGCTTGTAAAGGATTGGCAATCTGAGGATACTACAGTTGTTGAATGCTATTGACAGCTCACTAATTATATTTGAAAGTTAATATATAATCATACGCAGTCGTTATATGTAATTTAGCTTTTACAGTTATAATTATACACCTATCAGCTTATTCTACATTACGCTATTAATATAACCAGGCACTACCTAGTACTTAGTATCTTAATAGTGCCATCCCATGAGCGTGAAGCAAGATAGCCATTTTTCGAGAAAACAACGGATTTGACGGGACGGCCATGACCATCAAGTCTTTGTAAGCAAGAGCTCCATTCGCAGTCCACAGCAGGCTTAACTGCCAGCCACTTAGGTTCTTCTAACTTGAATAATTTGCGTATTGAGCTATTCGATGGGCTAAATATAAGCGCTGATGCATATGACTGGAGTAGATTATCCATATCAGCAATCACTGAGCTGTTCTGCAGGAAAAAAACGCCGTGAGTCTTGTATAAGTTCTAAAAACTGAAAGTACGATAATCCGCAGTTTAGCGATTTTTGGTCTGAAAATCGACGGCTTGGCGACTGGCAATTTGGTGGTTCTCTCTTTGTTGGTCAGATCTCTTTCTGAATAGTCTTATTATGCATACTCACTTTACGTTTTCCTTTCTTGAACGTATTTGATTCATCATCCTTTGATATACTGAGTCAAGCCCAACTGGAAACTCATTTAGTTTTTCAAGGATATCGAGCGAGATAGACTTTTCGAGATTCTGACAGACCAAAGAGACCCAAGGAGAAGTATTGTTAGATTTAGCGGATAATTCGTGCTAGAGTGTTCTTTATGTTGTTAGATGATTTTTTTTTTTAATGCGCTACCCGCTCAATTTGATGTCTAATGTATACATCAACAGCTGTTGCAATAGATTTTTCATTCAGTTCTAGATATAGTCTTATTCGCTGATTTGTAGAAGGGCCTATACTTTCTTCGATCTCTGGCCAATTTCGACTTGATACTATCAACTTGACGTGGGGAAATAGAGCAGATTTCGTAGTAATAAATCAAGGGGGTTCCGTAAATCTGTGACATATTCATCGAGTGCATCAATAATAATAAAACTGCGCTCCAATCTTGTATCGTTAAGTATATTTGAGAAAATTTCCGACAGTGCAGTCCAGGCATTTATATCTTCAAAAATAGTCTTCTTTCCGTGCCTATATTTATTTTGTATATGAGAGATAAGCTCTGGCTGCTTGTCTATAGCTAAATAGATCAGGCCCCGAAGCACAACAGTCGCACTGTTAATGCGCGGGTCGGTGGCCTGGCAGAAGAAATAAAAAACCAACGTCTTAGCATTGCGTTGATCCCACAGTTTATTTATGATTCCACAGAGCAACATAGTCTTGCCCTTGCCGGGATCGCCTTGAATCCAGAGCAGACGGCAATCTTCGTTATCGCGCCATTGTTGAAAATCATCATGTTCGAAGATCCAGGTGTATGAATCTTCCAGTAAGCCGCCCTTTGTACTCTCGATGGGAATTTTATCATGGCAGGGGTCCGTTATGCGTAAGCCCGACAGGCACCTTGCCTTTTCTTCTTCCTGGGTGTTGTGCCAGTAGCTGTGAACATCGCCCTGGTTGAGTGTAATGCTATCGCCAAAGAGGTTATTGTTATTCTCGCGCCGCTGTTGCTGTTCCATTGAAAAAGAGGCCAGAACGAGGTTTGGCCAATGACTTAATAATATCCTTTGACCAAAAAAAAAAAAAAAAAAAAAAAGCATTTACACCAAGTGGCATCTGCTGGGATGAAGAAAAAAAGACTGTACACGACAGCTCCTCCGGATTATGTGCGGGGTAACTTCATGGGTCTATCAGTTGTTGGTTGCTGTTCCCTCCAAGGGTGTATTAGATAGCCGGGAGTTTGTCGGTAGCATTAAGAGACAAGCAAATCCCTCTGTGCCTCACTGCCTCTTGTCTCGGATGTTCTTATTGGCCCAAGATTTGAAATAAACACGTTGGCCGGAGCTAGTTTCTGTGCGTTTGGACATTGGCATATGGTGATGGCCCTTACATACCCGCTACCGCAAATAATGAAAAATGTTAGAGAAATGATGCTTAACGTACAGAATCCCAAGTTACAATTGAATCAAAAGAGTATAGCATTCTCAGTCGTCGTAGCTTCACGGTATACTATATATCGTCTTCTGATACGCGCACATCAATTATTTGAAGTAGAAAACTCCGGCCTCTACCATATTCTTAATACACATCTATGGTAATTATTATATGCAAATATATGTACATATACGCACATAAAACGAAATTTATATACTAAATAGGCTACATGTTTGCTATATACAAGTTTGTACTAACGAGCAAGGCAAAGCTGGACTAAAGGCTGATCAGTCCAGCTGCCGTCTGCATTCTGGACTGGCGTCTCTGCCAATGGATAGCCAGGATCGAATGAACCCGCAGCCCAGCCAACATATCCCATGTATACATCGGCGTTCTGGTTGAGGTACTGGATCTGCTGGCATAGATACTGTTCACACGATGAAGTGTTGCCACCACCGGTCTCAGTTAAAATGGCCTTGCGATTATTCGAGCGAAGCCAAGTAGCCAGTGGCGAGAATGCAGAATCGATGTTGTTCGTGACACATACTGAGTTGGTGCCAGAGTTATCTGAGTCCAAGTACTTGTGCACATCGAAAATCAAGTTGGTCTTTGAGCCATCAGGATTGGTGATGGCACCCAAAGCCGCTGCACCACCATCGGAAATGATGCTTCCAGCAGATTGCCAGTCAGTACCCGGCAGTGAGATGTATTGTGAGGTGGCACCCGCATTGCGGATCGCAGTAACAACGAGCTGCACGGTGGCCGCCCAGGTTGTGATGTTGACGTCGTGTGGCTCATTCATTACGCCAAACCAAATCTTCGACTCGGAGGCGTATTTGGTAGCCAGTTGGGTCCAAACATCAACGAACTGGGCGTTTGTAGGGCCGCCTTGGCCAATGATTCCGGTATTCCAGCGAGCATAGTTGTGGATATCAATGATGCAGTATGCACCCGTGGCCAGGCATCCTTGAACAAGTTGATCGTAATAGCCTATATTGGTAGGGTTCAAGGTACCGCCAAGAGTACCATTGACTAAATACTGCCAACCGACAGGGAGACGGAAGATATTGAATCCGTCGTCTTTAACGAAATGCTGCATCTGCCCAACGCCATCTGGATAGTTATTTGCGCCGTCGTAATTCTTCAGCGGCGGGTAGGCACCGTTCAAGTTGCAAGTTCCGTCAGTAGAACAGCTAAAGTCGAATCCAGCAATGTTGATACCGGCAAACTGGGTGCCTGAGCCAACGGGAGGCGGAGACGCACTTGCTGACGCACTGGCTGACGTTGTCACTGTTGACTTTGTCACGGTTGACGTTGCTGTAGCTCTGGTGGTGCTGGTGACTATGCCGGTAGCAGGGACGCATTGAGCATAGTAAGAATTTAATGTTGAGCAGGCCGTTCCAGAAACACAATTTGTTGGACCTCCGTAGCCTTGCCCTCCGCACTGTCCCCAGGTGGTCTGCTGCTGTGCCACAACACCACTCACTCCAGCATAGGCTGCAAATAGCAGTGCAGCCTTGTTGTTGATCATGATGACCAAGGGGGCAAGAATGATATGAGTAGATAATGGTTGTCGGTATAGTATATGACTTCAAGGAATGAAAAGGAACAAATATCTACCCAAGGCCAAAAGATATCACACAGCACTACCACGGTTGAAATATATTGGACTGCGAGGCTGCTTTATACCCACAGCATCAGTGTGATATATACCTGTTTAGGCTATTACGCTTCAAATATACATGAGAAGAGAGTTCTGAATACTGAAAATCCCTCAACTAAATAGCCATATGAATTTATAGTGCCAAGAGGAAGGCCCGAACTATTTGGCCGTCTGTATTCTCACGTTATTAGGCTCCTTAAAATACTGACTCTTCTCAACGGACCTGCGCAATGTTACAATTCCTACAGCGCGTTTATAACGGCGTCTTCGTATGAGCATTAAATTTGTGACATCGTTTTCGTAGCTTTATATAAGTTAAACATCAAAGGTGCGACCAACTCACTCATCTCCATACATTGTTGCGGGCATAAATGCAAGGGCAATTTTAGAGATTTCGCGTGTAGCAGGGTCTAATTATGCCTAAATTCAACTTATTCAGCCATTGAGCCTTGGACAGGCAGCTGCTTAAGTTACATCGCTCCTAAGGTCTCGCGCGCTATATTGCCAAAATTAAATTGCCTTCTTACGAAATTGAGAGGAATCCCAAAGAAAAATGCCAAAAACGAGTCGCTTTATGTTAATTAACCCTGCCACTATAGACGCTCGGCAAAAGTGTTGATGCCACTCTACATTACCCTCGAGCTCCAAATGAGGACTAGTCACCTCAGAAATTGTTAATTCAGCCAAATTGGATATATATCACTGGTTAATGCTCTCATTTCTATCCTCTCTCCCATAGGTACTCTCAGCATACCGCTCGAACTCGGCCAAAAGTACTAAATATGAATAAGTAGTCCCCCAAACTGCCTAATAATTTAATTGTATCTCCCTTAAGAAAAGCCACTATGAGAAAACTTGCTCACCAATCTATTCCTTGAGCGAAATGCAGCTAGGTTAATCAGAGGCTGTTTAATTAAAAGCATACTGAATTTTTATAAGCCGGCTGACGAAGTCGACCAGTTTGCTCCTAAAGTTGCCCAGATTATGTAAAAGCTGGCGTGAGAAGTTGAGCGTTTTTGGTCAAGATCATTATGGGTAGTACCTGCTCAGGCCAAGTATACACTGTGATTAGGTTAGATAGAAAAAGACAGGTTGAAAATTAAACAAGAAAATACCAATTTGACTAGCAGCCAAGGTACAAGTGTTTTCTTTGGTGATAGCTTTCTTAGGTAATCTTAAAGTTGCTGATGCTTTTATTTAGAAGCCCTTGTTAGATATACATCCCTCGAACTTTTAAGGAATCCGTAGAGTCTCTTGTTCCAAAGACTCAGAAACAGCCATATCGACTCATTACTAGCGTAAGCCTGCATCCATTAGCGGCCAGTGCAGATGATACGGATGATTAAAGTTGATACATGTGACGTCTGGGTGCATCAGCGCTCATAAAAGCAGCAGTGTTGCGAATACAAGGTAGGTAACACTCATGTGCACAATTCTCGTAGCGGAATATAGGGGAACTGTAGGAATATTTGTTATATGGCGCTGAAGAGAACCGAGATATTAGTTGAATAAGTACAGCAAATCTGTAATCTACTTGTAGTAGTTGCCAAGTTTTAGTCCACGAACAAGTTTAAATTTTGGCCGAAGATGATTGGCCAGGAACGCCTAATTATGGACATACATGATCATTGTGTATACTTTATATGACGCTAAAGTCGTCTCATTTTCGTATTATAGAAGTGCTAGCTTTTAGTAGGTGTCAGTTAGCTTCCTATAGCCACTACGAACCGCGATTGTCCCGGAAGCCCAGTAGCATCGAACGTTTTGAATAGGACTGTCACATTGTCCTTAACGCCCACTAGAGTAGGATTGTCACCAGTTGTAATAAAAAAAATATGTCTTATAAACACAAAATGTTCGTCTTCACAACACCAAAGTATCACTAATTTCTTGCGTCGCCTTGTTGCATGTTGAAGATTGCCTACATTGGGTTAAATTGAGCTCTTGCCCAAGCCGCTACAGACCAGTGTAGAGAAGTTAATATTATTCATCTGAAACCTGAGAAGATATTTGCCGTGATTATCTGCAGCCTGGGCGCCATGGAATAGCTTATCATTTTTGGAACGGCAGGACGCGGGTGCTAAACTGGATTGGATTAGGGCAACACATGTGGAAGCTCTAGAGATTTACCTTTCCAACTAGCTTGAGCAGAATAGCTTAAAATGATGTATTCATGATGTGTTCTGGATTACGTTCTAACAAGTTAGAAGTGTGAATATATTAGAATGGGTCGAATGCAATTTACTCTCATGAAACAGGGCAATTTTGGACAAGATGCCATCTTTCTTAACGAATTAATATAAAATCTATATTGCGATTAATTGATTCGCAGCTTATAATAGAAGTTTCGAGCAACGAAACAAGGTCAACGTTCAAATTTCAGTGATAGTCGGCGCCACGTCCGACGCTGCCGATGAGTTGTGAATGCGAGTGTCGTATAGCATTTTTGGGCCATATTATGTTTCAACTCTATTCTTATTATGTCTTATGCATAAATAATTTCACATAGTCCATATAAAGCTCTTGCTTTTATCTTTTCTCCTACACTGAAACATACAAATAGTATTTTCTCTACATGATCTTGAGTTGAGCTTACATCGCGTCGTGCAAATATGGCTGCCTATCTCACACAGCGCATCGCGCACCCCCATATCTGCCATCCTCATCACGGAATCACCGTCTCGCGCGCTGGAACGCCAGCGCCAGAGAAGCAAGCCAAATGTGGGGGACCCATCCCCAATGTTGCCGCCAAAGGCGTTTCCTTCTACACGCCTGAGCAGGATCCTGTACCCGGCAGTGCTGTTCAGCCTCAGCCGTCCGGTAGACCTGTCCCTAAGCTGTTTACTCCCCTAAAGATACGTGATGTCGAGCTGCCGAATCGCATTTGGGTGAGCCCCATGTGCCAATACAGTGCACATGAAGGGTTTCATACACCTTGGCACATCACTCACTATGGCGGCATGGCTCAGCGTGGTGTAAGTCTCGCGTTCTGGTTATATTTTCACCTCTCTATTTGTCCCATAATAGACATGTATATGAATGCTGATGCATATAATAGCCTGGACTTATGATGATTGAAGCAACTGCCGTGCAAGCTAATGGCCGCATTACGCCCGAAGATTCAGGCATATGGCTTGATGCGCACATTGATACTCTAAAGAAACATGTAGATTTTGCACACAGTCAGAAAACTCCTATTGGCATTCAATTGGGCCATGCCGGACGCAAGGCTTCTACTGTTGCACCTTGGCTTAGCTCCGGCGCAATAGCAACCGAAGAAGTTGATGGTTGGCCAGACAATGTAGTCGGGCCTAGCAATGAGGCCTTCAACGAGCATTACCCAAAACCACGCGCCATGACGCTCGCCGAGATTGCTCGCTTTAAGCATGACTTCCTCTCTGGCGTTCGCCGTGCTCTCCGAGCCGGCTTCGATGTCATTGAGCTTCATTTTGCGCATGGCTATCTTGTTTCCAGCTTTCTGTCTCCGGCTGTCAACAAGCGAACGGACCAGTACGGTGGAAGCTTTGAAAACCGTGTTCGTCTGGCGCTTGAACTAGTCGAAGCTACGCGGATGATTATACCAAAGGGAATGCCTTTGTTTGTGCGCATCAGCGCCACTGACTGGCTTGATACAAACCCAGAGTGGAGAGGGGGGCCAAGCTGGACCATTGATGAGAGCGTCAAGCTAGCTAAACTCCTCGCTGAACGCGGTGTTGACGTGCTGGATGTATCGACTGGCGGTAATCATGCGCAACAGAAAGTTATCGGCGGGCCCGGCTACCAAGCACCATTTGCCAAGAAGATAAAGGCTGCGGTACAGTCTTCCATGCTGGTTAGCTCCGTGGGAAGCATCAAGACAGGAGAGGTAGCGCAGAAGCTCATCAATGGCAGCGAAGATCCCGATGACGCCCCCCTGGACTTGATTGCTGCAGGCCGCATGTTCCAAAAGAATCCGGGGTTGATTTGGGCGTGGGCAGATGAACTGGAAGTTTCCATTACTATTGCGCACCAGATAGGATGGGGCTTCGGAGGAAGAGCTAAGAAGTCGACCAAGTCGACAGGTTCCTAATTTTGTATGAAGATATTCAATTGACTTGGTTTGGTTGGACTTTTTGTGTGACTAAAGAAAATACTTCTGACATATTTGCCTTCAGAGTGAAATTTAGTGATTGTAGGAACAAGTGCTTTTCTTGATTAGAGAAATATTTAGTCCATGCGTGAAAGGCCACAACAAAATTTCTGATGAAGGGACCATTTGCTGCCTATGTGATTTGTTAAAAGTTGCATATGCGTATTCATTAGCTATCTAAATGTTCAGCTGCCGGTCTGTTTCGTGATTTGCCGAAAGTCTCATAACAATCTCTGCTTGGAGACTCTCTTACCATGCTCTGAATCATTGTCATAGTAATTACACGTTAAATGATATGTAGTTTAGCCTTGACCCTATTACTTTTGTCAATTGTGCAGGCTAGAAATACTCCAATCGTTGATAGAGTGAAAGCAACTGCCACAATAGCAAATACCCAGAAGTCAGGTGATACTGTCGTCGTATTACCACTCCGTCCACTCCATTGGAAGAAGCCCATAGAAAAGAATGTCTAAGCCTTGATTAACTCAACTTAGTGGGTTTATCACGATGGCAAATTAAGTAAGGTATTAAAAAATAACAACAGCAATAGAGAAGTAGCACTAAAAGGAGGTGGCTATAAAGATGGTTTCATTATCTACCACTTTTAATCTGTTTGTCTCTACAGTTGGCCCGCATGTTTATGTAATTCTTGATAAATATCCATAATACGATTGTAAGAACATATAATGGACACAAAGAGAGGTAGCTGAAACTTACATGTAAGTATTAGTAACGCTTAAATATAGTTTATAAAGACTAATGAGTGTTAATAAATTACGTATTACTAGTTTAATTTCCTACCTATATGAGACTGGATTTAAAGTGGTTCTTTAAAAAAATATGCTTATGCTACCAATAGATAACCGCGTTGTTATATCTAGCAATACACTCACTAGTCGCTTTGATTCAACGTCAACATACTCTCTGGGAGAGTAGTTCCCATCTGTTGGACGATGGAAAGGAATTCTTCAGATGAAATGCCAATGTCATCAAGATATTCCATGTTCCCATCGAGTGTTGGCGATTGATTGCCGAGATCTCCAGTCATTTCAAGCATCGCGCTTGGCTCACCTCTCGACGCGGCGAGTAATCTGTCTTGCTCTTCGTTCGTTTTCCTCACAATATCAGCAGCAATCCCGGCCGAATAAAGCAGGTGCAGCGTCTGATGGCCTTGCTGCTGCACCTCCGCAACTAACTCTTGACACAAAGTCTCGACATGGGATAGCTCTGTTCTTCTCGCCTTAGCGACTCGACTCCCTCGCGAAACAAAGCCATCCAATATTTGATGCGCTATCTGGCGGCTCTTTTGGTAATCTTCCACGTCCGGGAAGAGGGCATCAGCTATAGTTAGGTGAAGAGCAGCTCCAAATGCGAACTCGATGTCGTACGGCAAAAATGACTCTGGAAAAGATGTTCAGTATTCTATCATATTTCAAGACTACTCATAGGCATACCGAGAAGGCTATACTCGCTAGTCAATATCTGAACCGTTTTGACGGCTGATTTGATGCCGGTCGAAATGACTGCTCCTGTCTTTGCCAAAAAGCTGTCCCAGTTCTCGTTGCCTGGATGCTCTAGCATATCGAGCCGTTCTTTGAGAATTGAGAAAAGTAGGGGGCGCGTGGCTACTATTACACACTATGATGAGTTAGAGTCTGCATTTATAACCTTGCGCAGAGGATATCCAACAAGTTTGAAGTCGATAGAGACCAACCTGGTGATATAGTAAAGTTAAATAGCTGGTACTCCGAGGGATTGTACCCACAGAGCTCTGCAATTTCAGTTTAATAATCCTTTCAATCTCTTGAGCGTGCCGGGCCAAGGTATGTAGTATGGATCTCGTTTGCTCTAGAAATGTCGCCAAAGGGGTAATAGTGGGTTGATATACGGCTACCCTTGTAAATTAGACAATGAGTCGCCAATGCGGAAAGAAGAGCCAAGATTAGGGCTTACTGGTCAGAATAACAGACAACAAATTCGAGAGATTCACCTGAAGGCTTCGAGCGCTGTCCAGTGGGGAGCCTGCGTTTGGAGAAGGGACTGGCGTCGTGATGTCACTATCCTTCACAGACATTGGAATTCCCAGAGAGCATGAAAAGTGCCTGTCCATAATATATAATGTCCACCAGAGGTCGCGGCAATAGGCAGCTGTCTCCGGTCCCAAGTCTTGTTCAGGTAGCTCAGTGTGTAGGCCTTCAAGCTGTGCAATACAGATTGCCTGTCCTAACTGTCGCAAAAGCATGTAAAGTTAGCGAAATGTCTCTGGAGGGGCAGTGCATTTAGGTATAGATATTTCTCACATAGATATGAGCTGCCTCCCTTTCGGCAACTGAGAATAGGTACAGGGACACCAGAATCAAGACCTCGATGGCCAAGAGACTATCTTTCCACAGAGTAGTAGTGTTGGGGATCAAGGCCATGGCTCGCGCGAAGAGCTTTGCGCCAGGAGGTTCCTCGCTGTCTACTGGCGACGCATGAAATGCCGTCCCGAATGCGAGAATTAGGAGAAACTTAGCAAACCAGAGCTGGCATTTGGCCACCTTCTCCGAGGCATTAGCATAGAACTCTCGTATTTCATTCTCAAATTCCTGTTCTTTGAACAACCGATAAACATGGCTGAGATGAAATTTGACGGTGTTGAAAAAGTAGATGGCGTGGTTTAGTGAGGGCAGACCACTGATATCGGGAGGGTTGCTGGGAGAGCCAGTTTCCCATGTCAAAGTATAAACATCTGGATCTACCACATTAGGCGGAAGGGAGGGGTCCTCAGGGTGTAATCTTTCCCTTAGTAGGTGTATTAGACGCATCGTGTAAGACCACGTCGACCATGGAGCTAGCCATACTGCCGTACAGCCGTGTTAGATTTGTTGGGAGGGAGGAATTCAGCGGGTATACGGGAAGTGATGACTTACTCCAGGTGCGTCTATTCTTTTGACTGTTTCTGATAATCTTGACGGGCATTGGATATACGTCAGGCCAAACATCAAAAGGAGTAGAAGCATTTGGATATTGCGGTGTGGTGACAGGGTTGGGGTCGATTTCAGTTTGCTGAGTTGCGTGAACCGTGGATGCTGGAGAGATAAAAGCGGCCCTGCCATCGGACTCGCTGTTCACGATAGAATTTATGCCAATTACGGCGTTGTCAGAAAGTCCCCGCCAGGATGGAGCGTCCTCTTGACTTAAAATATCTCGTATCTCGCATGAACGTGGTACGTTGTATGATTGCGATGTCCGCTCTGGTCCTGGGTGTTGTGCAATTGGCCCCTGGTGTTGTACAACTGGTCCCGGGTGTTGCGCGACTGGTCCTGAGGGTTGTGAGACTGGTGAACGAAAATACCCCGCAGCCTGCGCCAGGGAGTCGAGATTGTACGTCGAGGACGGCCGTTGATTCTTTTCAGCCTGCTTCTGTAGATCTTGGAGATATCTTTTTTTTACGAGATCCATCGCATGAGTATCGTTAGAGGAAGGCGGGAGGAAGTGTGGGACGACTTACTTCTCCGATACCAAGATCTTGTTATTGCCGACTGCAAACTGACATTGGATCGAACGTCGTTGGCAGTTCTGGCAGGGATCTCTTCCGGAACACTTTATCTTGCTTTGTCGACAAGCGATGCAGCTATATAGATATCAAATCGCATCGTTAGTCCTAGAAACTTTGGCCCCTGAGGCAAGGGCCATGCGAGAGACTGGGATCCATTGTCCTTACGCGTTGGCAGTCCGCCTCGATTTTCGCTGCGAAGTTCGCGTCTCGGATTCCATCGAAATGGCAATGTAGATATGATTTAGATTACCCTGGTATGTTCGCGACACGCGGGATGGCTTCCCGATGGGCTGGGCAAATGGAAGCGAGAAGGTGAATCATGGAAGTCGGACTTCCTCGGGTTCGGGGGATTGGCGCTGAGGTACTACAAAAACTTTGCTACACCCCACAATGCGATGCGGGGGAGAACGTGCTACTTTACAACTACAATGGGGCTCTCCACAAGTGTTTCCATGGACCTGGGACGTGGCGGGGAGGGGTGGCCATAAAATAAGAGGCGAGGAATACCTTAGCCATGAGATGTCTCGAGTCTCGCGTCGAGATGGTCGAAGCTGAAGGCATACTACATAACCATCGTATGCTATCCTAACTTATATCTTTTTTTGACAGCTTCTATTTCTATTCACTGTATTGTCAAGTGCCATTTTGTAATTTCTGGACTCTAGAGACTCTTTTCATCCTGAGCGAAGAATATACATGTATCTTCAACAGAGGCTCAGTTGATACGTGCATTTTGTAGACCCACTACAATTTCTTTCAACACATAGGCACTTACAGTTCAATGGTTGTTATTGTTAAAAAGTGCAAGTGAAAACTTGATTGGACGTCCTGTTTTTATATTAAATATCGAATAACTGATGCATTTAATATGAACCGGGAAATCATCGAGGCCGTATACTTCAGAACTTCCCCAGAAGTGAAAACATGGAGTTCTTCTATCAATTCTTCGCACTATTTTAGTGGTTCTTTTCCCCGCAGTTTCCTCTGCTCGGCTACAAACATTAAGAGAGATGGTATTGGTGCATCTCAATACAATAATACACCGACCGATCATCGGAACTCTGTACCAGCGAGCGTCCGATGGTGGGGTAATGGCCTCCACACTTTAGCGTCGGGTTTGTCGGATGCATCCGTATGACCAAACATAGAACTGGGACACGAGGCACTACGTACATGTACTTTCCCAATCTAGCATCAGTTGTATTATACCACAACAGGAAATGATGAACGTTTTAATTAATATAAATGTAATATGGCCATTATATATGCCAGAGATGAATGACCGACCTATTACAAACCTTTGTTAGGTTTTCGTTATATTTTTCCCTATGAGAGAAAATCCGGAATAGAGAGTAAAATGTTGGACGTGGTAGTCATTGGTGCTGGCTTCAGCGGCCTTCAAGCGGCCTACTCTGCCCAGCAAGCTGGCCTATCTGTCGCCGTCGTCGAAGCTAGAGACCGTGTTGGCGGCAAAAGCTGGACAGTCCCATTATCCAATGGACGCGGTGTTGCTGATCTTGGAGCAGCATGGGTGAACGACACCCTTCAGCCTCGAGTCTGGTCTTATATCAACCGCTTCGGCCTCAGGGACAAGGTGACCAAACAAAGACTAGGGCATACGGCTGTAATGATGTTAGCTGATGGAAGACGGATCGAGTTCCCTCAAGGAACCACCCCTGAGGTGAGATATCAGTCTGTAGTTTGCAGGCTAAGCGCAAGACACCATGCTTTAATAGATGGCTAACCCAATTCTGTTACAGTTTCTGCCAGAAGACAAGGCGAATCTTGAGAGAATCCGAGACCACATCCAGAGGGAGTCATTGAAGCTCAATGGTCTGCGGCCAGAAGACGATCAGGTGTCCCTAGACCAGTATGTCCGCTCGCTCGGCGGATCCCCTCAAACGTTAAGAATGGTTAACCTATGGACTCGCGTTATGCACGGTATCGAGTCCACAGAAGAATCCGCCGCTTGGTTCATCGACTACTGTCGCTCCAATCGTGGCCTTTTAGCCGTCCGCGCAGATGACCACACAGGTGGCAACTATATGCGACTCTCCGTCGGCACGCAGTCCATCGCCAAGGGCATTGCTAACCTTGTTGGACGCGTAAATATTCATCTCTCTTCACCAGTAACCTCTATCGAGGATAAAAAATCTCATGTCACCGTAATTGCCGCCAACGGCAAGACTTTCGAGGCCAAGAAGGTCATCATTTCCATCCCTAGCACAATGTACAAAGAGCTCAATTTCTCCCCCCCTCTCCCAGAAGCTGTCCAGCAGGTCACCAACTCTACCCGGCTGGGGCACTACAACAAGGCCATAGTCGTTTACGAGCAGCCTTGGTGGAGGGACCTGGGATTCAATGGTTTCATAATGAGCTACCAAGGCCCAGCTTGTGTCGTCCGCGATACCAGTGTCGACGAGGAAGGCATCTATAGCTTCACATGTTTTGTCAACGGCCAGCCCGGTGAGGAGTGGTCTAAATTGCATTCTCAAGAGCGTCGCGCAGCCATCTTGAACCAACTATCAGCATGCTTTAATCTGGAAAGCGACTCTCAGGCACATCGCCCAGCTGAGTATATAGATCAAATTTGGCAGCATGAAACCTTTAGCAGAGGTGCTTTAGCGCCCGTCACTGCTATTGGCGACTACACGGCATTCTCTGATGTCTACGGGAAGCCTGTTAACAACATACATTTTGTGGGAACCGAATATTCCAAGGACTGGAAGGGTTACATGGAGGGTGCTCTTGCGTCCGGGGAAAAGGGCACTGACGAGGTCATTCTTGCTCTTCGAGAGCCCATATCGCCACCCAAGCTGTAAGGCTGAGCTTTTGATATTTCAGAGATAATTTCAACATCGGGGTTAAACTATGTTACATCGATAGCGTTACGGTGTTGATCTATGAAGTCGTGGAATTGTATCTACATCACAAATGACCTTTGCTGTGCCTCTAGCCCTTAATGGATTCAGTTAAGGAACGTATCGGTATTTGACAAAGTGTGCGTGTCTTCTCCAAATTTTTGTAGGCGGCTGATGTGATATTTCATGACTTTTTGCGTTGCGCAATCATCAGCGGGCACGTTGATACAGCTATCGCCAAGGCTTGGAGTCGCAAAACAATTCATGACTTGTGGTAGCACTCGCCCTTTAGTGTAGTAACATATTTCAGTTGGTACTAATCTGGGATTGGCATCACATGCGCCAGAGGCAAGCCCGAATAAGCGGGTAGCTGTGTCCTACGCCAAGCGCCTCGAAGTTGCGGCGTCGTGTGGAGTTTTGGTTGGCTTCACTAACATTAGAGCCTAGGGAGTAAGTGGGGACACCTTGCACTACATGTACTCTCTTTGGAGTTCGGAAGCACCCCCCGCCTACTCTCCGAGGTCGGTCGGATGAGAACCCGAGCGACTGCAGCCTTTCGGCAAATGAGGTGGAGAGAGAGTAACTTGTACAGGCAAAAAACATGAATCAGATCAGCGAAGATCTTCTTCGGTCAGGAATATTCTGTTAGATGAGTTCGGGATCTTCACCCGAGCTCCCACATTGTTTAAGCAAGGAGGATATGACCAAACACAAACCCAATGAGCTTTCAATTAGAAAACCAGAGCGTCTTAAATATTGAAAGGGGCGCCACTGCTGCCAGATAATTGAAGGGTATAGTATCCTCAACAGCAGTTATTCTTCTAGCATACAACTCGCTCTCCATCAAACGTATCTCACAATGACTCCAGCAATTGCCACTGGTCTGAAAGACCCCAGCTTAATTGTTGAGAAGAGTTATATCAACGGCCAATGGGTGTCGTCAAAATCGGATAAGGTCTTTGAGATTCAAGACCCGGCATCTGGGCAAGTCATTGGAACGTGTCCCGAGTCTACTACTGTTGACCTGGAAGACGCTATCCAGGCCGCTTCACAAGCATTCCTAACATGGCGGACGCTCCCGGGCCGTCAGCGAGGACGCATACTCAAGCGTTGGTTCGATCTAATTGTCGAGAATAAGGAAGATATTGGCAAAGTTATTACCGCTGAGAACGGCAAGGCCAAGGGCGACGCTGAAGGCGAGGCTCTCTTCTCAGCCAGTTTCTTCGAATGGTTCGCTGAGGAAGCCCCCCGGATTTATGGCGACGTTGTACCGCACAGCACGTCGGGAGGTCGAGCACAGATCCTCAAACAACCGATCGGCGTATGCGGCTTGATCACACCTTGGAACTTCCCCATGGCCATGGGTGCCCGCAAGCTTGCCGCTGCGCTTGCCGCTGGCTGCACAGTCGTACTGAAGTCAGATGGCCTAACGCCGTTTACTTCAAACATCCTAGCTGTCCTAGGAGAGCGCGCTGGCCTACCTAAAGGCGTTTTCAACGTAGTAACAGCGCTTAACAATACCCCGGCACTGGGTCTCGCTCTCTGCCAGTCAGATACAGTCAAGAAGATTTCATTTACTGGCTCCACTAGAGTTGGTAAGCTGCTTATGCAGCAGTCAGCCAGTACCCTTAAGAAGCTGAGCCTGGAACTCGGAGGCAACGCCCCCTTTATCGTTTTCGACGACGCTGATGTTGAAGTGGCCGTGGCCAGTGCTCTCGCCAGCAAGTTTAAGGTTACTGGCCAGACTTGCGTGTGTGCAAACAGAATCTACGTTCAGGAGGGCATTTACAAGAGCTTCAGCAAACGCTTAGTAGAGGAAGTCCAAAAGTACCGTGTTGGAGTCGGATCTGACTCTTCCGTTACCCACGGACCTCTAACCACCGGCATCGGTAAAACTGAAGAGCATGTACAGGATGCTCTCAGTAAGAATGCTACCCTTTTACTGGGTGGCAAGCGACTATCGAAGCTCGGTCCCAACTTCTTTGAACTGACCGTCTTGGGTAATGTAGATGACTCAATGAAGGTGATGAGCGAAGAGACCTTCGGTCCTCTAGCTGCTTTGACGAAGTTTAAAACAGAGGACGAAGTTATCCAACGAGCCAATAGTGTTGAAGTAGGATTGGCTTCCTATGTCATGACAAATGACCTGGGCACGTCCTATCGCGTCTCTGAGAGACTAGAGTTTGGCATGGTTGCCATCAATACAGGCGTTATATCAGATCCGGCAACACCGTAAGTTTCAACTCCCTCTGTAACCTGATTTTCACAAAGATAAAAGATCTAACCAGAATCTAGATTTGGCGGGGTTAAGCACTCAGGCATGGGTCGCGAAGGCAGTAAATACGGTGTAGACGACTATTTAGTCCTCAAGACGATCGTTACTGGCGGAATCAATACTGAATACAAATTATAAGACCACCCATCTATTTAAATATGTGTAAATTTATGCAATAGAATATTCAAATATTATAAGAATAGACGCAGAAAATAAATGCAAGGCAGCGCCAAAGTTAAGAAATGTATTACAAAACCAAATACTCTCATCTTATTCTTCTGCCCAAATTTTCTGGTTAAAATGTAGCCTAGCCGTAGCTGAATAGTTACTTGAAGGTCCCTTAGATTAACAAAGATGAGACATTTGCTGGTAGACTTGTGCCGAGTGATATCAGGCAGATAACCACAACTTGACATATATACCGAAAACTACAATCGTCTCCGATGATATGGTATTATAATAATAAAGCAAAGAACACACACAAAAAAAAAACACAATTGCATGAAATTGCATGCGGTTTGTATGGTTACTATGGATAATTTGTATTTTTCTATACTACCGCAGAAATTGGGATTTTTTATTATTCCATATCCTTTGCTTTTTTCCACCGCTTAACTACCCGGGAAGTATCCCCCATTGGAATATTGAATGGAAGGACATCTTGACATAAATAATGTGCGGTAGTATAAAAGCCTAGCAATCCTGCCAAGAAGCCGAATACGCCAGCGCCTTTCTGAAGTGCAGTGAACAATGTCGTATTCCCATCTGCAAGTGCAAAGTACGAGCTTGCATCTAGAGTAAAGCAAACTTCGATTGTGATAAATATACAAATGTATATAAAATTACTGGAAGCTATTAGTCCAAGTTCATCTCTCTTAAAGACTAACTTACAAGGCAACGCTTGCAATAAGGAAAAAGATATTTAGAACAGCCCAAACTGCAAATCTGGTTAATTTAACAACCTTGAAGCATAAAGAGAATATCAGCTCGTACTTAGAATAAAAAACCCCATTGCATTATAAAATTCAGGCGTATAGCCACCAAATGCATCAACAACACCCCATGAAGGTATCATTATCATGCCATAACCACCGTAAAAAAGACCTATTTATTAGTACATAATTAGTGTTAGAAATGGCAATACAATCAAGATCTCATTCCTTTAGTGAAGAGGGAGAATACGTACCAAACGCACTCAGTACTGTATACGAAAAGGTATTACCACGGACCATCTCCCACTGAGCTGATATAAGCAGTGCAACGCAGGCGACGAAGCATAGGTCTCCGACGAAAACGGTCTGATTTGAAACGCCTCGGAAGCCCATCATCGCAAGAGAAACGGTAAGGAGACTTGTTGCAAAGCCGCCCATTGCTAGGGGAGACTAGAAAGGTTTAATATATAGCCATTAATACTTTATCCAAAAGTTGGGTTTTATTTCAGTTCTTACAGGATTAGCGAGCTGCGGTGCAAGGCTTTGGTATACCACCTGCACTTTCTCAATACTCTCTTCATCACCATTGGTTACTGAAGAAATCAAATGTGACGGCGCCATGATGTGAGTTCTCGGAATCAAAATATCGTCAAAAGCGCGGTAGGCCTAATCAGAGAGATAGCAGCAGTAGCAGTTGCTTTTTGGATTAAAGATCCGACGAACAAGACCTAGAGTAGAAAAAAGGAAAGGCACTCTGCTCATCTAGTATACATAGTTGGTTATTTGCCCTCGGACATCGTCAACATGGTTGCGTCGGTAGTATGGTTTAGATTCCCGCTAACCAATCTTAGCACGTCCTAGGGTGCCAGCCGTCGGTAAGTGCACGGTTTTGAACCATTATTTGGGGGGCAATTCAACCTCCCGAAGCTTGTTCTATTACCTCTTGGGGGAAATCTCTTGGGGGCTGAGCGGCAGGGAATCAAAATGATTGGGAAAGGCTGCCATGTTTACGTAACATTCCGAGGGAACCCGAAAGTGCTACATGATGTTTGGCCTGTCGGGTTATGGGGCCGCTAGGGATATTGGGATCCTGCTTCGCAATTATCATCATATATGCCCGTACGTGTTGTCGTTTCTGCGCTTAGCGCGGGGTAGAAACATGGTTATCGTTGCGTAAAAGTGTAAGCCGGGGCCGAAATAAGGGGAGTCGTCGAATTATTCTCATCCCAGCACAGCAGCAGGTTGTTATTTGAGAGGTGACACAGCAAGGAAGCCGGAAGGCACATGTACCTTTTGCTAGAAGGTTATTTGACTTTCGGATACCCCGTTGCGGTGCGGCTCGCCTGTGGCTTAACTGGAGGCAGCGTATAAATCATCTTGAGCGCCATGCTTATTAGTTGGGTACTTAACCGATAGTTCATATTCTTAGTCCCGCTGGGTCGGATAAGGAACCCGAACACCACCACGCCACCACAACTCACGTCTTACAGCCGCATCGGACTACGAAGCCGAAGAGGTGGTCTTCTCATCGCCTGCTATAGAGGGGGAATGTGGCTACATGGGTCATTATGATCGGATTTCAGCACCATCACAGAGGTGACCTAAATAACGATGCATCTTGGGACCATTAGCTATTATACGCTGCCTATCTCTTCATTGCTCCTCAGCTGGCGTAAAATCGTATAGCAATTCCCAGCAGTGGTCTCAAAAAGCTTCTATTCATGTTGAATAATTTCGGATAATAAAACCACCTAAGCACTGTCTAACTACAACATCTGGCAACAAGTCCACCAAATCCTCCACCAACAGGAATGTCGCCCACATACACCCTCTCCGCGCACCTCTCCAGGAACTTGGTCGCTGCTCTCCGGGAAAAGAGACGATCTTTAGACCGCTCACAGCAGTTGTGGTCGGCACAATCAACTCCTCTGTACTCTTCGCAGTACCCGGCAGAACCAGAGTCGGCTATTCGCCCTGGTGTTCCAGCAAAGATTACGGACAGTCGTCCAACAGCATTGCAAACATAAGCATGTCTCATCAGACTTAAAACCGTGAGAAATCTTTTTTCACTTCGCCCAAACTAGCTTTGCTCTGCTCAACGACGAGACGCATGACCACCACATGGAGATGCGAGCACAAGATCTCTCTGCCATGGCAGAGATTTTCACCGACATCTTAAACAACACTCTGTTATGCATACAGATTTAGTGACAGGGCAAGAGAGCACTATAGGAGTTTGGCATAAACTGGGTACATGGGATTTTTTTTTTTTATTGAACTCACACACGACGCACACGTATCTTCATGTTTTTGCAGCAGAAATGGGGGCATAGCCAAGGGCATTAAGCTATTAAGGCATAGTAATTATAACATGCATGAATAAACAATGATGCTGTTTATTCGTTTTAAAGACATACTATGAAGCCGCTGTTAGCAAAGTTAGGACCATAACCTCTTAGAGAGCTAGCTTTAGCTTCCTCCCTCCAGTTTCCCCACGACGTCTATGAAGAAAGTGCAATATCCTTCTCGGGATGCTTCTAAGGCTACAATAATGCGGAGTAGCTACGCACGATCTTTCAAAGGAGGAGTTGATCCACTATCGGATAAGCCGTTGGGGGGGGATGCGGAGAAGGGAAATCTAGGGCCTGGAGTAAAGCTTGACAAAATCTTAGCCTTTCTGCCCGCTCGGGATGCATCCGTGATCGGGTAATGCTTGATATCGGTGCAAGTTGTCCCAATTCGGGACCCGATCCGTGCGTCTGCTTCCCCACCACACTATGAGAATATTCACGGATGTTGCTGTTAATTCCCTACGATGTTAATTACTTTCGGGCCAATATCTATCATAGCTATAGAAATCAGTTCCTATACCTTCAAATTCCGTTGGACAATATCTATTCTGGATTTAGATTCTTATTGTTTGTGCTAGAATTCTTTACCTTGATCATGTCTAAACCTACTACCCTGCAAGCGGCCAGCCGCCTCAAATCTTCCTTCTTAGAGGATAAGCAGACTTTCGGTGCCTGGCAGATGCTTCCTGGGTCCAATATTTCTAGACTATTGGCCCGATCTGGCGTGGATTGGGTTTTGGTCGACTGCGAGCACGGGAATATTGACGGTGAGAACCAGTCGAGGCTTCTCTCACTAGATCCAAAGCAGTAAATCACTGATACGATGTATACAGACGCCGCCATGCACGAGGCCGTCCCGGCTATCGCTGCGGTAGGGTGCTCACCCATAGTCAGACTACCCGACATGCAAGGATGGATGATCAAGCGTGAGTGTCTATCCCGCCTTAAATACCCTTTCTAACTCAAATGGAATACAGGTGCTTTGGACAGTGGAGCCCATGGAGTAAGTAAAACTATACATACCCAATACTGTTATATAATGTTCATACTAACTCAATATTTCATAGATCCTCGTCCCCCTAGTCCGTACCGTTTCAGAGGCAGAGCAGCTCGTTGTCGACGCTAAATTCCCGCCTAAGGGTCGACGCGGCTTCGGCTCCCTCATCGCCCTCGAGCGCTTTGAACCCAACCCTACTCTAACTGAGTATCTGCACCAGGCCAACGACGCCCTCGTCACCATCATACAGATCGAGACCAAAGAGGCTTTTGAGAGCGTCGAGGAGATCGCAGCCACCGACGGTGTCGACGCCCTCTTCATTGGGCCGTTCGACCTTGGTATGTAACTAAATCTAAACTTTTGAGTTCTCTTTTTTTTCTCTCTCTCTCCTATTTGCAAAGGGTATAGTTTGATTGGGCTTACGATTGATACGTAGGAAACAACATCGGCTACCCTGTCCAAAAGGGTATTCTTAACTCGCAGCTGAAGGCCGCCATGTCTCGAATCTTGGCTGCAACTCGCAAAGCAGGAAAGAAATGTGGCGTCTACTGTAAAGACTCGAATCAAGCGCGAGAGTTTGCTGAGCAAGGATATGACATGATCGTCGCGGTCACGGATTACACTGCCATTCAGCATATCGCTAGGGAAGAATTGAGTTTTGCGAAGGGTGACTCAAAGCCTGATGGATCAGGCGTTTTTTAATGTCCGACTCTCGACGATGGGCTCTAGGTGAGCCTTGTAGTAAAAAAGGTCCTGATGGCGAGGGCGAGTGCAAGATAGTCTCGAAGCTTAAGATCCGTCTGTGTGGGATTGGGTGCAAGGGAGGCGCAGTATCTATTCGTTGTTTTTGAGCAAGCCGATTAGTGCCGTGCTAACCAGACGTGACAACTGGTAGCAGCAAGTATATAACTTGAATATCACAACTAATATATGTCAAATCAAAGTCAACATGTTCTCAAGGAATATCTTCAAAATATCCTCCTATTGAACAATTCCCTCACCACTTACAGCCATGTTTAGCATAGCTTTTGACAAGATCCATCATTCTAAAGACTAAAATGCAGTATCGCATGCATAGTGAAACTTGCACATCAAAAAGTATCATTATTTGGAAGTGGAAAATTTGGGCAAAGGTGAAAAACGATACATGTAACTCTGAAAATGAGATTAAACTCTATTCGAGATTTTCTCTTCTGCATTCTGGCAAGTTCTAAGTAACACGAGTGGGTAATCTGGAGTACATGATTTCATGAACACATAATGATGATCCGGCTTGTTGATCTGTACAAAATAGCAGTAGTAGAAAATAATGGAGAAAAGTATGAGGAGAGCCAAATCTTAGGTGGCGATGAAGCTTGGTCACCACGTGGAAGCAGACAGCCAGTTGAAAAGACGCATCAGCTCTGTTCCCCGAAATCGTGATGCTGGCTGTTTAGAAAGTTAGGAGTATAAATCTCATGTGGAGATTGCATTCTGATCGAGCGTATTCTGGTATTTCTGGGATGCGAGGGTCCGATTTAGAACCCGAGAAAGATGTAATTAAAATCATATGTATCCTATTGGCTCAATCAAAATCTATGGGTACCCAACCTAGCGCCTAACTATACAATCCCGGCCTGCTCAATGCCTGTTTCACTCCACGACATCGAATTCAATAGTTCCCCAACCTTCGAAACTGCAGGTCCACCGGCCAGGCTTGTCCATCGGCATCGCCTGCAAACAACTACCGGGCATGATGACCTGACCCGGCAGAAACTCAACATCGTACTCCGCGAGGCGGTTAACCAGCCAGGCCGTAGCCGCCAGCGGGTTACCCAGGATATTTGACGTGTTACCCGTCATAATCTCCGTCCCATTGAACTTCAAGACACCTTTAGTGTTATGTAAATTGAGGTCGGTGACCTGACGTGGGGTGCCGCCTAAAATAATGCCGCCCTGGGAGCCGTTGTCGGCCAGAGTATCCTCGAGGCCGATAGCCCAGTTCTTGACACGAGAGTCGATAATCTCAATAGCAGGGATGGCGAAGTCGATGGCGCGGACGACATCAGCGATAGTCACATTGGGACCTTTCAGGTGGCCCTTGAGGACGAATGCAGGCTCCAGCTCGACGTACGGCTTGATGAACTTGCTTAGAGAGATCTTTTGGCCCTCGTGTAGGAAGCCGCCGGCCAACAGGAAGCCGTAGTCTGGATGATCTAGGCCAAACGCAGCTTGCATGACCTTGGCGATGTTGCCCAGCTTGTATCCTACAAGGCGATCACCATTTTTGACTGCGTTCTGGACGGTTATCCTCTGAACCTCGAAGGCGCCATCGGCAGTAAGATTAGGGTAGGTTTTCTTGGGGGGATCAATAGGAGTCCGGCTAATGCGTGCCTTCTCTAGGGCAACCGCAATGTCGTTGAGCTCTTGAGTGTTCATAGTCTCCGTTATGGGCCTGGATATGGAATAGATGAGGATGGGATCTGAATAATCCAAAGTCGTACGAGCAAGAAATCACGTTTGCGGATTGCGGTTGTTTAACCTACACCTAATAAGTGATAATACACATATATACCTATCCATACCTTAACTATCACCCAGTCAAGAGCCCCGCGTTTAATCAGATGGCCCTGGAGATATTCCGACAAAGCCGACGCTCATCGGAAACACGGGTTTAGTAGGCGAATTCCCACCCAATATGAGTGCTAAACAAAGACTCAGGTGGAATTTCGGGTGACGACGGGGACGCCTCGGGTTGATAGCCCGTGAGAGAGATAGCTATATTCGGGACAGCATCTATATCTGTTCTCGGATACAGGACATGCATGGGAGCTTGCCTAGATCGGAGCTCAGCTGCAGCAGGGCGGAGCCCTCCAATGCTTGAATGTAACCCTCCAAATGCCGTAGTCTAATAGAAAAGCCAGTGTGGCCCTAAAGAAGCAACTAGAGTAATACGCGTAGCAGATTGCTAGGATTTCTCATATACACTAGCGATATACACGGTTTAGCGTCTTCGGCTCCGCACAATGTAGTTTTCTCGCTTGACCTCTGGGGTATTTTGTGGATGCCGAATGTGGGGTCGGCTTGTGAAGCCGAGATGTACTTTGTAAGAGCAGAATGCGGTCCTGCCGACGAGTGGCGCTGAAAACTGGGAAATGTTTACCTGGAGGAGAGAACTGGGCCACGCAGTCTCATCTGGGTGGGTATATTTTTACCCGTTGTTTCGGAGGCCTAGGGTATTAAGCATGTTTCCCACTATGCCATAATCGTGTTAGATGTCGTAGTTGAGATAGGCACCCTGAGATATGAGATATGCCCCTTTACAAATTCTAAGGCTCTGATTAGTTGAGGGGCTTGCTGGCAGGCCCCAATTGTCGTGCTTACTACTCCACTTACTGCTCCGGAGTTTCTCCAAGTTGAGTCTTGCACCCATTGAATATTCTCTGCTTGAAAACGTGAACGAAAACCAGGGGCAGCAGTGCCAGGGGAAAATACTATTAGCGGAGCGTTTACACCTTGAATTCAGAATTGCAAGTCACTAAGCATATAAGACAGACTGCAGAACATGTTTCAAAGAGATAGCGTTATATCTAGATGATGAACTTCGCGCAACACTATAATGATTCTTTAAAAGTATACCATTATATCACATGCTAAAGTGAATGTTACTGAGCAGGCTCCAGGCGCTCAAATATCAACCTTTTAGACCTCATTCACCTTGTGTTTCTTGGGACCCCAGCCCCGTAACATTAACCAGACATCCTTCCAGAAGCCGACGGGGGCCTCTTCTAGCGAGGCCTCATAAGCATCAATGAGAGGGGCCTCCCAGATTAAGTCAACGTCTTTCGCCCTGATGAATTTGGTCTTCTTGATGAGCTTCCAACCGAGAAACAGGCATGGCACGAACAAGGGCATGAAGTAAGCAGTAACGAAGCCGCTGACGTTGAAGGGGACCAAAGATCGGTAGCCATAGAAGAAGAGGATAACGATCTCAAAGATGAGAGCAAACCATGCACTGTAGGGCTGAAACCAACCCTTGTAAGGCAGCTTGTCGCGGTTGAAACCCTGGACGTGACAGGCGCGGTGGAAGCGGATATAGGTGATGAGAGCAGTAATGAAATAGATCAGGGTAGCACCGGTAGCGAGGTTAATAAGCCAGGTGAGGACGGTGGAAGAGCCGCTTCCGAGTTGCAGCAGGGACAAAAGGGGAAAGATCATGGTGACTACGAAGCAGTAAATGGGGGTGCCGGATTTGGTGACCTTCCTCAGAAATTTGGGGGCACGGCCTTCGAGAGCCAGGCCATAAAGACATCGGGTTGCGCTATAAAGTACGGTGTTACCAGCAGCGAAGATGGTAGTAGCAAATAGAGCAGTAATCAGATTAGGTAGGCCTTTGATGCCGAGATTTTGCATGGCAATAATGTAAGGCGAGGCAGCAGCGCTTCTGCTGTCACCGCTGCCTTTCCTGTAGAGAGCATCCAGGACCTTGTCGGTAGGCGAAATAATGATGGTGACGGCCAGGCAGCCCCCGATGAAGAAAATCAGGATGCGTGCATACAGGGCCTTGTAGGCTTTCTTGACATACGTACGGGGGTGTTTAACTTCGCTGGCTGCGATGCTAAGGAATTCAGGTCCAACACAGGTGAAGGACGCAGACCAGAGTGCCGTAAGAAAACCCTCAAACTTTCCTGTGGTGCCAGTGCTAAAGTATTCCAGGAACGGCCCAGGGTCTTTCCAGTGTCGGAAGCCAAATGCATCGTGTTGAGGATTACCGCCGCACATAGTGACTAGAGTAAACATCATGAGGAGGATCATGAGGAATGCTTTGCCACTGCAGAGCCAAAACTCAGCCGCGCCATAAACGCGAACGGCAAAGATGTTGATCGCACTATACGGGAGAAGTTGCTGTTAGTGGGTCTCTCATATCTCATATATATATATATATATAGGTATATATTGATACCAGCTTGTATTTCTTTGATGGATTTTCAAACTCACATATAGAGCACAATGCAGCCTGCACAAATTGCTCCCGCGGGTATATGGGAACTCCAGAATGATAGAACCAGGCTCAGAGCCGTAATCTCAAAAGGAACAATAAGACCAAGGTAGATGTAGAAGTTCCAGCCACCAGCAAAACCAAGCGCGTCGTCGACCCAGTGACCGGCTAAGCGAATGAAACTACCGCTAACGGGCATATAGGTTGTCATTTCGGCAACGGAGTTGTTGATATTGGCGAGGACAAGGTTGTAGACGATAAAACCTAGAAGCAAACCGGCGGGTCCTGCAGAGTTTAGAGCACCGCCGATGCTGACAAACAGTGCGGTGCCGATACCACCTCCGATACCAAGCATAAAGATGGTTCGGATAGACATCTCACGATGGAGTTCGCCAGCGGTGGTGGCCGGATAGAGCACGCCGGCGCCATGGTCGACAACCTCGGCGTGCGCGTCACGAGGCTTCTCCATGGAGGAGGTGCGCAAGGAAGGCTTTTCTGATGTTGCTGGACTCGCCTCAAGATTAGACATCTTCGATGAAGATATGTGTCTATCCTCTCATATGATAAGACAGCTGAGAGAAAGAATAGAAGGAAGAGTAATGGAAGGATAGAGGAGTTTGGAGAGAGGAGAGGAACAGAACAGGGAACGGAATGCGGTGATGTATCCTGACTTTTATCCAAGTTTGCCGACATGCTACACATTGGAGTAGAGAATGCTACTTGGTACTAGATTTTGGTACTAGATTTTGGAAAGAACCTTTTCATGGTGGCGGTGGTGTCCCCTTACCCCAAGTAAACCGGTGGCGTAGCCCCACTCTTCATAGAAATTACTCAAAGCCGGGGAAAGGCTGAAAATCTCGGAACCCGACCGTCGCAGTGACCCACTAGAAGCCGGCTCTCCAGGAAATCTGGGGGTTAGACGGCAGATACTAACTTCGGATGCAGAACCCCATGGGGTTCAATGCCTCACAAGCCACATTTCCACGTTTCTTTCCATGTTTCTTTCCATGTTAACGGAGAGTCCCGGAAGGCGAGTATACTAAAATGGCGACGCCAACATCGGTTCCAGACTGGCTAGCTTTTGGGAGTCTGCTCCCTAGAACGGTGGCTTTTTTGCGCCATAAAGTTACCAAACCTTGATAAGACACGACAGCGTCGACGCACTATTCTGACGTTTGGAACAGATTATCTCCTTCTTTCAACTAGTCCGGCCTAGGGTGGCGGTAGGTTTGCCTGTTCATGTAGTCGGCTCCTGAGCCGAGATGGACGCTTCGCGGATCATAACCCATCTCCTTACGAACTTCTGGGCTCGTCATAGTTTTTGTCTTTAGAACAGACATAATTAGTAAGGCTGATGATAAAACCTCCTAATGTATCAGCTCTAGAAAAGATTGATATGCTAGAGTGGAGTCAACCTTTGGACTAAAGCCTTCATCCGTCATGAGGCAATATGTTGATCATCTACATAACAGAAAAAAAAAAAATCGCCATGCACTTATTCAGTAGGAAGTTATTCTATATTAACACGAAGAGAGCAGCAAGTCGCAGTTCTTTTCTGGCGAATTTGAGTTGAGCGTTAGCTGAGTGGAAGTTTCCTTATGCGATCTCGTGCCATGCTCATACCACCTGACGCAGGGAATCTGCATGACCCGAAATTCGTTTCCACTCAGAGCGTTCAGGAGATTTACCACAATGAATGAAAGGCTGAGACCCGCTCGGAATGGCTTAAATGCAGTGGGTTGTCCTTTGCACAGGGATCGGATGTGGAAGCCGAGACACCCGAGATCTCGGGTTCACGTACCGTACCCCAATGTGGTCATCAGACTAGTGTTCGCTGCTTGTCTCCGAGAGTAGTGTGTGTAAGTCGCCCGAATTCGATACCACTCTCGGCTCAGATTCGAGCTTCCAGGTGACCACATACCGAGTCTAAGAGAATCGAGATGTTGGATGATCGGAAGCAGGCTGTGTACTAGCCAGCCTAGGCGCCGTCTCTTGGAAACCAGCCGGCAAGGGAGTTAGAGAGAGAAAGCGAGGACCAGAGCCCACAAAGAAGGGATATTGCTAGACTAGTTTAATCATATGGGTAGATGGCAAACTCGTAACGCCCCTCCTCAACATTATAAGAATAAAGAGAAGCAGCCGGTCTCATCACATCCATTCTTTTCATCAACAGACTAAACACCTCAACATCATCAATACATCGTCAAAACATCATCAAAACAACAAGAACATTAAACTTAATTAAATACTCTTCACAAAATATCTCTTTGATTTAATTCGCCCTCATCATACAAATGCCTGGTTCCATTGCCGTCCTCACTGACGCGCCCGTCGCGGCCGTCGCGCCTCACAAGGCTCCCCATGTCATTGGACCCAAGCAGAGAAATCCTATGCGGCCTACTGCCGTTATCCCCCAGGAGATCATCGATGAGGCTCGTGCCGTTCCCGTGGAGGCATGGAACCCCAAGAAGCACGTTGCTCCCAAGACTCAGGTCGTCCAACACCTCATGAAGGACATTGGCCTTGAGGGTCACGGCATCTCTCCTATTGCTGTTACAGATCCCTTCCCACTCTTCACTGAAGAGGCTATCGGTCAGATCCGCCGCGAGATTTTCAGCGAGTCTGTGCTACGGGAGTGCCGCTTCAAGTCTGACTTCAACGCTAACATGGTCCGTGGTATGGGTCATGAGCGCGCTCCCTTCACCTACGATGCTTGGTGGTCCCCTGAGATCCTTTCCAGAGTCTCCGAGGCTGCTGGTATCGAGCTTGTCCCCGCCTTCGACTATGAGGTTGCCAACGTCAACATCTCCATCAATGACCAGAATGCCCCGGAGGTTGTCACCTATGGTGATCAAACATCTGCAGTCGCCTGGCACTATGACAGCTTCCCCTTTGTCTGCGTGACCATGGCTGCTGATTGCACTGGTATGGTTGGCGGTGAGACTGCTATTAAGCTGCCGAACGGCGAAGAGAGGAGAGTCCGTGGCCCCGCTATGGTGAGTTCCTAGTCATTTCCATCTCTAATGCGCGTGGTCATATTCACTAACAGTTACCTTAGGGCACTTGTGTTGTCATGCAGGGACGCTATATCTACCACCAGGCCCTCAAGGCATTTGGTGGCCGCGAGCGCATTGCCATGGTCACCGCCTTCCGCCCCAAGAGTCCTTTCGTCCGCGATGAGACCATCTTAACTGGCTCCCGCGTCATCAGCCACATTAGCGAACTCTACCCACAGTATATCGAATACCGCCTGTCCAACCTCGAAGAGCGCTTTCGTCGTGCTCTCCAGCAGGAGAAGCGCCGCCAAGTTGAGCGCAAGAAGTTCGATATCACGGCGATGAGGGCATTCTTAACCGAGCAGCTAGAGTATATCCAGACTTCTCTCAATGAGGTCTATGAGCCTGACGCTGACTACACCCCTCTGGACAACTAAACTACATCATGATCATTGCGATTAGCAATAAAGTCTAGAGATTCGGCCTCTGTGGACAAAAAAGCAGTTGTCACATGCTGCATCTCGTCTACTCATCAGCTGTATAAAGAATCTTGCGTGCTTAAAAAGGCATCTTTATACCTTTTTCACTTGCCCAATTGGCCGCAAGTATATATCTATAAAAAGAAAAAAAAAAAGAAAGAACAAAGGAAATTCTAATGTCTATATATCGGCTATCAGTAAATGTGAGAGATACAAAATGGCTATCGAAGACATATGTTGGGCAACGTACACAAACAAATGTTGCTGGCAAATATATCATTCTGAGAACCGCAATTGACTTCATAAGGCTGTCTTATTAAGCCGTTTCTGCTACTGCCAAGCTGCTTCTAGATATATTTTCATTAAGCCGTGCATCTTTTCGGCCGATATTATTGAGGTCCTGCAACAACGAATATTAGCGATCAATAAAAGAAGATTTATTAAATTGTTGTGTTCATCAATTAAATCGCGCAGCCTTTTTCCAATTCGTTTGCCGCATTCTATCAATGCATCCCGGCTTATCCTCAAATCTGTTGTATTAACACACTCTATACCAAAGTTTGTATCTTCAAGCTCCTATATATGATCAAGCATCTTGAGCAATTGCGTTTTCCAATTTTCCAATTTTCCAAGCTGTTCTTGAGATGGTTGATTTTTATCCAGAGCATTGCGCAAGATTCGTCATCTTCAGCGGTAGAAAAGGTACTTTCGTTTTGTGTTATATCAGATCCGATTGAATTATTAAAGGTTGCTGATATCCTAGAGTTAGATGAGCACTTTGTAAACGCATGCACAATTTTCTCAAACATGATGCTGATAGGGTCTTTCCAGATAGGAAACTACCAACTCTTCCCTTCATATCAGTAAGACGGAAGTTAGTCCTGGATGATGGAAAATCTTTTTCAATCGACTGCTGGCTTTATTGATGGATATGATGCAGTGCATAAAATGCCTCGCTCCTGGATTCAATATCGAGAAACCTTTGCACAAATTGCGTATTGCTTCTGCGTACGAGTTTGGCATGTCTCTCTCGCTCGCTCGAATTCTGCAAATATGGTAGGCAGCATCATTAGATGAAAGACTTCCCCATCGAAATTACGCAATTTGCTAGTAATAATGGCAGAGTCTGTCAGTAGATGCCCATGAATATCTTGCTCCTTCAAATTGCAGCCGAACCAGACCGCATTAGTCGTCAGCGTATTTGGAATAAACGTTACGGACAATGCCATGTCTTCCTCCCAGCTTTCAGCTGTTCTGCAAGTGTATACTGTTATTGGGTGAGCAATTTTTACTTGCTTGGTGAATCAAGAAGGCGTACCTATTGCCTCGGTATTGGGCATCGTACTCTCTAGAACGCGCGTTGTCCTTGAAACTGTACAGCTTCTGTTTCTATTATTTGCTCATATAACTGATTTGTGCAATTTCAAGCTGCTCATTATTTTTATGAATGTCCTTTCCGAAAAGGGCATTTTGGACAATGAGGATGTTTTCCCGCTCATAATCAAAATAATATTACTGGAAATTCCTGTACTTTGGTTGACAGAAATACTCATGTCACCTTTCTCATATGGAAACAAGGCTGACACGCCGTCAAACTGCTCGAGCCATTGTTCCCACTCATGATCACTCGTTAGGTGCAATGGCTGAATGCACCATTCTCCAGCGATATACAAATCTGTATTGCGTCCTTCATCGGGGTGGCGGAGCTTTGATCATTCTGGTACCACTGCAGTAGCTTTTAATGTGGTGTTAGGCAGGATTCGTCATACAGCTGCTTGAATTGGCTACTGAGAGAGATATAAGATATAGTAGCTCAATACTGCTGCTTCATGCCCAGTAAACCTCAAGGGAAAATAAGGGGGGTCCATCTTCTTATATAAGAGCCAGTCATTTAGTCAAACTGCGATCTTGCCTATTGATTTGTACATTTCATATGATTGTATGGATGTAACCTTTTAACACTACGGTTCCGAATAGGAACCCATATAACTTCTACGGCTTTGGCCGACAAGGGCCAGATCGGGTGGTGGGTAGAGTGGTCAGCCTGACCACCTCCTTTTGACGCATACGAGTCAATCTATTTCTGCTGTGCAACGCTAATAGAGCCCACTGCCACCATTTACAGCAATTATAGGCAAGATGCACATATTAAGGGTGCCACACTACTGTTAGTGAGCTAGCTCCTAATGCTCAAAGGAAGAGAAATAAATGATCGCCTGAAACAGTCGGAGAACGCCTTAACAAACTCCACCGTACGCCTTACCGCTGCGGCTCATTTATTGCAACGCCTTTCTACTCAGAAAAGTTGTTGACTCAAGTTATTGCCATGAATTGTGAAAAGTTAAATGAATGTGTTAAATCTGTTCGCCTAATCTGTATTGCACAAGTTGCCTTTTGCGTGCCCATCAGTCTCGTTGAAAATCAGTACCATATTGCCTTCCTATAAGTTTTCCCAAGGCGAGTAGTGTCTCTAAAAATAAGTTGTAGTTCATGAGATTATGTACAAAGATGACAGAAAACAGCAATTGACGGAAATCCTTTGGTGGAGTGCCCTGCAGCTGCAAGGCATGAAGAACAAACAACTGCTAATCAGTGGGTAGGTAATTATCGCAGCAGCGATTTCAGTAGCCATACGAGTAGCATGTGCTGATTTCCTCGTCGGTAAGTTTACCCGGTGCTCGGACACGATATTCATTAGAGCGCATCTTCGCATAGTCAGGACGCATATCAAGTATTTAAAGATCTATCTATAGAAGACTGTTTAACTTACTTCAACAACGTACTGGTTGGGCCATTTTTCTTTCAGGGCTGCCTCCAACCTTCGAGGAACGATGTATCCTCCAGGGATGCACTGTGGCTCGTTCGATCTCCACTCTTCGTTAGATCTACCTCGGCCATGGGTGCGAAACCTGGACATAACTTTGTTGAGTTTGAATGGTGAGGATCCCATGTTACTGCCCAATCTTAAAGAGAAACTCAATATTTAACAGATATGAGAAGACTGAAGGTTAGAAGGTTGGCTTGGTATACAGGGTTGTGAGAAGTAAATGGTCCTTTCTGCACATAGAGTTCAAATACGCAAAACGTAAGGCTGGTGCCCAACTATGCCCGACCAATATCAAGTCGCAATGAGCATCCCGAGCCTACCCGGCTATTTGTGCCTGAATGATGTCTAAGCCCACCAGGCCACTTGTGCTTTCTGCTTGATATTTAAAAATAAAAATATGTCTCTTAAGTCTAATGCTCGGAGTTTCAAATTTTAAAGTAGTCACCTATACCATGTCAAGCGAGGGAATTCCTAAATACCATATCGCGCCCAACTTCTCCATACCGCCAGTTGAGGCGGGAGGGCTCTTACAGTTGGGCTCCATTATCGCCAATGTCAGTAGCGCAGACAAACCACCTGTTAACGAGGACTCCCATGTACACATTCTGCAAACCGAGCTATTCTGCAGCCACCAAGGGGATTTCACAGCGACAAAATCGCGCATGGAAAGCGGTGACTGCGGTGTGTGGGCGAAATTTATCGGTAGAGCTGGCCTCGGTGGCGAGCTGAGCTGGGGGACTGAAAGGTCTGCTGAGGATGTCTACCGCTTTCGTAGCATGGATACTATATATTTCAAACCATCAGAGGCATATATCAAGGAAAGTATGGGGCGGTCAGAGGTACAAGACTACCTTGATGGCTCTGGGACTAGTTACGTCTATATGGTCACTGGCCTAAAGACTGCCAGAGGTCCATCAGTGAGGATGCATAAGAGCTTCAAGTCCAAGGTTTCAGTCGAGTTGGGCTTACACGAGCCAGGCGGGTTAACTATGAAGGTTGGGCCCAAATTCAATACCTCCAAGAATATGAGGTGGGAGAATAGCTTCCAAGACTCTACCGATTTTATTATTGGCATCCGCGTTAATAAGCTCATGTACAAGAAGCATTGGCTAAGCCGTGCACGAAAAACCTTGTATGATGAAGAGTACAACAAAGGTGCAACGATGGTGGACGATGATACACATGAGAAATGCGTTGACGAAGTTATTGATTTGGGCGACGACGCAGAAGATCAATTCGAAATAGAGAAATATGTTATTGATGATGAGATAAATGAGACAATGTGGGTAACTGGGTAGTTGGTTCAGTAGACTGATGATATCTTGCAAGATGAATTGAGTGAACCTATTGCACTTCTTCCTACCCGACTCTCTTTCAAAAAGCACGATATAATATATCATAATAGCGAATTTTTATAGTGACGCCAGTATTTTTCCGATTTTTGCAGCTACCTTGTCATCGTCATCGCCATCGTCCCATAATAGGTTGGGTTGCAGGTAATCATACTCGTCTCGCTCGTTTGACATAGAACGGAACACTGCTTGCATTCCATGCTTCTTATAGAGTAGCTTCTTATCCTCTTCTTTGAGCTCACACCTGAAATTTGCAAATTCCAAAATATCTGCGGCAAAGGCCGCTGCTACGGGAGTAGCAAACGAGGTTCCAGATTTATATACCTTTTTCTTCTTCCAGTATGATTTAACGGCGACACCAAGAGCAGTAAAATTGTATTCATTTCGTTGTGGATTCGGATTCATATCTCCTCTGTTGCCCTTACCATCACAGGCGTGTATACAAATAACCTCAGGGTTTCGACCAGGACGAGAGCGGTCTCTTCTATTGCCCCCTTCATTGGAGGCAGCCGCGAACATTAGAATGCCGGCTTTGGAGGCTCTTTCGATAGCATCTTCAATAGCCTGCTTCTTGCTTTCATAACCAAACGACATTGATATGATGTGCACTTTCCATTCTTTCATTGCCCAATCGATAGCCTGCGGAAATAACTGTCAGTACAACACTCTAGCACTTGGGAGCGGAGTGACTCACCTCAGCAATTCGGTCCATATCTTTCGCGTCCACTGTCTTACCGTCCGTAATCTTGGCGATGTAGATATCTGCAGCTGGAGCCATTTTAAGCAGGAGGCGAGTAACATGTGTTCCATGACCATATCTGTCTTCGTAATCTTCAATTGATCCAACCCAACTTCGCTTAGCTTTAATTCTTGATCTGCTAGCGGGCCCAATCATCTTGTCGGTGGTATCAATTCCTGTGTCAAGTATCGCGATTCGAATTGGCTCTGGGGTTTTTATACCTGTGTAAGCTCTTGCAAGACTGATGGATTCCAAATTCTCTCGGAGAGTTTTAATCTTGCAGAGAAAGCCGTCCTCTAATTCCAAAGTTAATTTTTGTGCATGTTTAGACCTATCACACTAATTGTTAGAAATATGAAGCGAAGATCTAGCCAGCTACCGATGCTTCTCGCACCACTCACTTTTCATCAGGCTCAAAGGATTCCCAGTCATCATATAATACAATGGGACTCAAGGTTGAGGTATTTTGCTGTCTGGAAAGAAGAGACAGACCCGGCGCCCCTTCGAAGAGACGTGCGGCGGCTCCAAATTCAGACACTAGCTTTTGGTATAGTGGATTTATAATGCATTTGTACAAGACCGCAAAATGCTTTAAGTCTTCCCTAATACCGGGATGATGAAAATTCGCGACAAGAGCCTCAAAATATAAGCAAGACATCCCAATTCCATGATAGAAATCAGTGAAGTGGCTGTTCTTCCATTCCTTTAGGATTCGGGATAGACGAAGTCTGTTGGAGTTGACTTCCGTATAATAATCTTTGTCATATTCAGTCCATCCTGCCGTGCAATTGGCCTCAAGCTCAAGAATCAAGACACCAATGGCAGCAACATCCTCTGGTAGCAATCTTGTGCTGGGATGAGATCCCAATTTACAAGGAATATGTGCGCGCCAAGAATTTAACGAATTGTTAGGAGATGAATGTGGTGAGAGATAAATATTTTCTGCTTCGAATGTGTGTTGAATCCAAGGGCTGCCGCATAGTTTAAGTAGAGAACATGCAAGGAGAAGCCCAACTATCTTTCGGTTAATCTGACCCAAGCTCTGATTGTTTATTGATTGGGAGATGTGTTCTTTAGAAAGGTGATCCGACATCATCGATGGTAAACTTGCGATAGGCAAATCATGCGTCTCAGAACCCACAGTGTAATCTTCCCAGATTCTTGTTCCGTTGAAACAGCCACGGATCATTCGACAGCGAGGTTCATACGCACACATTTTAGGCTCAAATTTCGTTTCTGACAAATTGGCCTCCAAGGAGCTGTACCATGATCTATCAGCTCCACTAGGGAAAAAAAAAAGGACCAACCAGTTTGATGAGATTTACAGTTTGGGGAAGTTAGACAGAGGAAAGCAAGGACAACGAGCCAACTGGGATTTGTTTTGGGGGGGGAGGGGGGGGTTTAATAAATTAAGAAGGAAGGAAACAACATACTGAATGAAGCTTGCAGGTATCCAAACTTCATCTTTATGGCAGGTCTTTAAGAACATTTCCAATTGCGTTGTACGGAAGCCAGAGAGGTGCAATCTTGCCGTATGTTCAGCATTACAGCCGATACGCTCAACCAGCAATTTGAATAGTGAAGAAGATGCTGTGTTGAAATCATGTGTGTCCTTAATAAAGCTTTCTTCTTCTTTCGTAACCTTCTGCAATTGGCTCTCGGCATCCCACTCTGTTGCCTCATCTCTAGATATATCATAGACGGCTTGCTTGAATCTCTCAATCACCCCTTGGCAATCTGCTATCGTCTTTCCAGGAGGTGGAAATTTGATATACGGGCTTGGAATATCCAGCCCGAAAACCGATCGCTGAATCTCTAACACAAAGGTATTGCCTGTTGCTGCAGACTGGAGAGAAATCCCCGTCTTAGCGTTGTCGGTATCACAGGTATCCTTTCTGAGTATGCCAGATTGCCCCCCCAAACTTTGAAGAAAGGCAAGCTTAGGGAAAGGCTCTATAACCTAGTGGTTTATTGGTGTTAGCCAAAAGCAATCAAGCCAGTACTGGTCCAAATATAGCGGAGAAGTTTCCAACTTCAGTTGTTCGATTGTCCACTAGAATATCTTGAAGGCTTGTAAATTTAGCCTCACCTGTAGTCCTGGGATGCTTCCATATGACTTCTCTTCAAATTGCACCGACTGTTCAAATAAAGATAACAAAGGGTCGAGAGCGTTGATCAACTGGTCGATATCCTTGCTTATAGCTTGACCATTACTGATATGCTGGAGCGTAATGGGTAATAAATTGATATCTGCTCGTAGAATGGTAATATCATCCACATCACTTAAGCCGTACCTGGATGTTAAGCAATATCGCCCATTGTTGATATCATCCCGCGTGGGAAGGCAGTCGCTAAAGTAAGAATGGACGCTTTGCAAGACCTTGAAACGCACTTGTGCTTTGCGAATGCGTTGTTCCCCTTCAGACATTTCTAAGACTTTTGCGTCTTTCGGGTTCGTTCTAAGCGATTAAGTTTGCTTCATATATTAGCACGAGGAAAAGCTTTCGAATTTAGTCTACTTACTGTTGTAGACAGTTATGCTGGTCATATATTGTCGAAAGATTCGCAGATGAAGTCTTGCCTCGTGGCATCATAGCAAGGTAATCTAAGAAAAGATGACCGAAACAAGGTACATTTTATACAATGAGCAGCAAATAAGATTCAGTAGTATTTATGGCCAAATTCAGATGTCCATGAAATGAAGATGTCGGATGGATGCGCCATGGAACAAGTACAAGGCAACCCCGCACTTCCATCACCAGTTTTCGAGATGCTGTGCGTGAATACGCAGCCTTACATGCATTATATCCAATAAGAAACAGTCTATTCTTGGCAGTAGATAATTCCCTCATATTGAAAGATACCTTGACTTAATTTTGGAATACGCAACTATAAACTTGTCTCAGGTTTGGGGCGCACATATATAACTCTTGTCTCTATAATACGAAGTACATGCAGCATTTAACACCGCCATCTACATGTACTCTTCATTATTCAATTGATTTATTCTTCCATTTCATAGGAAACCGAAGCATCTGAAAAATCGTTTATTGCGATGCGGGACACTACAGGCAGCAGTGGTCAAGTGGTAGAAAATGAAGTTGATGAATACGGGAAGGCAGTCACCTCCATATACCACGCTACTAATATCTGTTTTAATATTTTTGAACACCTTATATCCGTAGTCAATGCTGATTCCCTCACTAAACACATGCTCTTGGTATCAGATATAGAACCTGAGGAAAAAATGAAAGGAATACCTCGAGATGTTACAGGTATTCGCAATAGCTTCGTTCTTTGGGTTGATCACACTAAGGCTTTAGCCACCGCCGGTGCCTCTTTGGACGACAGGCTCCAAGAGGATGATAAGATCAAAGATACGGTAGTAGCATTACTGGAGATGATAGAAAGAAATCTCAACCGCTGTGAGTGCTCTAATTGACCTATTCCAATACAACGATCTAACTCTGCATATAAAATTAGTAAGACAGAACTGTGGCAAGAATCCAACGTTTCTTGACGAGGAGTCCCAACGATGGCTGACTTCGATCGATTCGGCTCTCAACAGGTTAAATGAACTAGCCAGAGCCATAAGTAAAAATTCTATTAAGCCGCAAGAAGAACTCGTCATATTTACCAGCAACGAAGATAAGGTTTTTCATGAAAAGGTTATTGCGCATATCAAGTCGAAATTCCCAAAAGCAAGGCCAAGCCTCAGGGAATATATGGGTGCCCGTATTGTCGCTCGGCGACGAACACTGATGCTTAAGTGCCGACGCGCAAATAAGTCAAAAGCAACGCAGAATGAAGGCTATGCGGAAGTTGAATATCCAGATATGCCACAAACAAAGCCTGGCGAGACCCATTTTCAATGTCCATACTGCTTAAAACAACTGCAAGTAACTGAGCTAAAAGAGAGAAATGATGAGTACTGGAGGTAAGACTGTGCGGTTATTTTCATTTTACAAAAGATCTGGCTGCTAATCAATAATTTCAGACTGCACATAAATCAAGACCTTCTACCGTACATATGTCCCTTCACGAGCTGTCCAGGCTCTATGTTCGCTCACCAAGCCCACTGGAGCAGTCACATGGCCATAGTCCACTCCAAAGAATGGCCTAGAAAAGTGCATTCTAGGATATGGGATTGCAACCTTGACCATGAGACGCCCGTCGAGTTTAATAACGAAGCAGACTGGAAAACCCATATGGAGGATATCTCGCTTCACAAAAGCCGTTCAAATCCACTTACCGGCAACCGTCTTGATGATCATATTGTTACAAAACAACAATTATGTCTTCGCGAGCCTTTTGTTTGCCCATTCTGCGAAGAGAAGCCCAAATCAATTGAGAACCCTGGAGGTCGTGGGAACCCGGCAGAAATGGAGAGCTCCTTGACGAGCCACATTGCTGATCATATCAGGTCACTTTTGCTTATGGCGCTACCAGCCTTTGATAGCGAAGTCACAGATGCCGCCAAGAGACCAGTTGGTCACAAAGTCTCTCAAAAAGAACAATCTAAGCCTCTGAGAAAAGTTTTAAGAGAATCTTTGATAACTTGTGCGCTCAACAAAGAGAAGCGTTTCATACCTCGTCGACAACTGGAAATGAAATGCGATATAGAGGCGGTAGCAAGAGAATTGAAAAAGGCATTTCCCAGAAGTGATCCTAATTTTTACGGAAAACTCGCATCACTGATATGCCATGGCCAAACTCGAAACTCGTCTCTTATCTCGAAGCCATGTTTCAAAATATTCGCCATTCTCGTGCTTCTTGACAAAGCTAGGCTTATAGACTACTTTCAGAAGCATTCAGTGTGCGACGATGACCTTCCATTTTACTGCACTCCTGACTTTGGAAAGATGTGGTCGAATAAAACGGGAGAGAAAGATTATATAAAGTTTCCTGATGGAATTGATGATGAATTCATTGAGGCTTTTGCTAGAGTACAGTGGTCAGTTTTGGCACCAGCTTTCGAGTCCCCTAAATCGAGCTCTTTGCGTTGCAACTTCTACGAATTCGACGATATGATAATACTTCCTATCACAAACGTCTCAGACAATAAACACCAGGGTGGTTTTGGATTAGTCGAAAAAGTACAGTTACACGAGGAGCATAATGGTTTTGTAAGTTTAATCATAAGCGTCTAATCCGAAAGTGCTTTGAGCCCCCAATAGCGCTAATCAACAACCACAGAAACACTCACACTTTGCCCTAAAAACTATTCATTCTATGATGCCGTTTGATTTGAAAGATAATTTTTTTCGGCAGGAGCTAGATGCTTTTCAAAAAGCTAAGCCCCGTAGTCATCTTATAGAGGTCTGTGCTGCTTTCAAAAAAGGAGAGAATTATCACTTTCTATTCCCATGGGCAAATGGAGGCACACTGATTCACTTATGGAATAAACGTCCGCAAGATATTGTCACAGAGAAGCGGGTTCAATGGTCAGAATTTAGCCGATGGATTTGTGAGCAATGCCATGGCATTTTTCGAGATCTTTTAGGTATCCATGAGCCTCAAGGACAATCTCAAAAAGATAGAACGGCCGATAAGGAGGACCTCTACTCAATACACAGCGATATCAAGCCAGAAAATATCTTACACTTTACTGAAGATGGTTCGCCACTGGGTTCGCTCAAGGTTTCAGACCTGGGCCTTATGAAATTCCACAGGCTCATCTCCCGAACGGTGCAATCCAAACCTATGGGCGCCGCCTATCAAACTTATAGAGCGCCAGAACATGATATGGGTATGATAAGATCAAGGAAAATTGATATATGGGCATTTGGCTGTCTCTTTGCCGAGTTCCTTACGTGGGCTATCGCCGGCCAAGGTGGGATTGAACATTTCAAAACGATGCGAGTGGACGAAGATAGACACTTTCCTGATAAAAACAAAGGCGAATGGTTTGAAGACCATTTCTTCACAATGAGGACGGGACAACCAAGGCGGAAACAATCTGTCGCAAAGGTATGTATCAATAGGGACTGATCGTGTCACATCGTTGCCTACGAAGGCTAACCATTATATGCTTAAAGTGGTTTGCAAACCTAGATGAAGACTTGAGTAAAGATACGTTCTTCTCACAGTTCTTTAGCTTTATCCAAGACTCGATGCTTCATCCGGATAGAAACGCTCGAGTAGAGTATAAAGATGTTGAAAAATTCTTGGAGAGATGCTTAGAAAATCACGCTGACAGTTCATTTTGGTTCCTTGACGGAAAATTGACTGAAAAATACAGCTATGGCCAGCGCACGACAGGATTAAGTACTTGGTCGCAAGAATAGATAAACTTTTTGGCCTTTCTATCTCCATATATATTTTTTCCCCAGGCTTGTGGAACTAATATTTTGCAACTAGTGGATTCTAGTATACTAACGAGCGGAGACTAAACCAAATCTTAAGGCACTTGTACCCAATACTACTTCTATGTATATATTATAATGAGACTCTTTTATAATTTTATTCATGTCATTCTTTTCCGTATGTGCGTTTTTCATTTTACGCTCTCTACCTTCTTGCCTTCCTACTCCTTCTTCCACACATCCTTCCACCACTCCTTAAACCCATACGGCTCCGCCCTCGTATCATAAATTTTCACGTTATCCTTACCCGTCAAACCACCCATAATCCCGCCCCCCGTAAACGGAGACGGCTTAGACGTCAGCTTCGTAGTAGCACGCGGCGCCGTAGCCCTATCCTTAATCTCCTTGGAAATCAAGGGCGCAACGTCTGCGAAGCAGGCATCCAGTTCTCGCTGCAGAGAGAAGTACGGCTTCTTGGCCAACTCGGGAGCCATCAGGTTGTAACTCCTCGTGATACTGTTTAGTTGCTCTATCGACAGGTTCAAATACGCATGTTCTGCCTTTTCCCAGTCCGGATCACGAAATGGTCTCGGTAAGGGCCTTAAGTCCAGCCCATCGCCCTGTGTAGAAGCTTGTTCCGGCTTGGCTCCAGCCCCTTGTTTAGGATTATGCAGCCTCTCCGCCGCAGCGTAATCATCCGCCCTAGCCATTTGCTCCTCCAACGACCCCCCCTTCGAGGCAATCATCCTCGAAGCATGGCGTAACCAATCCGTCCGCAGCCTCGAGCGAAGCGTATGTGCCGTCTTCGCAAGCTCCTGCTGCTTCTCAATCCACGGGGGCACAATCTCCTGCCGCTGAATGATCCTATTCAAAAGATACTCCGTCGTGTCGACAAACGGATTGCTCCTAGCGAGATCAATCTCTATCCCTTTACCACGAGCAATGTCCTTGAACTTGCCCCTGGCAATGGCATTCTCAATCTGCTCGTTCGCCAGCGCGGCCAAACCAGACGGCGTTGCCGGCATAACACGTGCGGCTGGCTCGAATCTCGATTGAAACTCCTTTCTCATCTCTTCTCGCTCTTTATCGCTCAAGCCTTTATCCTCCTTCATGCCCATGCCGGCGTAGACCGACGCTCTCTCCCGAGCATTCACCACCCTCTGACGAGGATGCACCACAGGAGTCCGTTTTATCCGAGGATCAACAACCGGCGGCTGAAATGTGCCCCTGAGTTCTGGCTTCAGAGGCTTTTTAGCATCATCCAACATCCTCAACACAGTATCCGCCGCGTCTTCTTCACCAGTCCATGGCGCAGCGGTGGCAATATGCCTCGTGCCTTCGCCAGCTGCAGATGAGAGATCCTTTGCGGCCAGAGCACTCGAATGATCGTGGTGAAATTTTGCATCCGCAATCTTGCTCAGCAGCTTCTCCTTCAACTCTTCGGAGAATCCTGCGTCCTGCACGGCACGCTTGCCGGCTGAGCCGCCGCTGAACAACGCCTCTTCGGTTGCCTCTTGCAGTCTCCGGGTCATTGCCCCGGGTTCTGACGTTGAAGAACGGCCATTATCGGCAGATTGAGATTCATTTTCTTGGCGTGAGCTTGGCTGGGTGTCTTCATCTTCATTTGTCGAGGGTTTTGCCAGCGAGGTGTATCGGCGCGCTACTTGCGGGCCAATGCGAGCTGAGTTGCACAGGCAATATTTGCACAAAGGTGCTGAAATTTTGGATATCATTTCAACCGAGGGGCTCATTCGGACTCCAAAGTTAAGAATTTGAGATGCTAGTCATCTGATGATTTACGATGCCAGTGAAAATGGATGCGACATTGATGCCTTAAAATCCTGGGTAGTGAGCATTTGTTCTATGATATAATCTTAGTCAGCCAATCATCACGATACCAACACGGCACTATGTATATATATGTACTTGCACTGCGCAAGCTCTTCTTTATACAATTTCACAGCATATTCAGTCATACCTTATGTAAAATATCAAATAACGTCTATATTTAACTAATTATTGGGTATCACTATATCTACGACTTTTTTTCATTACACGATGCTTCTTCCCCTCCGCCGCAACGCTTTATGACAAAAAAAGACAGAGCTGGGGGCTGCTATATTGTTGAAATAGAGCTCACCAGCCTCATTGAGGGACTACCTCATGAGCTCCGACGCCCATAAGGCTCGTATGGGAATACAACCGCGACTCCAGCAGCCATGATGAAGAGAGCTGCGCAAATATACAAGGGTGCCGATGTTTGAGTGTTTGCAAAAGTTGCCACAATTGCTGATACAATGCCCATTATACGGTTGAATGCAACAGCAACTCCGTTACCAGTGCCACGATGAGCACTAGGCAAAACCTCAGGAGTGTAAGCATACAGCGTGGCGTAGTAAATATTCAGGAAGCATGCGATTAAACAGGTAAAGGTTGTATCTTGGACAGCGGTCTTGACAGCAGTGTAAGCAAAGAAGAAGGCCATGGTGATCAGGGCACCAATAGCCATGGTGTATTTGCGGCCAAGCAGCTTCGTGTTGCACATGTAACCTGCGATAATGGGGCCGGGAATACCGCAGATATTGGTGAGGCAGTAGTTACGCCAGGTTTCGAAGACGGTACGGTGAAAGGTTGCGCCGTGGTTTGCAAGATATGTACTGCGAATTATAATTAGCGAACCTGCTATTTTGAACATAATATGTTCTTGGGTTAACAACGTACGGAAGGAAGACATAGAACAACGGGTAACAGAGACCAATCAAACTCCAGCTGAACCAGACCAAGATAGTGGAAATGGCCATCTTCTTGTTGCTAAAGAGCCCGGCAAAGTGAATTCGAGTCTCAGAAAAGGAAAATCGGTTCTTGCTATGCGCCGTTCGAACCTCTCCACAAGCCTGGAGCTTCTCAAGAGTCAAAGAGCATGGGCGGTTGTACTTTGTAGCCAAGAACTGGAAAGTCTCTACCACCTGGGCATCGTCGCCGAGGCCAAGGAGATACTTGGGCGTCTCGCGCAGCCTGACGACTGTGATTCGAAGAATCGACATGACAAAGACGATAGCGCCACCGGTGAAGAGCACATAACGCCAGCCCCAGTTGTTCGCCTTGGTGCAGGTCTCAACGTCTGCGCAGTTCCACTTCCCAGGCACCATGAATCCCCAAGCAATAAAACCGGTGATGGCTTGTCCAAAACCCCACCAAGCGGCGAGGAAAGTGAGCAGCCACTGCTTGTTGCCTGGCAAGTATTCAAGGAAGACGGTTGTATCCAAAATGAGATTGCCACCTCCACCAAAACCGAGGAGAGCAATAAAGAGCGAGAGCGTGGGCCAGCTGGGCATAGCACCAGCGATGATGCAGCTTCCGGAGCAGATGAAGAGGGTGATGTTAAAAGCCCACTTGCGACCGATGACATCGGCGCTGAAACCCCAGAAAAGGGCACCTGTCAGCATACCGACGTACACAGCAATGGTAAGAGCATTGGAATAGCCCTTTTGGCCAAATTCACGGTAGGCCTGGGTGGCAACAATGGATTGGAAGAGGAGGATCATGGAATCCACGGCGTAACTAAGGGGTGAGCCAGGTTAGTACACAAAAAAGACTTCTCATATATCATGTTGTGGTATACGGGCTTGGGAGAGGTATCTGCTCAAAACGCATATTGGAATCGAGTACACTCAGAGTAGTGATGGTGACGGTGATTGTAACGGTGATGGCGCGGAGGAGCAACTGACCCGAATCCATTGAGGAAGAACAGCTTCCAGTGGTAGCCAGTCCACCCAATCTCATCAATTGCCTTTGAAACTCCAGTGTCAGTGCTTAAATACTACAGGAAAAAAAGGGAATTTTGGGAATCTCGAGGGTAGACTAGTGTTCTCGTCGCTCACAGCATTGATCACATGAAAGCCTTTCTATTTTTTGTCACTCACGTTATTCACAAGATGCATCTTCATATTCAGGGCCGGGTCGAGATCTTGCAGAGCAAGAATATCCTCGCCGCTGCGCAGCGACGACCCGTCGGCGTTTCTGACATCGCCAAGTATCCCCTCATCAACGTTGCCGCTCTCGATATTCTTCTCCATTGAGCTGGTGTCAAGGGCTGACTTTTCCGGGCTTGCAGCATGAGCCATGGCTGCGGATGAGGATCAAGCACAAGTTGAGGCTGAAATGTACCGTATGCGCCGGCCTATCACACAGAAAGAGCAAGCTTCTTCTGGGTCGCAGAAACACAAGAGAGGGAAGACTTGGTTGATGTACAGTCGAGCACGCCTTATCCAAAAAGCCGGAGGGGCAGTGTATTGGACCTGAACCTAAGACGATGAGAGCTGCCTAGAGCAAAAGCAGCGACTACCTATTGAGCGCAGCAACGCTCGTCACAATTGAATCGGACAGAGCGTCACACGCAAAAAGCCAGTTGAACCTTTTCCGGCCTGTTTCACCCAGAAGCGGAGCCCTGCCGCCGAGAGGATATAAATAGGACGAAGGGAGGGAGGCGATCGATTGCGGTCTCTGAGCGACGGTCCAGACCTCGACAAAGCAAGGCTCGTCAAAGCCGGTAGAGGAAGACGCAAAAAAAGAAACCGGTGGAAAATGCTGTGGTTGCTTGAGGAACCACAACAGAGGAAAGGTGAGATGATATAAAATAAAATAAAATAATATGGCTGTCCTGCGCAAATACGGTAGGACCGACAAGAGAAGAAGAAGAAGGATCAAAAAAAAGCGCGGGCGAAGAGGCCGTATTAAGAAGGAAAACTTCACAGGCAGCAAAAAAAAAAAAATCACCACGCGACGTAACAATCAAAAAGGCACACGACCAAGGCTAAGGGACCGCAACCATGCAAGGACCCTAAGTTGGCAAACGACCACGCGAAGATCCCATCTTCAGCATGTGTTGCCTCGTGCCCGAAGCTTGTCATTGAGACGCAGTGCGCAAGACGGGCAGTCCTCCAATCAGCATCACGACAAACATCCATCTTGGTGGAGTCTCAGCCAGGCCAGCTTGGTGCTATTATTTTAGCTCTCTTTTTTTTCAACAACTTGTTCCTCTCTCGATTAATTGACCTGCCTGCAGCTTCTCGAGTCAATCAGCGGAGCAGCCGTGAGACTCAAACGTGTGGGGGCAGCCCGTCTTGTAGCGCTCAGCATGCGGCAAAGCGCCTCCCCCGTGCTCTCAACGCCTGGCGCTGATAGGCGCAATTGGATCGCGAGCCTCTGCAACGGGCCTGGGCTTGGAGGGGCATGGCGTAGTGGGGGTGAATGAAGCTCGGCCAGACTCGAGCAGAGCAGTTGCGAGCATCCGTGGCATCGCGGGCTCGCTTCGTTGGCTGGACGGAAGGACATTTGCGAGATATAATTAATCCCTGAGAATGCCTGTCTCACCTGTTCGCGCAGGACAAGGGATTGGCTGGGTCCAGGTCAAGTCCGTCCAGTTGTTTCCTCTTTTTTCTTTTGCATTCGGCCTATCTCTCTCCTCTCCTCTCCTCTATCTCTGTCTCTCTGTTTCTCGTAATCTCGGCTCACGTTTTCTTCTCTCCAGCTTCAACAACTACATGTACCTACTTCGAGTCGCATTCGGTAGGTGCCATCATCTTGTCCAAACCACCATGGACATGGATTTCCGTTGGGCAAAAGTCTAGCTCTTGCAACACCACGCCCTGATTGGCCAGCCTGTAAACCGAGAGCTGACCGACAGCACTCCGTCATGGAGGATTCGAGCTTGCTTGGCTCTTTTACCCGGCAAGAAACATGGAATGCGACTCGCGCTGCTAGTCAAGCCAGTTCCAATGCGGAGAAGCTGCTGTGTACGCCAAGATGACATACATGATTGATATTCTGGTGCGGCAATTACCTAAGGCATGCATCATATCGATTATGCATAGCGGGCGGCCAGCGCCTTTCATTTTGCCCTTCTTAGACATCTCAGTCTCCTCCACGGCGCGGCGCCACCATGCATATGTCGTACATGGTCATGCTGTTGGTGTTGCTGAGGATGTCATCATTTATACACAAAGTCCATTCCTGTCGTCGCCTCCTTCATCCTTTCCGGCTTTTTGTTTACATACGACGGTTTGTTTCTCATATGAGACACCAGACCGTCTTTCAAGGCGCCAAGACCAATACCAAGCAAGACCAAGACCTCGAGGCTCTCTCTCTCTCCCAAAAGTTCTTTTATCCGTAACCTTGGAAATAGATTGACAGCCCCATACTCGTTCCAACATGCTAACAAAGAGAACCGAACGCCTCCTGGCAAAACCAGTGAATCTCCCGCCCCCCACTTGACGCCAACAGAACAGACGCCGTCTCTTGCTCCCCACGCAATGACGAGGGGCTTGTAGCACCATGCTCTGGGTCTTGGCCCTCGTCATCGGACACAGGGCACGATAGTGGTTAAGCTCGTATGCAAGGCTGCCGTGATTTTCGCCAATGTCAGTTATCTCATTCGCCTTTTTTTTTTTTTGGTCTTTTCCCAACAAAAAGGGCTGGTCCAATCTAAACACTACATACTAGCCGGCTATCATCGGGGCTCACCGCCTTTGGCCTGGAGCATGGCAGCATGGGTCAATATTTACTCCATAATGCCACTAGCTGTATATTAGCCTGTTTTCTAGCACGCATTGCCATGACTATCATGTGATTCTGCCGTCGAGATCGAAGGCGGTCTGCCTGATATGTAACTGCTTCTTATCATCTGCCATACACTACATGCTTTGTACAGGCATCGCAATGCCTGAATTACCAGGTCGTATGAGCTAGTGTTTGGAGTGGTTATTAAATAGTAACATGAAAAGTAAGTCTAGGAACCTGAGTGCTTCTATGGTTCACTTCCTAGCAGCGATGAGCCCGTGAGAATCATTCTTAACGCCAAGAACCAATTTAGTAGCAGCTCAGGCAAATCAAGTAGAAAAATAAAACATTTATTCCGCAATTTCAAAAAGTCTACGCTCGTTGATCCGATCCGTAGTGAATAAGAAGAAAAATAGGGGTATCCTAGGCTTCGAGACATCTCCTCGCATCCCCCAACATGCAGCAATCAGAAGCTCAAATAAACACCACAGCCAATCATCCGTCATGTTTCAGGTCATTTAGGTATGATGGACAAGTTTGCAGAGAGCCATGTATGAGCCGCCGTTCCTCGTGCGTAGCAGTTCTATAATGTATGCATTAAAACGCCTCTTCCAGTGTGCCGTGTTGTCTCCGCCCATATAACATATTCAACGTCGCCTAGCGCCTGTAAAGCATCTTCGACTTTCCGAGGGAAAAAGCCGTCGCAGTCATCTCCTGAGGCACTTCTAAACGCTGGTATCCTCTGCTACCCAAATAGTCCTGGCTCCAAAACCTCTTTATATACATCCAAAATCCTCAGGTAATTTCCCTTTTCTTTTCCGTAGTAGACATCGCGCTCCAAAGCCACCCTAAATCTCCAATAGTATACACCTTGGTCCGCTTGAATCGCTCTCATTACATCGTCGTTATGAGTATGCGAGCCAGCTTTTTCGTATGCTTTGACCAGCCACAGAGTCGACGTATTCCTATATACGTCCTCCTTCGACAACTTCTCGTTCCAAAATCTCCACCTGTCCAAACTCTCCCGTTCGCCGGCGCTCCATGACCCACCGCGTCTCTCCACTCTCTTCTTCCATCATATATGATACACTATCAGTCGAACCCTTCTGTCGCCGATGGCCTTTTTCTGGGCTTGAGGCTTCTTGATTATTGCTCATCGCATGAGGGTGTACACTGGGCATTGTAAAGGGAGGAGAGCATTGAGGATCGCTGAGCGGGGAAATGCCCTCTTGGAAGAAGTTCGACCCCATTTGCACAGGAGATACTGAGGCCGCTCCCCAGCCGGCTGGTAGGTCTGCGTCTCGGTTGATCAAAGTAGGATCAGTTGACGATCTGTGGTTGAGGAACGACATTGGCATTGTAAGTGTAGGGCTGGCAGGGGCACTGCCAGTATCCGATTCGCGACTTAAAACGGAGAATGCTGAATTCTTGCGTGTATGGCCGACAGTAGGAGGGAAACCGTTCGCAAAGCCAGGCCCTCGTGGCGAGCCTGGAATATCCCCTCTTTCGGATCGTGGGGAGCCATCCTTACTCGAAGCCAAGCTTGCCTGTGACCCTCCCCACGCTCTTGACCTCAGTCGAAGAAGAGCCGACAGATTCATCTCGTCTCCTCGATCTGCCATCATGGCTAGCTGAGCCAGCCCAGGACTCTGGACGATAGGTGTACCGCTGATTGGCGGCATGCCGAGACTCATGAGGGAGTTTCTATTGGAATATTCAGATCGCTCGGTGATGGGTGTCAGATTAGGCTCTCTGGATATTACCCGGCCGCTGACGCTGCGATTTAAATTGCTTGCACCCTTGGGCCCAAAAAACCCACCAGCAACGTATCCATAACCTTCCAAGTTGGCAGCTGCGTTGTGGCCGCCAACCGGAGCAGCATAAAAGCCGAATTCTTGTCCATACCACCCATCAGCATCATTTGCAAGAGCGCTAGCATTAGCTTCTGCGATAATGGCATCATCGTCCATCTCAAAATCATCCATATCATCGTAAGCGTATCCATAATCGTCATATGGGTCATCGTGATAAGGCGCGTCCAGCTCGTCAAGGTCTGCAGAGGGCAGGGCTTGGGTATCTGCGTCGGTGGGGGACTGCGGCATTGCGCGTTCGAACATGCCAGCCTCGGCAGCTTTCTGGGCGGCTGCAGCCAGAGCAGCCTGGTAGGCAACAATGGGATTAGTGTTGTAGGTCGTAGGCTGAGGCGCAACAATGGTGGTCTCAGAAATGGGAGGCAAGTCGCTTAGAGCGTCAACGTCAGCATTCTCATCTGATTGCTCTGCGTCGATGTTTGATAGCGCTTGTGTCTCTGGCTGAGAAATAGGCAGCGGTTCTGAGATTTGTGATGGTACTTCCGGTTCTTGCTCCGCCGTCTCTTGATTTGGTGTCCCTCGGTTGCTCTTTTTTTCACGCACAGATTTCGCCAATGCAAACGCTCCAGGCAGAGGCCGGCCAAATTGATCTGTATCGTCATTGTCGAATAATGATTCGTCAAAAGGCACCCCGTCATCTTCTATAGGCCCCCCAGCCAAATCTTCGGCGAACACACCTCCGAAACCAGCCATGCCTCCATCGAAATATAAATCGTCATCACCGATACCACGGCCAACACCGGCTGCCGGCGGCACAGCCATGGAGTACGAGCTCAAATCGCCTGGTGTTTGGAAAGGAGCAGAAACATCAACGCCTTGGATCCCCAGACCAGACACCTCAGTATCAATCTCCTGATTGGGAACCAAGCCAGACTCGGATGACAAAGAGTCCATGGGCAGTCCTGCCGCGTCTTTAGCCATTGTATAGCCAATGTCTTCGTCGTCAACGTCTCTAGGTGTTGCCATCATCCCTCCGCTCTGGGGAGTTGCTAGAGATGAAGTCGCGTTAGATCGCTGAAATTCAAAGCCAGCAAAATTCTCTTGGTCATTGTCAGGATCCATTTCTTCTTCGATGTACTGGGCCTCCTGCTCATAATATTGATCGTCGAAATAAGGCTCTTCTTCCTCATCATAATCGGCGTTGACTCCTGGTATCCTTTCTTCCAACCCATCATCATCCATCATAGCATCGTAATCAAACGCATCTTCGTCAAAGTCATCGAAGCGAGAATCCCTTGGCTCGGTCTGTGCTGCCTTCTTATCCAACTCTCGCTGTCGGTGCCGTTCTTCCAAGAGCTTTTCCTGCTTGGCGGCTCCAATCATGTCAAAGCTGAATCGGGAAGACGTGCTCTTCATGTGTCTTGGTATGGATGAAAGAGATACGTTTCTGGAGCGGGTGGTTCGTATAGAGCCCGCCACCGTCTTGGACGAGCCATCCGTATCCTGGGCGGCTGCCTGGGAAGTTACTGAGGGATTTGCCTGAAGAGCCGATTCATTCTTCTTCATAGTCATATAGTCGTCATACGGGAAGGCTTGCTCTGCAGTAGAAGAGCCCGTCCTGACGGAAGATACGCTAGATGACTGGGCAATAGTGTGCGAGTTTGTACTCCCAGACTCGGGGCGTGCCGGATCTGACGCACTGCTCAGCATGCGACGCTGTTGCTGTCCATCCAGCACTATAGGCCCCTGGCTATCTGCCCCGTCGCGAGGGCCAACACCTGATTCCAGCGCAATGTTGGCCAAGGAAGCAGAGCGAATAGCAACAGTATCGTTAGCTGGAGCGTTCGTTTTGCGTCTTGGCGCACTAAAGTCATGCACCCTAGTGCCCTTGATACGAGGATCATAGGTGACCTCATCCGATCGACCGCTTAGGGGAAGAGGGAGAGTATTCAGAAGGCTTTGGTTGTTCTTCCTCCTCAGTAATAGCGTAGACATCGGGTTCTTGAGGAATGGTAGCCCTTTCTTTCCCTTTTGAGGCTCAATATTCAATACGCTACTTGATGGTGTAGACCCGGGCAGTCGCTGATTTGATGGAGAGGAGTAAGGTAAGCTGCTAGTGTTGTGCGAGGTGGTAGCCTTTGAACTGCCCAGTGTCTGTGGTGATGGCCTTGTTGGCAGGTCGTTGTTATTCAAGGCGGGCGCCTGATGCGAAGCTTGAGCATGGCCGTCGAGCTTGGAGCTGTCGCCAACTTGCTGTGCTTCCACGTTCCGCTGATAGTTCCGTAAAGCGACACCGCCAATAAAGCCCGAGCCGGTGCTGTATCCAGGCTTCTGAGTTTGCGACGGGCGGCTGGCGGGCTGCTGCGGAGGCTTCTCGACATCCCGCCTCTCTTCGACTTGGGGAGGATCTAGGTTGAGTTCGTTTGACGTCACGCGGGCTATTGGCGGCAAAGTCGGCGGCAGGGAGGCTGAGGCAGAAGTAGAAGCGGCAGAGGCCGAGGCATAAGCGGATGATGCCAGCTGCGCATCAAGAGGAGATGTCGAGTCGGCGTTGAGCGGAGACTGAGACGAAGGCGAGGGTTGGTCTGGTGCCGGCGAGGTCGGGTTTGAGGGCCCCCGCCGGTGGAATCGTAAATGAGACAGCATGTCGTGCGTCGGAGCCGCAGCGGCCCTCGTCAGAGATGGCTGTAGGAGGTCGCACAAGATATCCTGGACTCGGAGGGCGATGGACGCAGTGCAGGCGCATTCATAGCTCGCGGCGCCGCACCCTGTACATTGTTGACTCGATCGGGGAGGGGTTTAAGGCGACGGTCAGCTGCGGCTACGGCCCGGCTGACGAGCGCTGCAGACGTCCGTCAAGGTGCTTGAAGCTGTCGCGGTCGACGCTCTGGCTCTCTGTCGAGTGAGCGAAACGGGCGCTCAACGATGGATGCCTCTCAATGGAGCCGTACGAATAATCCAACGCGAAGCTGGTGTGTGTGCGACGCCGTGCTAGGGGCGATCGACGGACGATGGGTAGTCCCATAAATAAATGCACACGGGCCGGTAAGCAGGCAGGGGAGCCGCTAACAACAAGCACTAGGGCGGTGTTGACAGCTGCTAGGCACAGATACAGCAGGTAACGGTAGCGAGCAGGCAGCATTCCTTGGGTTGAGGTCTCAACGGGAGCAGATGCCAGTCGAGCCACGTGTGCTTGGCCTGGTTGCCCAAGGGAGCGAGCCGCGCCCATGAAACCCGCGGGACAACCGAAATTGACAAAGGAAGACGGTGTAAGCCGCCGTCTTAGCTGAGTTTTGGTGAAGAATTTGGATCGAAGAGGCTGACATGACCGGGCGCAAGGGCTATGCTAGGGAGGAGATTGCCGGCGCATTTGAGATGTATGTACAGCGCCCTATGCGGCCCCTGCCTTACTGTATACTAATTTCAGCAACAACTGAAGAAAGCGGGGGCTCAACCCAGCAAAAGAGAGTTTGTTCTTGGGTTTGCAGCAGTTCTTGAATAGATTCCACCATGGCATCTGTTGGTCTGTCATGGCAGCAGCTCTCTCATACCTGGGTAACGAGTACTCCGTACAAAAGGAAAACATGTAGATTTGACCATAAATTGTGGCTGGCCGTTAGCCACGAGCCATGCTTACCTGTAGGCCTAATACTTAATACCTAATTCTAATTAGTACATGGAAGCTTCAAAAAGCCGTCAGTAGAACGTTTCTCCACTCTGGTCTCCGGCATAATTCAATTCTTCGAGGCTCAAGTTGGTCCCATATAAGGCTCTTCGCTATGAGAAGATGCAGTGGAAATAGAGAAACATTAATATTTATATGTAGCTTGGGTATATATAAATATCAATTTCTTCTTATGGGATAATAAAGAATTGCCCCAGGTAACCCTTTTTTCGTTCAATACTAGAGAGTAACTAAGAGGTAGAAATCCAGCTCATCTGAACTCACTCAGGCAGCCCCCTTTTCCAGTGTCTGTCAGCATCCATTTCTGAGTTACCCAGAGTAATTATTATGCATTTATATTAGTTTTTATTTAGTTCTATTCATTATTACAATTTATATGCGCTGAGGTAGCTCTTCTAGCTGCTCTAGTCAGGTCAATTGTCCTGCTTCTCATATATTCTTGCAAGCAATACAATTGGCTCTAAATGCACCAATTGGTACAAAGTATGTGATATTTGCCTAGAATTTACTTATTTGCAATACATGCTCCAAATTGAGTAAACCATGTTTGTTTCGTTTTACCTGTTGAAACCCCCCTCGGTCAAAGCACCACCCAGCCCGAGTCTCCTTGCAAGCGCCCATGTAATGTTCCCACTAGAAATAGGTACGGAATGCGAATACATCTCCACTCCGGTATTCAACGCGTATCCAGAGATGCTGGCCCCTCATAGAAGAGTCCTTGTGAAGCTCGCTAGGCTCGGTTCGGTGATTTTGGAGCACGTACACAGCTGACTGACGCAACCTTACCGGAAGATGCTACCGACGGGAACCTGGGACCAAATCTGGGTCTCGGAGATATATGAGCCCATTCTGTTGTAGGTTAGACCTGTAGAAGGGGCGAAACGGCGCCGCAGATGCCACTACGAGTGCTGCTTTGCACAGTATGCTGCTGAAAGTTACAGTGGCTTGGCAGGACAGCATCGAGAGTATGGGGTAGACTGAGCCGCGTCCTTTCATGTATGACAACATAGGCTTCTTCTAGGCTCCTCATGCCATCTGCTAACGCGGCACTAATGGTTACGACACGATGAGAGATCGCTTATCTAGATGTCACTGCAGGAAAATTATCTGGCGTTTTCAAGGCCATGATGAAAATAGTCAAGCCTCTTCAACTAACCAAGCTGGACTAAATGCATTCGCGTGCCATATCTTGACATTTAATGGCTTGGGTGTGGCACTCATTTTGACGCATGAGCAGTACCTTGCCAGCCAAGCTCCCATATCGGCATCATTTACTCCCAAGTTGCGACATTATTCGATGACTGTCCTGTATCTCTTTTTGCTTCACACTCTTGAGTTTCTCAACTTACGTTTTAACCTGCCACTGAGCTGCCGAGGGCACCCTTTCTATAGCGGAGATGCAATGGGCATATGGACGGATACCCGGGGGCGACGGGTGGAGCTCGGGCTGAATTGCGCACAAGCGCAGGTACATGCACTTCGTACTCCAGACGAAACATGCCAGACAATCGAATTAGGAACCGACCTTTTCAGCCTCTTCCTACCGTCACGTCCTAGTGCAGCTTTTAGCATTAACCTTTTATTGATTTTCTGCAGCACTACTCCACACTCTAATAAAACAAGCTGATAGTTTTCTCTCTAGTGTATCTCGACTCTGCTGTCGATTTGTGCTGGCTTAAGTAACCGCTGATTGCGCGCAAGTCAACAATACTTCGCCAAGGCTGGGGTGTCGCGCCAAAAGTCTTGGCATACTCTAATTGTGCTGTCTGTCGCGTGCCCCTTTTCCAGATGGAGGGATCATGAGACGACCGCCGCATAGAACAAAGTCGCTGCCTCGATCGGATTGGTGGTGGTTCGTCTGCCTCGCACGTATGCCAAGTCCCTCATGAAGCTCGTATTATGCGTCTTGGAACTCTCTGCATATGCACTTTACCTTAGCGCTCTCGCACGCCCAGCAGAGTCGGCCTTGTACATGCACATGGATGTTTGTTTGCTCGAGTCCAACGATCGGATAAAAGCAATAGTAGTGCCACTGCAGCATACAAGTAGATATCGCGTCTTCGACTCCTGCTTTAGGGCTAGCTGCCCACGATCATTTGCACGACCTTCTGGATTACATCTAGCAGCATCTGCAGCCATCGTGTCTCCCAAGGCGTCCCCACTCCCCCGAAAGCGGCGTCATCAAAACGCCCACCAGCACGGCAACGCGGCAAAGATGAAGCTTCTGGACCCCAAAGCAGCGTTTCAGTGACTTTCTGGCTGCCCGGGTAATCAAGCGGCGCAGTGTGCAAAAGGACACTTAGGCAGATGGAAGACCTCCACTGCCGGAGAACATTTGACCGATTTGCCTATAGTCGAAGAACATGTACCGCTAATCTCTTCGTATGTGGCGCTGCAGAGCGCCGAGTAATAAGGAGCCAGGCAGCTTATTACTGGGCAACAGCACTATCAGGGACTACCTATACTTTGGCGTGATTATGGGCTGCGGGAAAGTAGTTGGTACGTCGGCCGCATCATTGGCGACTTACGTATTGGCGTACGTACCTCCGCTTTAAGCTCGAGGCTTAGATGGCAAGGATCAACTGCTGCTGTCACCCAAATTCGGTACTTAGTCCAGGCTACCTAAGCGTTTTGGTCGTGTGCGCGTGCTCCATACTTGGTATAACGGCAGGGTTTCCAATCCAAGAGAAAATCCCCCCCCCGATATTATTACTTCCTGCAGTCTTCCCCTGGTGGAACTCCGACTTCTCCTCCTCCTCAGCTCGACTATCGGCGTCTGCTCTCGCTTCTTTCTTCTTCTCCCCTTTCCTCTGTATTATTGCCACATACAGATCTCCTCTTGCCGCCCATACCATCTCCTTATTTCTCGGCCTCCTGTTTTGCATCTCATCGGTCGGTCGCATTGGGCTCGCGTCGGCTTCTTGTGTATATCCTCTGCGCCGTTGCATTTCTACAACTTCAAGCTTGCTTTGATACGCCGCGGTCGAGCCCGTTGCGCCAGCGCTTCGTCATAGCCTCGTCTTATGTTCGCTCTGTAAAGCCGCCGTCTCCTTTTCGCCTCTACCGCCCACCACCTCCCAGGCTACTCAGCCTCGCCAACCCCGGGAGCTTGCGGCAGCATGAGCGGGTTCATCAAGCCGATGGAATACCAGCTGCCGAGCGACGGGTCGTCGAAATGGAGTCAGCGGGCAAAGGCCTTTCTGGTCGTGTGCTCGCATCGCATGTGGCGGGGCGGCCCGCGGTCCATACTGCAGATCACCGCCGTTGCCTTTGTCCTCCTCATGCTCTTCTTCTTCGTGCCGCTGCAATTTGACGACCACTACCAGCAGATTCTCAATTGGTCTGCGCCCGACTCGGCCGCCTCGAGCGATCTGCGCATCGTGGTTTTTGGCTCGCAGGATTTGCTGGGCAGTGCGCCCGACGCCGAGCATACACAGACGTCGTGGCCGGAGCATCTGTGCAAACAGGTGAGAGCGCTGCCATTACAGCTATTGCCACAAGTTCTCGTTACGTTCGGAATTGCTAACTGATATCCTCCAGCTCAACTGCCGCTCCGTGCTATCATTTGTGCCTCCGATCGATTCTCAGCCCGGCCTGACTTCCAATAGCCTCTATGGCACCGAGATTCGAGCATTGGAGATGGTTAGCGAGCAAGTCAACCTTACAGAAAAGCCTGCTCTCGACAATTTCTACATCCCAAAGCAATATCCCGTACCTACAAAGACCCCCGACCTAGAAGCGCAGGTTCAAAGATTTCTTACCATGGCCCCTCCCAAGCTCCCGCCGCGTGAGACACTGTGGGTTTTCTCGTTTGGTACATGGGAAACATGGAACTTGGCTTCGCTTCCACGTGCCTCGGGCGAAAGGCTTATCGACGAATCGGTTACCAATATCTTTTCTCAAATCGAACTGCTCTATCGAAAATCGCTGAATCCCAAGTCTCCTGCCTTCTCTGATTTCTGGTCCAATGTTACCAAGGCTGAGGTCCAGGCTCTCACTCACCCCGAGCCCGATAAAAAGCCCGACGAGCGCAGAATGGAGAGCTTCCGAGTTGTCATTCCACAGCTCTTCGACATCACTCTCGTCCCAGGCTGGCAGAATCGCCCTATCCCTTCTCAACCGCAGTCGAGAGGCGTTCAGTTGCGCAACGCTGCATATCTCACCAAAAGGTGGAACACTCAAGTCTCTAAGCAGATAGAGCAATGGAGAAAAAAGGCCGACTCCAAGCCCGAGGGAATCGAAGATGAAGGCATTGAAACAGCCGTGGCAGTCCCGACAATGACATCTCTGCTGCGCTACCTCCCGGAGGCACTTCAGCCTAAAGAGGCGGGTGCTACAGAGGGAATTGCTGACGAAGATGTCATCTACGCGCCATACCCACGACGACTGGGGCTGCAATCCACTTTGGTTGCGAATGTCCTGGATGCCATGACGGAAGAAGAAATGCAGCGATCAGGTCTCAAGGACAGCAAGGGTCGAGGCTCCATGCCCGCAGATGGCGCCATGCGGTTCTTTGACGTCTGGACACCTTGTATTGCTGACAACCGAGCCATTACTGGCGTTGACACATCTCACCCTAGCCAGGAATGCGACGTTCCCAATGACCACCTTTTCTACGACGGATTTACTTTCGGAGAGCGAGCCAAAGAAGAATTGGCAAAAAAGACGGCTGAACAGATTAAAGACCAGCTTTTCGTATGATAGAGAAATGGCTATCTGCTTGTTTTCGCGGCTAAATGAAGAGTTCATTCAGTATATACTGGTTACTCTTTTTAAGGCGTGTGGGTTTATGCACGGAGAAGGAATGATATAATACACTTTTGGTTGGGCATGATATACTGCATACAGGTTGGCGAAAGGCGTTTTTTCTTTTTTCTCTTTTTTTTAACTGGATTTTTCAACGTTACACACAAAAACAAAAGGGAACGCATTTAGCCCGGGAATTGTCAGTGCGGGTGTCTGGATTGGTTGTGCCTGGGAATTCTCTGGAATCTTGGATAAGAAATGATGATTCTTTTTTTTGTATAGGAAAATCAAGGAGCAGTCACAGGGTTTATTGCGTATTCGTATATGTGGAATATTTACTTAGATATACGGTAAACCTACAAGATAATACGGAGAACTCAGTACTAGTTTGTGAGACTGAGATATGTCTCTCTGTCTCGGTACAGCCATGAAAGGAATATTAACCATCTCAAATCGTACATACATATCTAAAAAATAATGGAAACCAATCGCTCCTATGAATGGGGGGGGGGGGGGGGGGGAGAGAAAATAAAATAAAATATCCAAAATAACCAAATGTTTAATCCATCATGAATTTCTCTTGACCGCAGCCTTGACAAGATCCAGGCACTCGTCAGGGTTCTCGAAGACGTGCCAGGCCTCTCGGGGGATGCCCGTAAACGCCTTTTCGAATCTCTGCGGCTCGTTCTTTTCCGCGAGTCCAACGGCGGAGGAATTGGTGTCCTTGCGGATGAAGATCATCCTGATCCAGCCGGGGAACGTTCGGTAACTGTCGAAAAATTTAAGATTAGCGTCCAAGGCTTTACTCATTACTTCAGGTATTGGGGGGGGAGGGAGTATTGTCTTACATCTCGCCGTAGGCCTCGGGATCTGATTGCGTAGAATCCCCAAATACGATTAATTTCCTCTTCGGAAGCCATGAATTGATCTTCTTCATGCGATCAACCTTGTACTCCTCCGTGCCCACCGTCAGAGAAGAGAGAAGTCCAGACACGGTCTTCCAGCTAGAGTCTCGGAGGATAAAGGTTCCTTGTGGGTAGTAGGTGTCTCGGAAGCCTTTTAGGAAAGGATACAGGTTGTAGGGCGATGCGGAGAGGTAGAACCACGGCGTGTCATGTGGGAGGAAAGATTTGATGCCTGCGTAGAGCTCGGGCATTCCTGGGACTGGAGATGGAGAGTTGATGAATGTTTCTTTGAGAATGCTGACGGGGTCGCTAGTGGTTGTGATTTTGATTGTGTCATCAATATCTGGCGATTGAGATTAGTGTCATAAAATACTAGGGAAAGCACGAATTTGTCAGTCTAGACATACCAGAGATGATTCCCCAACCTTCAGGCAGCGCAAAATGAGTCTGCATGGTCAAAACACCTTCAACGCCTTCGACATCAAGTGTAGTTTTCCTGGTGGTAAAAGACCCCTTGCTCTGATGCAAAAGTTTACAGACATTCTTTGCGATGCCATTAAAGCCGCTTGGCCCCAGCTTCAATGACAAATCTCCCTGAGCCACGGTAGTCGTCCTCGCAGTCCGAATATCCCACAAAAACGGCATCAGCCTCTGTTCAATAGTCCTGCGCTCCTCGGCGTCGTCCGCTAGGCCGACAACACCAGCAATGCCGGCAACGACATCGGCAACCCTGCATTTTGCCTCGTTCTCGAACACGGCCATGATAAACTCTGCCTGCCATTCCTCATTCTCAGCCTCTTTGAAGGCAGTGTTGTCGAACAGCCAGACGATGTCGCCCTTGACGATTGCCTTGGCAAAGGGGTTCCAGGAGCTTATTCCATTGAGGATGCCACTGATGGAGAGTTGGTGTGAAGCGGAACCTTCTGGGTCGACGAGCTGGTTCTCGACCTTGTCAAAGTTTCTGTGCTGTCTGGTTCGGACCTGCATGTCTTTGGCGACCTCGGAGGGCACAAAGTCCAATTTTTGGTTGTCCATCTTGAAAGGGCGGGGGCGCAGTTTGCGAATAGCGTTTACTTATATAAAAATGACTTAAAAAAAGATGGTTGCCTGTCTAGGCGAGGCTTCCAAACAATTTGGTACCGTGTACTATATTCGGATCTCGTTGAAGTAAGGCTGTAGGTGTCAGCAGGTACAGGTACGAAGAGGCCTCGTGCACAGCCCACGATACTGTCAGATGCAGAAGAAGGAAAGAAAAAGAGGTGGCACAAGATTCGATGACATGAAAGAAGGGGAGGCAAAGTATAAATATACCAAGCGAGGAAAAAAGCTGCTATCTTGGTGTTGCGTGGGTGTTATCTATTTATTATGATGACCAAGATCCTTGAGGGGCGATTATTTAAATAGAAACGGCGTCGATGCAACTACGGCTAACAAGGCAATGAGACGCAGGGAATGGCCAATAGGAGCATAACCCGTGGCGAGCAAAATCCAATCCAGATGCGATTTGGAAACGCCGTAGCTCGCAGGATGGAGTGAGATGAGACGCAGGGGGGATGAATTTCCAAAACTTTCGCAGCACTCAAGCAGATTCTGGGGAGGGGAGGCTCCGTTTTGCAGTCGATAGTCCGAAGCAGCCCCTGCTTAGGGGCCTATCGCCAGATTCTTATGACCTAAACGGAGAGGCTATGGTGGGCGGCGGGGTAGCTGAGCGCTGCGGATGGGATTCGGATCGTCCATCCAACACGATGCTTCTCCGCAGTTGTGCTTGTGCAGAGCCAGACCCAGCGAAAGGGCGATCCCGCATTGCGACATGTTGAGTCGTGGGTGTGTGGCGAGAGCATCATTGGTGCGTAATGCCATGCACGACGGCCGCTGAAGAGTGCCTTGCATAAGCCCTTCCCGTGCTGCTTCGACTTCGTCCCGTGCCGCCTATCGCGACGGTCAGCTGGCCTCGCTCGCGCCTCCATGGCAGCGTCGAGAAGCTGAGTGTGGAGGTGGAGGCTGCTGGTTCCATGTTCATATTAGCCTTCATCCCATCAGCAGGTTCCCGGCAACTCGGCTGCCTCAGCAGGGCAGATCCCCAGGACTGACTGAGTGTCTCAACATAAGGTTAGGTAGGCGGTGGATGCATGCCATCCGGATGATCCCCTGCGTCAACACTTGCACCGTCTGAGATTTGTTTGTTGTACATGTTGTTACGATTTTTTTTTTTTTCCCTCAGGAAAAATTCAACTTTTTGTCCCAATATTACGTACTCCCAAGTTTCTTTCATTTCAACCAGATGCCATGCCCTTAAATTTGTTTTCCGCTCAGCGATGCCTTAATAGCCTGAATTTGTTAATTTGTTCCAAAACCGACGACTTGCTAGTGCCGCCCTTTGCTGACCTCCTCTCCACACTCGTCTAATACACAAACGCCTCGGCAATATCCTCTTCAAAGCGGCTATCAATAGCCTGGAGTTGCTCAAAGGAAAGCTCATTCATCGGGATGCTAGTCTCTTCGGACTTGGCAACGTATCGACTAGAGATGTGGTGCGTCTCTCGGAAGGGAACTCCCTTGCGGACAAGATAATCGGCAACGTCTGTTACAAGCATGGGGGAATCTAAAGTAGCCTTCATCTTCGCAGCGAAAGGTGGACAGGACACCATTTGCATTCTGGATGCCGTCAGATACCGCATTGACGTGGTCGGCCATCGGCTCAATGCTCTGTTGCAAGTCCTTGTTGTAAATGCTGGGGAGACCCTTTTATCATCAGGCCCGCCATGTGACCAAAGGCACAACCACTTTCCTCGTATTAGCTCACGAATGTCAGGGTTTTGGGGCTTCAGGGAGCTTTCGGTAGAGTAAGCTTCCGAGAGACGGACGAATCCAAACTCAGCAGCAGAGTAGATGATTAGGTCCTCGGCCCAGCGAGAAATGTGCTGCATGAACATGGCACCCACTGAAGAGAGTCCAACACAAAGTCACGGTCAGAGACACCAGCCATGAAATTCTAAATTAGACCGTCAAGGCCAAGCTCTGTGGTAATTATATCACGGTCGATTCCGAAGGGGTTGCCAGTAAGAGCGCCACAGCCTAGGTGATTTCGGTTGATGCGTTCGATGACCTCCCCAAGCCTCTCCAAATCGCTAGCAAAAGCGAATCCAAATGGCAGGATCCAATGGCTCCATCGGATGGGCTGAACGCGCTGAAGGTGGGTATGTCAAAGCATGACGCAATCAATTTCCTGCTCAGCACGGGCTGCAATGACGTTGAGGAAGCTAACCTGGTGCTCCTCAATCTTTCGAAGTTCATCGCAGAGCCACATGCGCATATCACGTACAACCTGCTCACTGTGGCCGCGGTTTGTGTGAAGCTTGCCAGCAATGCTCTTTCTTGACCTCGCGGAGGCCTTGCTTAAGCTTCTTAAACTCTTCTTGTGTGACGATGCCAGCCTTGGCATTTGACCGGGCAAAAGCGATGCTTCCCGCGACATCTTGCTTATAGAGAATTCGGTCAAAGTGGATGCTTTCGCTCTTCTTGACTATCAAGGGGTCGAGGTTGCCTATATTGCATCATGGTAGGCTAGCATAAGAACACACAACATTTGCGGATTGAATTGGTTGCTTTATTGGTAGAGAGAGATTAATATTGAATGTGGTAAGAATTGTAAGATAATTATACGGTGAATCGGCCAGCCTCCCCCCAGCATTGCGCCGCTTGGTTTTGAATCTCAGGTCATTTGTCTTTTGAGTGAGGCTGAATCGACTCAATGGAGGTACATGCGAAGAGAGAGGTGGTATCTACACGGTATGGTGCAAGAACAAGATGAAGCTTGAGACGCAACAAACTTGGTTTAACTTCCAATTGCACTCGTTGATTCGGATTCTTGTTGTGGGGCCTAGACTATTAAGAGTGACTGACTGAATTGCCTCCGATCGGCCATGGAGGGGCAGTGTTGTTGTTGGCAGGACCCCGCGAAAAAAAAAAAAAATCTCTGAGCTGATAAGTGGTTGTTGCTGCTGGGTGGATTTGGTGAGACATGTCAAGCATGTACCGATCCCGTCACTTTACGAGGCGCCCCCCAGGAAATCGGCGCTGCTGGTACTTGGAGTGATAGTTGCCGACAATCCGTTATCGTAGCGCGCTGATCAAGTGCCCCGCCTCCACCCCACCTCGACATGCAGTCCAGAGAAAAATAATTAGCTGCTCGACACAATCGACGGCCCTCATTGGCTGCGACTAAGAGAGAGATAAAATAGCAGGCATTTGAGCTCGAAATTTTTTTTCTTCTCTCGGGTGGCTTCTGACATTGGCCCCTCCAAGTGCTGGACGGACCTCTGTTCGCATCCTCAACATCGAAAATAAGATATCTTGACTTGGGTGTCTTTGGAGGAACTCTGTCAGAGTTCGTCGCTTCCAACAATGGCCGACCTTCGAATCCTCCTCATCGGAAACGGTGGCCGTGAGCATGCTCTGGCTTGGAAATTGAGCCAGTCTCCACGAGTCGAGGCCATCTTTGCGGTCCCTGGCAACGGCGGCACTGCAACCTGCCCCAAGGTCACCAACGTCTCCTCTGTTTCTGCCGAGGACTTCCCTGGCCTCGTCCAGTTCGCCCAGTCCAATGGCGTCAATCTCGCCGTCCCTGGCCCCGAGGCCCCCCTCGTGGACGGTGTTGAGGGCTTCTTTCGCAACGCCGGCATCCCTTGCTTCGGACCCTCCAAGGAGGCTGCTCGTCTCGAGGGCAGCAAGACCTACTCCAAGGACTTCATGAAGAAATACAACATCCCTACCGCTGCCTACGAGAACTTTTCCGACTATAACCAAGCGATTGCCTATGTTGACAGCATCAACCACGACGTCGTCATCAAGGCCACCGGTCTGGCTGCTGGCAAGGGCGTTATTATCCCACAGACCAAGCAAGAAGCCAAGGATGCGCTGAAGGAAATCATGGTGGACAAGGCTTTTGGTGATGCTGGAGACGAAGTTGTCATTGAGGAGTTCCTTCAGGGTGATGAGCTCAGCGTCCTCACTTTCTGCGACGGCTACTCAATCAAATCCCTTCCTCTGGCTCAAGACCACAAGAGGATATTCGATGGTGACCAGGGCCCAAACACTGGCGGCATGGGCTGTTACGCGCCTACAAACATTGCTACTGCAGAGTTGGTTCAGCAGGTCGATCGAGACATCCTGGTGCCTACCATCACCGGAATGAGACAGGAGAAGCAGCCCTTCCGCGGCGTGCTCTTCACTGGTCTCATGATTACCCCCGCCGGCCCGAAGGTGCTCGAGTATAACGTGCGATTTGGTGACCCCGAAACCCAGACCGTACTGCCTCTGCTCTCCGCCGACACCGATTTGGCCGAGATCATGCTGGCCTGCACAGGCGGCTATCTTGACAACGTCCACATCACCATTGATAACAAGTTCAGTGCCACAGTCGTGCTTGCTGCTGGCGGTTATCCTGGCTCTTACTCCAAGGGCACTCCCATGACCGTCCAGACTCCTCCTGCGGGAAGCACCATCTTCCACGCCGGCACAAAGCTTGACGGAAACCAGCTCAAGACATCTGGTGGTCGCGTGATTGCCATCAACTCTGTTGGAGAATCGCTCAGAGCCGCTGTTGATGCCTCGTATGCTGCTCTTGCGTCCAACGTCATTGACTTTGAGGGCAAATTTTTCCGCAAGGATATTGCCCACCGTGCTTTCAGAGACACAAGCAAGGTTTCCATGACATATGCTCAGGCTGGCGTGGATATCCAGGCCGGCAATGACTTTGTGGAAAAGATCAAGAAGGCTGTTGCTAGCACCAAGAGAGCCGGAGCTAGCGCTGAGATTGGTGGCTTCGGAGGCGAAGTCGATCTGTCGCAGTGCGGATATCCGAATGCACCAATCTTGGTTGGTGCCATTGACGGTGTTGGAACCAAGCTGATGATTGCGCAAGCAATGAAGAAGCATGACACCGTGGGTATCGATCTCGTTGCCATGAACGTCAACGACCTGGTTGTACAGGGTGCTACCCCCTTGATGTTCCTCGACTACTACGGCTGCAGCAAGCTGGACCTTGCTTCCGCTGCTGACTTTGTGGAGGGCGTCGCCAACGGCTGTATCCAGGCCGGCTGTGCTTTGGTAGGCGGTGAGACCGCCGAAATGCCCGGCATGTACAAGGATGAGGACTATGACGCGGCTGGCTGCGCGGTGGGCGCTGTCACTGCCGGCGGCATGCTTCCCCGGAAGGATGCCATGGCCGAGGGTGACATCCTTTTGGGTCTTGGATCCAACGGTGTTCACTCCAACGGCTTCTCCCTCGTGCGAAGAATTGTGCAGGCCGCTGGCTTGGACTACTCTTCCCCTGCTCCCTGGGACTCTTCCAAGACCGTTGGAGAGTCCCTCTTGACACCTACCAAGATCTACGTCAAGAGTCTGTTGCCCGTTCTCGGCCAGATCAAGGGTCTCGCTCACATCACCGGAGGTGGACTGCTCGAGAACGTGCCTCGCATGCTCCCCGACTCATTGGCGGCGGAGATTGCATATGGCACTTGGGAAATGCCTCCAGTCTTCCAGTGGCTCAAGGCAGCTGGCAATGTGGCCCCCACCGAGATGTGCCGAACATTCAACTCTGGTATCGGTATGGTGGTGGCCATCGAGGCGAGTCAGGTTGAGGCTGTGGTGTCGGCTCTGCGCAGTGGTGACGAGCGGGTGTACACAATTGGTAAACTGGTTCGTAGACAAGATGGCCAGGCGGGATGTGTTGTCCAAAATCTTGAATCGTGGGTATAGAAGAGTTGAAACCGGGGCAATTTTTTTGCGGGGAAGATGCATGATTCACCATCATGGTTCACCATCGACCAAAGACACAGAAACGGATTAAAAGCATATAAAATACCAGGATAAGTGGCACAGCGAGAGTGTATTACAAAACGGATGGGACAGGAGGGCAGGGCGGAACTATGATGTTTAATTTCCCCACGCTATATTTTGCTGTCAATTGATTTACAAAGACTATAAAATATTATACGCAGCATAGATTATGCCTTGATAACTCGCACCCGTCAATCATATGAATCAGAAACGTCTGAGCGTTGACATTCTCGGGTTGTGGTTATAGCTCTAGTGTATGGCGCACACGTGTGTCACTCACTATTCACATTCACGGCGCAATAAACGGCGCAATAAACGGCGCAATAAAATTAGAGGCAGAAAGGGCCTAGCTGTTGCGCGCAAATCCCGGGAGCGGCCGGCTATCGGTGATTCGCCCAGCTAAGCAGCAAGATTCTTATGAAGCAACCATGAGCTGGGCAACAAAGCAACTCTTTGGCATTAACGTTGACGTTGAGACGGGCATTAGTAAAAAAGGATATAATTACTGTAGTGGCGCATAACGATACCGGCGCACCCGCGGAATCGGCAGACCAAGACAAAACGACAAACTTGTGACGGCAGGGACCGCTATTCGTGGCGTGAATTCTAGAAGGATAAAGTTTCTTTACTCTCTCGATTCAATAAGCATATGCTATACGAAAGGGGGAAATTGGTTGAGCGGTTCTCGGTGGTCTGGCTGCCGGTTTGGCGATTAGTCAAGATGGCCAGATTGGGCAACCGACTGCGAACATGGCATTGCGACGACAAAGCACATGTCATTTTTGCCGCCTCCGTCATATCTGTAAGCGCCCATTGCTGTACTACCTACCTAGTGCATGTCATTCCTCGATGTTACCAAGAAGAGTAACAACTTGGAAGTTGAGCCATATCAAGTCGTCTCATCCTCTCTGGTGGTATTGCGTAGACATCTAGCCACACATAGGTATGTAGGTACTTGTAAGCGCCAGATCGAGGGAATCATCTCGAGCCACATGAAGATTAAAAATTAAAATATATATATATATATTATTATTAAGATAATACCGCGGGGTTTCACATTCAGCAGCCGATAGGCCAGGGCTGACGGCTATTCGCACTGCGACATGCGGAGGTGGGGAAGCCCGTCTCGTTTCGAGCATGCATGCATGCATGTGTGCATGGCGACAGACCAGGATCAGATTCCGATAACAAGACTCCGAACTATGGGGGAACGCCGAGATGATCGTGATTGAGGCGATTGCGTGGCCAGAACCTCGACACAAAGACTAGGTATATCCCACCAGCAAAGCTTGAAATGGATCGGTAGATGAGGACCGTATGATTCAAGTACCTCTATATATAATAAACGCAAGTTGAGTACAAAATAGTGCCATCTTAGACTACTTGGCTAGTAAGTCGAGCTGGTGGTTGAAGCTCCGATTCTCTCCGTTGGACCCTCCCGTATGTCCGCTTCCAAGTTCCATCCATCGCCTAATTCTGGAGTGGCGTATACTCGATCCTCTGCGGTGCTGAGATGTGGGAGACACGCGCCCTATTTACAGTAGTAATGCAAGTAGGATCCAATGCCCAGTCTGTAAGATGACACCGCAAAAGTTTCCAGATCATGCCCTCGGCTCATGGGAAAACATGGGGAAGAGGAGGATTCGGGGCCTACGCCAGCCATTCTGCCACTGGCTCCCGCCGATCAGGAGATGCGTGGCACGATTCTTACCTGGCGCCTGGAGAGATAAGACGGGACAACGGTGTGAGTGGACTCTCTTGGCCGCAGTTTGCTGCCTCAACTGCGCAATGGACAGCGCGAGACGCTGGCTTGTGAGGCCGCGGTGGGTTCTCCGAGATCCCGAATTCGGACGTGGACGCGCTAAAGGCTCCTGGACTGGCAGCCTAACGCCTGAAGCCCTTGACAAGCGGGCTTTCCCAAAAGAGCTATGAGGTGGGATAGCGTTCATTACGCACCTTTTTTAATAATTTTTATTTTTTTCCTCGCGACCAGCTAGGAAAAGCCCCCGTCCGAGCCTCCGGCCGTTGTTTTATTAATTCGAGAGAACCTCCACTTTCGCGCCGCGCGAATCTCGACATCGCTTGCTTTCGAATTGACATCCTCCAGCTCCTCTTATAGCCCTTTACCCGCTGCCTGCTGGACATTGAACCTCAATCCCCCATATATCCATCCTTCAAGTCTTGTGTGAACAGAGTCTACTCCGACGACAACCCCGCTATCGTGCCCTCGGCTTTTGTCTACTCTACTCAACTCAACTCCTCTCTCAGCACATAATCTACTCATACAATCAACAATGTATGCCACAAGAGTTCTCCGACAGGCTGCGGTCCACGCCGAGCGCACGCCTCTGATTCGATTCCTCGGACCCCGAACCATCCCTTGTAAGCACATGCAGTCTCATCCTCCCATCTCCCATGTGAATGAATGGTGAGGGGCATCGCGTACTGACACGACTTTTTTTTTCCCTCAGCTTCAATCGACCACACCCCCCAGCCTCACCCCGCCTCTCCCTCAGGAAAGCTTCCCGAGGGCTTCACAGCTTACTACGGCCGCGGTGATGCTGCTTCCACCCACACCTCCTTCGGTGCCTACCGTGACCACGCCCAGCAGCACGGTCCCCTCCAGAAGACCATTGGCACTGATGCTGGCATTGGTGGCTCCTCGGGCTACAAGCTGGGCTCAATCCTTCCCCCACAGGGCGTTGCTTTTGACGTCTCCGAGCTCCCTGCCCGCTTCCGCCGCCAGCCTCTCGACCTGAGCGAAATTGAGGCCATCGAGTCCGGCGGCGCCGCCATCCTTGGTTAAATGAGCTTGTGTGGCAGATAGTGGATGAGAAAAGATGGGAGTCCCAAACGTATGATGTGATGGGACGAGAGGAGAAAAAACTTTCTACATTGTTTTAATAACGACTTCTACGACAAAACGGCGTACCTCGGCGCTGACGCATGATCAGAAAGCGAGGTCTTGTGTACGATGATACTGAACATTGGGGGGAATAGGTGTGTTGGCACGAGGACCAGAGGAAATGTCTGCTACTTTGAGGATGTCATCAAAGATCAGAATGAGACGGCGAGGAGGTTGCTGCTTCACGCGTGGTGGCTGTTGGGCTCGGCATGCGCTACAACTTATGTAGCGGACTGTTTCTTTTTCATTTCACCTGAGAGGGCTTCGCGATTCTACAGCGAGGGGGGTTTTCACGCCTAGTGGATGCGACTGGTATCGCATCAGGCGCCTCTCCCTGGATTCTCAGCCAAAAGTCTCGAAATATCACCTTTTATCCCTCAACGAGACGGTCGTCATAAAAAGCTGCTTCAATAGAGAGGTGGGCTAGTGCCACAAGGCACAAAAAGTTTGGCCTAGTATTTATGCAAAAAGCCCCTTGATAAAATTTGAAAAATATCTTTTTAAACACGCTGAATGCTCCTTTCAACTCTGTTAACATCTGACATTGTATGTGTATCTGCGCACGCGCGTGAATAATGCTTATTGAGAGATATTACGTACTACTATCTATCACAAACGACTAATTAGACCGGCCGCTGTTAACGCCTGGGCAGCAAATGTGGGACGTGATACTATTACAGCCATTTCTCTGCCTAGCTGTATTTAGTATATGAACGAGAAGCCAGAGTCGGGCTTTCTATTTTAGGAGGAGTCCGGAGTGCATGCATATATATACGCCATGTATACGGAGTATTGGCTGAACACATCACATATACATAGGAGCGATATATCGTGAAAGTCCAATTAAACAAAATGATTGGGCCCGGGGCTGCAGTCTGGGGTGCATACAGTGCATGATAAGCCCCAGTACTGTCCTAGAGCTTATCATATCCATATGTTTCTACAGTGCCCAGCGCACTAAGCTGTCTTAGTGCTGTGCTCTGCTCTTTATCGGCCGCCCCACCTCACGATAATGACATCCACGTCGTCTCTATCGCCGCTGGTGACAGGAGCTTGAAGCTCTCTATTTCGCCAACTTCGCATTCCCATGGAGGCGTCACCGCTGACCCGCCAACCTCAGCCGGAGGTCTTCGTCCCCAAGATTATCGAGCTCTATTCAACCCTTTTCAAGGTTTGCCCAGCGCCCCCCTTTCTGGTTGACCGTGGTGTCAAATGAGACCATCTTAGCTAAATCGGCCTGCCGCCAAAGGTATTCCAACTTCCGGATGTAGTTGCTTTGCGCTATGCAACGCGCCCGCGCTGATTCGAAGACGAACGCACTAGGACGACGATGACGGCGACAAATCGGAAGGCTTCTGGCGGGAGTTTTTCCTGCTGCGACCCGATCGGCCGACGCTGAGGAAGATACTAAACGACATCCATCCGGCCGACTTGCTGCTCTTGGAGGGGCGCACGAGGGAGCTCTTCAGCAAGGCAATTGCGGCGGTTAAGGATGGCAAGGGCTCAGCTCCTTTATATGCTCTTGATGTACGCAGTTCTACGGCATTGATTCGAGACTCGATTTGCTGCTAGACAAGGACGAATCGCTAACATCTTGGAATGGATAGACCCTGAGCGTCTTCCTCGCCTGCGTGCTGACGAAGAAGCACTCACACCCGAGTTCCGACATTATAACAATATTGGCCGGCCTTGATCACGTCGATACGGTGTTTACGGATTTTGTGAGCACTCTTGATGGGATTATACGAAATGGGACAAACCGTGTGTACACCTGTCATCAAATTGCGTAACGAGTGCTGTAAGCTGACGGATGGTGCGATGGAGTGGATCTGCGCCACAAGGCTATCGAGGTGCTGCTGGCTGTCTCGGCTGGAGCATATCAGACGACGCTTCTGACGTACATGATACAGAGGGACTTGTTCCCTTCTATTATGAAGGTGCGTAGGGCGGCAAAATTGAGATGCGAGCTTGACATGAAGAGTTGTTGCTGAAATTTCGTCTATTGCTTATTCTAGTTTATCCAAAGCTCGGAGCAACCTGACCAAGACTTGGAACCGTTTACTCTTCTGGGAATACTTGCCAACTACAATAAGTTTGAATTCCAAAACCCATATCAGCTGCGGTTAAACGACTTTGTCAATGAGGCGGTCATTCAGAAGGTTGTTCGTTGCATCGGAAATGCATGCCAGGCACTGCGATCCGATTACATCGACATCCAGGACGACCTCCCCGAGGGCTGGACGTTGAGCAGCACTTTGAACATGATTGGCTTGGGAGTCATTTCGCCAGGGCCAAAACCTGAGAAGAAGCCTGTGTATGACGCGGCGACGGCAAAACAGCTGTTTACAAAATTGTAAGTAATGACTCGGCCCTCATCAGAGGCAAACCGCAACCGTTATCGTGGCAGAATCCTGACATTATCTTACTTCTAGGCCCGGCCAAACTGCTGCTATTCTCCTAGCTACATATGATTTCTCCCATGCTAATAAGCTGTTTTGCTTCCATCTCGTGACTTTACCCAGCGAAAAAGAACACGAGCGCCCAATGTCTAGCTTCTTGTCACTCACGTCCTATCTTCTACAGCACTCTCACCTGTCGTCCCGAGCAACGTACTATGCGCATCTGAACCTAATGGTGCTGCGTCTTCTTATTGAAGACCCGGCCATTTGCAAGAAAATTTGCAGCGACGAATCCAAGACACATGTACGGCTTTGTCGGCAGCGCCCACCGTATCTACCCTTGGTCAAAGGGGATCGAGTGCTTGCCACGTGCGTCCTCGACACGATGCTGGATGGTATTAATCACAACTTGAAGAGACGGTTGGATGTCAGTCTCTACGTCCTCTGCCTGGGCATCATGCTCCGAATCATCTCCTATCTTTCACGGTCACGAACGCGATTGAGTTATCATTGGTCCGAGTTTTTCCGGTCTCTGCTCTCGCTTATCCGTTTCCTCAACACGTATGCCTCGGATTTGAAAGACTTGCAGCATATCGAAACCGTCCTCGACCACGTCGTTAATCTGGTAGCGTTATCATTATCCGCTGGTGAAGCGTTCCTACCAACTCCCGCCGCATACGACGACCTCTTCTACAAAGTCTTTGAGTCTGGCGAGGTCCTCACATCTTTCAAAGAAAACTATCGGCTGGGGAACCGCAACAGCAACTCAATCGACACGCTAATCAACGTCAGCGCGCACTACAAACAAATGCTGACAGAGAGAGGCCCCTCGGAGAAGAAGCTGCCAGCCAATCTGACAACACACCAGGTGGCCGAGGTTATCAAGCAAGGCTACGAGACGCTGAGTATCCAGGCCAAGGAAGGATTGGATGGGTGGGAGAGATATCGAGAGGCGGACGAGAAGATTTTGTTGAAAAAGCTGGGCAGGACGGCTGTTGGAGATGTGATGGGCATGGTGGAGCGACAAAATTACTGAGCCTGATTTGCTTTCTGATTAGTATATAGTATCAAAGATTTTCTTTCCCCCTTTTGTTCTTGAGCTACTAGTAGTAGTATTAGTGTCATTAATATCAAGTTATAGTATCTGTGTTTCTCTTTTGGGGTTGTTTTCACGACCTTTTTGCTGACGGACGTTGATCATGTCTCAGCCATATCACGGGATGAGAAGTGTATAAAACATCCACCACCTGCACAACTTGAGCCGAGTCCCACATCCATTTCCTCTTTACTCTCCACGCTATGAGCAGTCTCCTTTTTGGCTAGGCCAGCAACTACTGCACCAAAAAGCAGCACAAGCAGTCAAGCTGACCGCACATTTGATCAAGCCCAAGGCTCAAAAATCCGGCCTCCTGGCCGGTATCCGGTACTCGGCGCCCGCTAAATCTCCACCCACCCAAAAAAAAAAAAAAAAAAAAAGCCTCTTGCATCCGATCTAGATTGAGAAAGATGTAGTAAGCCCTTGCTTGTACATATACAGCAGTAGTTTGGTATTGTCGTATCATCATGTTCCTCGCCTCGTCTTAGACTTCCCGATTTTGCGTGTCCGCGTGGAGAAGCCGTAGGCCTTAGTGGGCGGGCCCCCGCCCCCCTTGTGTGTTGTAGTTCGCCTATGAGAAAATAGGCAGGGAGCCAATGTATCGGTAGCCTAACTTGGGGTAGCTATCAAGGAACCTCTTTTTTTTTTTTTTTCCTCACTGTCGAGAAATATCAACTGAATCGTTTCAGCCTCTTTGCCCCCCCTTCTTTAAACTTGACTCACTTTCTCTCTCTATATATATATATTTCCGTTTAGTTTATATACATCTTCGTATGTTATGTCTTTAACTTTTTATTTTCTCTCTCCTCTTCTCTTCACTCTCAGCTCAGCTCGTATTATCCTTTCCCCCCGGCTCGATTTCCAGTCCTCCCCACACCGACAGGACCCCACGCCTCACTCCGATTACAAGCCGTCCGTAGGGCGCAGGTGGCCCGCCATTGCCGCTGAGCCATGTGTCACGGGAAGCCAAAATCATGTCCATGTCAAAAAGTTTAGGGCGCGCATGTCAACGACATGTTAAATATGATCCAGCGCGGCCCCCCATCCCGCCGTCCATGGAACTTCCGTTGAGTTAATGAGAGAGAGAGAAGAAGAAAAAATTGGTAAGTTTTGTTTTCTATGCCCATGCTTTTTTTTTTTTTTTCCTAGTTTTCGCTTTTACAACAAGTGAGAAGAGGTAAACGAGAAAAAGGTGAAGAAAACATGCACACAACCCCTGCAGCCCACATATAATTTCGTCTTCTCAGACAAGCAAACGAAAAGAATGAGAGAAAGAAGGAAAGAAAGACTTCTGTATTCATTCATTATTGTTCTTAACCCCCTTTCCTTCATCTAATCTTTTAGTCTTTATCCAGCTCCTCTCATCCAAGTAACCCGATAAACAGACTTCCATCCACCATATCAATGGGATGATATCAAATTCTCATTTTTGGAGGAGACCGATACGAACTCGACATCGACATAGCGCCATCATGTCTGCCTTACCCTTTCCAGCTCTTTGCCATCCTTACCCTGTCGGCTTCGTCTACAGCCGTCATGTGCAGCTCGTAACAAGCAACACATCGACAAAACTAAATCGAGACCTGTCAGTAACCAAGGGCGTCGAGCAAAATTAGCAATTTCACCTGCGCCGCTTTTCAAACCTATACCGACTTCGGCTTTGACAAAGATATCACAAAATAAAGAAACTTGGGTTTTCTTTTATGGTTCGATAAGATTACATGTATGAACAGGTATATATTTATTTGATTCCCATCCCCGTTGGAGACTTGCTTACAGCCGCCGTGGTATCTTGTTGCATAATAGAAATAAAAGCTAATTGTTTACAGGAAGAAGTCGCCCACAGCATCATGGGCGTGGTTGCATATACAGCGTTACATCATCGTCATCTGGATTCCCTCCGCCTCGCTACATCCAGTCTGCACCCCACATGGTGCCATACTGTATCGACGGAGGAACACATCTGTTGAATGAGAAAAAAAGAGAAGATAAAAGAAATTTATCATCGAGACTGTGGTCTCTTAGAACATGTGGTGGAGAAGTCGTCTCCATGCAGGCATAGCAGCAAGGGCTGCGCGCTCAGCGTTGATCTGGTCCCAGTCAAACTCACGGAGGCCGGTATCGACATCAATGTTCTTAGTTCTCAGGAAAGGCTCGCGCTTCCAAACCCAGCCGATGAACCAGAAGAAGAGGACGACGGGTGCGGCCAGATACTGCATGAAGAAGTCGCTTGCGGTACCCACACCTGATTCACCGGGAGGTGCTGCAATAGCGGTATAGAACTAAAGCCAGAGAGGTTAGTAAAATGTCTCCTTTTTTTTCAGTAGCAGGTATGGGGGATGTATTTTCTTACCTGGGCCATCAGGACAATGACGCAGATGAAAAGGCCGAGATATGAGCCATAGACGCCGCCAGCAGCCTTGAACGGAATCTCATCCAGAGTGTGGCCATGGTACTTCCAGGCTTTGCGGAAACGAATGTGGGCAAAGCAGACGGAGCCCCAAGTGAAGAGAGCAGCCAAACCGGAGATGGCAAGAAGCCAGTCGAAGACAACGGGGCCGGTAGCGTCCAAGCTGACGTAGGCGATGAAGCCGAACAGGATGAGGACAATGACGGAGGGCAGGGGGCGGCCAGACTTGTCGATGTAGGTGAAGAGCTTGGGAGCATAGCCCTGCTGAGCCAAAGCGGTCAGGGTTCGGGATCCACCATACACACCAGAGACACCGATGGACAAGACGGAGGCGAGAATGACGAGGTTCATGAAGTGGTCGAAACCCTTCAAGCCAGCGTACTTGCCGACAAGCACAAAGGGAGAGGCCTTGGAGTCAGAGTAAGCGGCGGAAGAGAGCAGAGCGGGATCATCGCTGTTAATCAGCAGTCCGACGAAGAAGAGACCAAGGATGTAAAAGACGGTAATACGCCAGAAGACCTGCTTGATAGCACCGGGCATGTTCTTGGTTGGGTTGGAAGACTCAGCAGCGGCAAGACCGACCAGCTCAGTACCGGAGAAGGAGAAGGCAGCAGTGACGAAGACAGAGCAGAAACCCTTGAAGCCATTCTTGAACGCGCCGGGGTCATACCAGTATCGGGCACCCCAGTACTCGTTGTATCGGCCATCCTTGGGACCACCGCCCAGGACAAGGACAAAAGCGATGATCATGAAGACGACAGTGGCGGCCAACTTGAAGCATGATGCCCAAAACTCCTCTTCAGCGTAGCCGAGAGCGCCAAACAAGTTGATGATGATGATGACTCCGAGGAAGAGACTGATCCAAGCGGCGGTGGTGATCTCTGAGTTCCAGTACGAAATCGTAATACCACAAACTGTCAACTCAAGCGGAAGAACGGCAGCCCACTGAAAAACATAGTTCCAGCCCATGGCGAAACCCCAGGCGGGATCGATGAAACGAGCAGAGTATGTGTAGAAAGAACCAGAGACGGGGTACATGATGGCGAGTTCACCGAGAGCATACACTATTGGAGCCTTGTCAGATCACAGTCTTACTGGGTACAGATCGTGCGACGAATAGCACTTACCGACGTTGAACATCATGATACCGATAATGAGGAAGTCGACAAAGAGAGAACCAGGGCCCTGTAATACAAGACATGATTAGCAACAGGGTTTGGTTGACTTCCAGCTGGCGCCAAGAAGAGGAAGAGTTCACAAGGACAGAATTGTCGGGAATGAGAGGACAAAAAGGAAGGAAAAAAAACTTACACCTTTGGCCAGAGCACCGCCTGAGCCGACGAAGAAACCAGCACCAATGGAACCGCCAATGGCAATCATGTGAAGATGGCGAGCCTTCATGGGACGCTCAAGTTCGACAATGCCCGCACCATAGTGCTTCTTCTTGAAGGAGTCGATGTTGAGGCCATTGCGCGTGAACCAGTTGGGGTCGCGGTCAGGACCCTCGCTGGGGATGACTGTCGTGCTGGCCTGGTAGTCGACGACATTGTCTCCCTTCTCGGGAGGAGTGACGTTGCCACTCTCCTCTTTAGAAGACATGATGAAGGCTTTAGAGTTGCTCTTCTTGTGTCTGTCTGTCTGTCTCGTTGAGGGTGAAGAAGAAGGGGAGAGAAGAGGGAGGAGGTGAGGAAAAGAAGAGAAGAGATGAGGAGAGATGAGGGGGACAATTGGTCTAAATAAAGAAAAGATGCAGTTGGGGACCAGTCGACAACCCTCTGGACCGAGTGAGGCAGGGATACCGATTGAGAGGGCGGTGTCGACAAGGAGGGCCGGGAAGGGACAATTTATGCATGGAAGCCTTCGCAGGAACCAAAAGGACCCCAAAGGCCGTTGCACCAGAAAGTCGTGGCTCTGGATCTGGGTGCTGGCGCTGGTCTTGGTGTTGGCGCTATGGCCGGGGTGGCAGAGGGGCGATTTTGGAGGCTTGCTTTTGGTGTGTGAGGCTAGCGGAGTTGGAGGCTTTTAGCTTCGCAGCTCTTTTTCTAGGCTGAGAGAGTAAAGCTACCGGGGGGGTGAGGCGAGGAAACGATCCCAGCGGCGAGGGTGCGGAAAGCGAAAGAGAGAGCAGGAGGAGGGGACCGAGGGATCCTGCCTTGACCGTGGAGCAAGCGAGGCGGAAGGTACCTGGACCTGGCCTGGCCTGGCCTGGGCCTCGGGGAGATCCAAACAGCCCACGGTATTGACGCTTGCATCGTATCGCTCACTCGCCGTCGTTTTCTTTCTGGACGAGGTGAGCACCAGCAGCGGTACCAGCAGCGGCACATGCAGCAGGTACTACTACTGTAAGGTATAGTATGCAGAGCCAAGAGCAAAAGGCCCTTTCTCTCCTGTCTGCTGCAGGATACCGTTTTTGTCTTGCCTTGCCTTGCCTTGTCCCCTATATGGATGGGATGGGGCTGCTGCACGTCCAGCGTGCTGTACAGTACCTATAACCTATACAGCCGCAGCACATGGGCTAAGCATGAGAGTGATGGATTGATCAACCCGTCGGCAGCAAAGTACCAGTACCAGCGCTTTGCTCGCTCGCACCCGGCTGGACCATGGCCTTGGTACCACTGCCACACCAGTGCGCAAAAAGAGCCAAGGCGACGGAAGCACGCTGCTGCGACCCCCAATCCTTGTCTCTCGTCTGAGACTACTGCACAGGAACCTCGTACATGTGCCATAGCGCAGAAGCTGCAGGCATAAGGTACATGTACAGACACTACAAACAGTACGACGGAGGACTATCAGCTGCTGGTACGTAGCACGGGAGCACACAGGCACAACTGCCTGCTGCTCATGTATACAGACAGCACTTGGTGCAGCAGGCTGGCTCATAAACACAGTACGAGCGCTACGCCATCCAGTATGGCGCATATCATATCTCCAACGCCGTCACTTGGGCAATCGGTAGCCCAGTCTATTACGCGCGTGCTGCATCCTGGTCCCGGTCGAGGGAAGGCCCCGCACCCCCTTGCCTCTGGGCCTTTTTCCCCAATCATGGCTGCATTGAGCATCTGGTGGTGCAGATCTTGGCGGCCCTTGTGTTTGCCCGAAACCAGACGGCAGTCCCAGCGATGGTGCTAGCAGCGCCTACTGTGCTGTGCTGCTGCCAGGAGCTAGGAACGACTGCCTTGTCCACAGTGCTTATCGTCTCTGGCTCGCGCAATGAATTGGATGGCTACCAAGGATGCAATCTCATGGTACCTATTACTCCGTAGCCCATGCATCCATCTATTCATACAGTAGTATTGGTGAGCCACGTTCCCTGCTGCCTGTGCGTTTATCATGTCCCCCGCACCATGCATCGATTATGATTATCAAATCGTTTCGCTGCCGCTATCAGTGGATGCCGCGTGACGCTAGCAGCGAACCAGATAGTGCTCGGAGCCCGCTGTCTCTACGGGGAAGTTGGGGGTTGGAGGCTGCCGGCCTTCTTTTAGTGGTCTCTGGCTGCCGCGCTAGGGCGTGGAGATGCTAGCGCGACGGGGCAGTGGCGCAAGCGACATTTACTCCAAGCCCCAGGCCGCAAATAAGGCTAGTCCGCCAATTGGGTGGTCGCACAATCCCTGCGCGTGCCTCTTGCACAGTTGCAGAGACTCGAGTCGAGGTGCAGCGCAACGTCTGGCGATGCTTCGGGCGTCTGGTTGCTAGAGCGTACGGGCGAGCGATGCTGTTTGACTCTAATTCTGTAGCGCACGCAGCCTCGTGGCGACAATGCGCATGGCAACGCTGATCACTGCTACGTACATGCCAGCACCTGCATACACAGCACAATGCATATCTGAATCGAGGTGTCATTTGCCTGGGTCTCTGTTCTGGATCTCGGCGAGGACCCTTATGCGGTACCTGGCCTCCAGCATCTGTTGCTGCTACCTCACGGTACCACCAGTGCGAATTACTCCGCACGCCGCTTGCCATTTGCTGTCAACCATGGGCTATGGCGATTGGGATAGGCTTTTTTTGTAATACATATACTACATATACTACCTACTAACATGTACAGGATGTGGCAGCCGCGAGCACTAGCAGAGACAGCTGCTTCGCCTCGTAGAAGGAATACGCAGGCACTATGCACAAGCCCAGAATCCTGTCCACTCCATAGGTACTCGACTCACATTCGACTCATGCATTGACTTGATATCAAGCTAGCCACGGCCATTTCAAGTACATATCACCATCTGCCATCAGAGACTAGAAACGCCTCACGCCATCTGCTGGGCTCGATCAACCAACTTACTCGTGTTAGCCTGTGCTCAGCTCTCGTTCGGGCCTCTGGAGCACTCCGCTGCATCCAGATCGCTCACACAGCTGTCCAGACATCACCAGACTCGTCTCCGCAATGGTTCCATTTCTCTCCAGCCAGCCTGGCTGCCATCTTGTCACACTCCCCTTCCAAGCTTCTTTGCCCACGCCACATGGCTCAAATTCGCCTCGATGATACCGCCCGCTGCAGGACAGCCTTGCTGCTGATAGCCATGCTGCCATGCCATCCAGCGATAGGCGTGTGATTGGTCCGAAATCCCATCAGCTCGTTCACGGCCCAGCCGACAGCTAGAAGCCAGCCAACTTTTGCCTCGTCGCTTGTCTCATACCGCTACAGCAAAAAGGTAGCACATACACCGATCACACACCGGCTGCTGGCGTCATTATGAAAGCCTTGCCTAGCACATCAACCGCGGCGTCGCCTGTGGTAGGCCCAAGGACAGACACCCTGGTCCCTAGGCCTCCACACACCATGATAGGACGACAGCGTGTGGTTGGTGGTTGCATCCCCGCGCAGCCGGTTTATCTATTCTATTCAAGCTTAGCACTATACACGGCTCGCCATTGGATCTGATGCCCTCCCGGTGGCGATGTGGGCTTCCATGAAGCATTCTAGCAAGCTTCTGCCCTGCTGACCTGCCATTCCTGGCCCAAAGCTGTCGTCTTGGCCCGAAGCGACGGCGGGTCGCATCTTGTCTGCTCTGCATGCTCTGCTCCGTTCTGGTATCATCGCCGACCATCCAATTTCACAAGTCGCGGGGCGAACACGAGTCGTGAGCCAGCAGAGGCCCGCTGCTTCAAAGACAGGAACAGGACCGTCTGCTCACTTTTTCGCAACTTACATATCTGCTCTACATAATATAAACACAGCAAGTGCTGCTTATCTGCCTAGGGCAAGGGAGAGGCCAATAATCTACCTCTGACCGAAGAGCATGGCCCAGTCTTTCCAGGGGTCTTTGCTCTCTTTTCTGGCATTGCTCCGGAGGGAATGCTACTACTACTAATTATCCAGTAAGCTCGCAGTAGTCAACTGCGCTTTGACATCCTGGTCGTCATTCGGGCACGTCGCCCGCAGGCTTCAAATTCGTTGTATCCCTACAGCCAGCCCAATTTCCACGCACATGGTTTACTTTCCAACTTGCAGCGCCTCTTTTCTCATCGCGTATTGACGAGACGTACAAAGTATGGTCATGGCCAAGCGCTAGCGACATATAATCAGCCTCAGCAGGGCTATTGGGGAGCACAATGGCCATTTTTGCCTCCCGTGACAGATGAGTGAAGTCTAGCTTAACGCTACCACCAAGATCTTGGCGATGCTTGTTTCTCGCCTCGCCCAGCAACCCCATCCAGGCCAGCGTCCCTAGATTGCAGGCACACGCGGCGCAGAGTAGTTCTATCTGCTGTATCACTAGTGGCGCCTAGCAGACTTACGACGCATAACTACCTGTCGTAGCCCTTCAGGTGTCTGCGAACTGACCATGCCGCTAGTACAAATGCGTAGGCCGCGATAACAATCGTGGGTTGACCGTCGACCCTGCTAAGAGTCCGATTCACCTGAATTGCAACTCCCGTTCTTCTCCAGATGGACACGCCAGAACCTTGAATCATTTAGAATGCTTTTAGCGCTCTCCAACTACAGTAGCTTGTGGCGCTATGCCTTTTGCTTCGTCCGGCTAACACGACCCCTCCCTCATGATAGCCGAGGGCACTTGAGGCATCCCAGGGCAGAGGACTGTCCGCCACAAGCCCGAATGCCAACACTAGAATGCGACATTTTTTCTAGAAGCCCGGTTAACACCTAGATGGCGCTATTAGCAGGAGGTTGTTTTATCCCGTGATGACACCACATCCGCGCAGGAAGGCTGCTAACCCAGAGTGCCTGATTGGCTGGAGGCCTTGCTGCTCGATGCCCTCGACTCCATGCCGTCCTTGGAGCGGATGACTGGCTGTCCCTGCTTACTAGCGTCGTTTTCGTATCTCTTCTCAGCTAAGATATCAATCTAAACGTGCGTATTTGGATACTACTGTCACTAGATACGAAACTTGGCGGTACACACGGACCACGAACAGCTCATATGCTCGACTAGTCTGGGGTGAAGTGGCTCGTTGGCGAGAATCAAGAGCCACAGCTGGGCGATAACACATGTCAAGTGGAGAGAGAATGGATTGAATCTCGGCATCGCAGAGGCAGCAATGCACGTGCGCTCTATCCACTTGCAGTGGCACGGTTCGGCTGACGTCTCGACCTCGAATATGGAGCAGCAGCCGCTGTCTCAACGGTTTTTCGTTGCATGGATATCGGGACGATAGCCCTGATGCTACATACATCACCGAGCACACGTTGGCAGTGCGGATCATATCTACGGCGCCTCACTTAACCTACGGACCTAGTCAGCATCGCCCTGCCGCCCGCAGGAACAGCCTTTGTTGGTGCGCCAAAGTAGCTTGCAGGACGTGCCTTGCCTAGCTGGCCTTCTGCCGCTTCTACTGCTATGTATCGAAGCGATTTCTGCCACCCCCGCAAAGCACCAAATTCTCCGTAGGGTAAGGCGGCACGGAGGGCGCATCTTAGGACGGTCTATATTTGTCAACAGGGAGTGACCGTCAGACCTTTGTGTTGTTCTAGAATCGTTGGAAAAGGCTAAACAGCACCGAACGCAGAGCTGATGCCTCACCTTTCCTCAAGCCAGGCGCGGATTGCTTCAGGTGTCATCGGCCAGACACACACTAATGCCTCTCAATATGCAGTCCCCGTATTTCCCGGAAGACGACACCGCTGAATGCTACCATAATAGAGTCCTGCTAAGGCCATGCGAATCTGCTTGACCACTAGGCCTCAGCAACGGCCCTTGCAATCTCATGCCACCTCCCACGACGCTATTGGGATGCTGGACTAATGCCCGCTGCACTTACCTTGCTCCGGCCAGTGTTAGCCGGAAATGGCTAGTTGCTCTCTGCTGGCGTGCCAGATGGACGAATGGCATTGTTGCTCAAGGATCGGCGACGCCGCTCCCTCTGCTAGTGCTTCGTACACAGGATACGCGATTCGGTATGCATATGTATGCCTGTAATGGCGGTGCTAAGACCAAAGCAGACCGAGCTGATAAGCTCAATGTCGCCCTCGTGCCCAAAATTTAGGTACGGAGCAGCCGCGTCTTGACTCGACTGAGTTAGAGAGCTAGGCGAGCGAGCTATTACCCTTCGATTGAAGGACGAAAGTGATGACAATAATCACTAGGCAAGGCGGGAAAGGGCACAAGCTGGCCACGATCAACAAATCGTTCCCGTCTCGAGAAAGCTATGTGTCAACTCCATATCTCGAGGACCCTGCTCCTCCTTGGTGGGTTCCTGTCTTCCCTTTTAGAGGATCCGCCGCGCTTCGACCGAAAGATTAGACAGGGAAGCAGTGACAAGTTTGATTGTTTGTCGAATCTTGTACGAGTCAGTGTCAAATAACGTCAGTCTGTCCTCCATTATTAAGAGAATACTCCGCAATCTCGAACATTAAGCGCTCAAAGCTGAAGGCGATGGCGCGTTTGGTCTCCCCCCCCCCTCATTGGAATCATCAACTCGATATCGCTCCACTGGCATCCATCGCTTATTACAGCTGAGGGAAAACCCCTCATGACGTTCAACTGTCAGCAGCAGCATGCTCCTGGTCGGTCTCATCCAGACAGGGTCGAGCTCCGGGCCGTCAGTGCACCACGCATTGACACCCAATCACCTCTTGGGGAATTCGTGTGCATTTGCGTAGCATCTTTACCATGCCAAGCAGCGGATTGGTTCTTGAAACGCAGCCGCTGAACGACAATCTTCTCCCTCTTTGCGACGCAGATACTACCTATAATGGAACTGTGACCATTCCAAACGGATCACTTTGATTCAAGCTTAAATTGATCAATGCGACGGTGAGTAGTCACAGCTAACTGGGCAGTGTGCTCTTCGTTTTCACAATCTGAGTTCTTCTTAGTCGCCCTCCGCCATGTCTTTCGATAGCGCCTCCCCTCCGCCTCTTCCGTCTCCAAGTCCAGGGAAAGACGGCATTGAATATTTCAACTGTTGCGGAGTAGCTTGCCAGAGTTGCCAGAGTTGACAAAACTCACGATGGGATCATTATGCTTCTCTCGGCTCACCCCTCCCCATGGTGGAGTTTCAATTACGTACAAACTTGCAACTTCGTTGAGCAAAGGCGAGATCCTGGAATCTGGGCAACTCCAGTTTTTACCCCATCGACTAAACGCATGCTCCAAGATTGAAGAGATGCAAATATCTCTTTGTCATGGCAAATCCGGGGCCCCAGGTTTTTGGCAGATGAATCTGGTGGCAAGCAGTCGGGAAGAGGATCCAATGGGTCCAGCCCGTGCCCGTGTGGAAACTTGGTCGAGATCATCGCCACAAATTGAACCTTGGGCGTCAGAGATGCTTTGGTTTCTATTTTGGAGGAGGCTGAACTCAATTAACGAGGAATCCAAGGCCCCGTGCAATCGTAGCGCGACTGCTACATACGACTTACGCGACATCTTGGGGCTCGGCAATTCGCGGCTAAACCCTCCTGCAAACATTCTACGCGCGATCACGAAATTTGCCTTTTTCAGCTGCACCATCATTGTTGCATGTTGCATTTTGATTGGGCACGGTATGGGCTCTTGTTCTTCGATGTGATTAGCCAATGGCGAATATGTTAATTAAATCTCCCCTGTATTTGTTCTTTTGGTGTGGCTTTTGCCACTGACTCATGGGGCAAGCCTTGTTTTTGGGCCGCTGACACTGCTATGTTGCTGTGGCTTCCAGCCACTCCGACAGCCATGCTAGGAGAAATCGAGACGAAAACGGCTTGCAGTTGGATGTATTGCGACAGCTCAATTTTACTGCTGCATGCAGCTTCCGAAGTTATCCGGTGAATATTCAGGGGGGCTGGGGTAAACGCGAGTGACAATCCGACACGGCTCAAGTATCAAGACGAACGCCTTCAGTTTTCAGCCAAGTAGAAAACGAAAGCCAAAGAGAGGAATACGTTCCAACCGTTCATTCTCGATGTTCGAAACCTTCTAGCCTGGGGTTTAAAGTTTTTTCTTCCCCAGACGGGTAGCCAGCCCCCAAAAGAAGGAGGCGCCGCGCTTGGGGGAAGAGAGTTTTCCTCTAAATGCTTCTAATTGCCTATTGAGGGAATTTGGGCGTGCACGTGGCTTGACCGAAGAAGTGGTGTTGTCGCTTCTCATCGGGGCATTTGCTCTTTTCAACATTTCGGTTTCCGCGCGGCTGGTGGCAAATGGAAAGGATTCCGCTTTGCACCTCGATCTCTGCTGGCGTGTCATTTTGAACGCGGCTTATTCGCCCATTCATCTTTTTATGCTTGTTTGCCAAACTTTGCTAGTTGTATTTTTCTTTGCCTCGTGTTCGAGATCTTGGTTTTCTTGGCTTTTTTCAACGGCCTCGAAAGTAAGTTGGGGGGGGGTGTTTGCCTTTGCTGGAGCAACATGTCCTCTTGTAGTTCTGTAGCTTGGTCCAGATGCTATCATGCCAAGAATTGGGAGACGGAGCGTTTTCCCCGCTGCAATGGCTACGGCGAAGAGGTAAGAATACTGTTTGTCTAGCATTGTAAGCAATGGTGGGTGTGTATGTCGTCCGTAGAATGTTTTGTAAGCTTCTACTCCCAGCATAATAGAGATTCCTTTGGCGGCCATTCCGATATTAGAGAGAACATCGAGAAATATTTTTATTTTAGGTTTTAACGGAATTTATGACTCGATAGATTGCGTCCTTTTCTACGGGGAATAGTCACTATGGCCAAGTAAGTTAACCAGTTTATTTGTATGAATCAAAGGCGAGAATCCATCTCTTTTGAGTCAATCCTTCCTTCTGTTTCTGCACAGAATATGGTCTAGTACTCCGAATCTTCTACTGGGGAGACAAGTCCAACTCAGGCAAATAGGGGCTTTCTTCTCGATTTCCAAGGGTACTAGCTTATCTGCTGGCGAAGATTATAATTACTCAAGTCACTGGTGTCCTTGATATGATGGTTCAATAAGGACGAGGCAGACTTGATGCTATAAGTTATTAGCAATTTTGGGGACGAAAAGAATACTATCATACGCACAAACTATCAAATTACTTTGCAGTTGAGCTAAGAATTTATCCTCAGAGATCTAAAAGAAAGCAGCCATCTTCCACTAGTTAAGATTGCCTTTCCAAAACTGCTATTAGCTATCAGAATGACATATGAACATCGGGTAAGATTTGACTTACAACAGCCAGGCCGAAATCTCGGCTATATCACAAGAAGCGGCAATCTTCTCCCTCTATTCTTCAATTACGGAACACTTATATTCTATAGCTGCTGGCAAACGTGTTATTAGCTATTGATACGGGAGAAATGTGGTTCATTCTCGCTTTGCATGGCCTAGTCTTGTAATCCATTGCTTACCCTGCACTTTTGCACGTAGAACAACATTACTAGCGATTCAACACTCATGTAGATGAATTCTCACAAAAATAAAAGCCGTTTGACACTCTCTTTGCCTGCAACTTTTTTTTNTTTTGCATTCAGCGATATAATCTTTATCTTGCTATTAAACAAGTATAGCTACAACATACTTGGTCCAGCTCAAGGCCTCGGATATATAGGAAAATGAGTACTTCAATTTATCAGCCCAACCGAAGAGTCGCTCTGTGACTTATTTATTCATTTACAAAGCAAACGCGAGAGTAGAATATGTATTTTAGGTATGAGAAGCTCCTTCACCACGCCATTTCCTTTCCCGGTTTCGTGTTACACGGACAATATATCCTCAACTGCGGTAACAGAGGCAATGCACGCTTTAATCATTAAATCGGCAGGATCCCATCGACTGCTTTATACTGCCGTTTTCCATCTTTTGTTCGTGTCCATGTAAAATTCCAACTCTCTCCCTTTTTATACGCCCCATGAACCAACCCCGCACCAACTAACGCTTGCGCAATTTCCACTATCAGCTATACCACTGCGGCCACAGCAAAACATATTACACCACCTCCACATCAGATTATACTACTACAACATTTAAAAAAAAACCCGCAAAAAATAAAATGCCAAGACAGGGACTTGAACCCTGGAATCTCTCGATAATGGTGTCAATTAATTATACTTAAAACCATCGCCTTAACCACTCGGCCATCTTGGCTAAAAGCGCTAATTAGCGCTAACGCGAGTTGCGGGTTTCTATAAGGAAGCTTCATCCACGAGAGATGCCACTGCGTATATTTTTGCTGTAGCGTGAGAATAGAAGCTGATTAAGTAGATTTTCAGATTGGTTTTGCAGCTGTTATTATCTGTTTTGGGGAGGAAACGAAATATAAAGTTTGGTGGTGGGTGAAATGCAGCATATAAGGAATAGAGAGCCCCGGAGGGCAGATGACATCCAGTGTGAGCAACAGCATCCAAGAACAAAATCGCTATTAGTACCATCAGTAATTGATATGAGGAGTATTGAATCTTATTATCTTTTATTTATTCTTTTATTTATTCAACTCCCATATGGGGATCTCCCAACATTTCAGCATATGGGGCTGTATAGATGGAGCGAGTGAAATCGACATTCTTTTCAAGCCTCTCCCGCAGCTACGAGCCGCAGAAGGGAGTTAATATCGCCAAATTGCGCGTTCTCTGATGACCGAAATAAATGACTGAGAATTCTGGAAACAGCCAGGTTGACATGAAAGGACATAGTGTAAAGACAAATGGTCCACATCCGATAAAGTCGTAGGGTAGTAGTTCATGTATCAGAATCTCATGCCACTTTATGTCCTCGAATATTCTAATTGACATAAAACAAAGACGCATTCAATAAAAAGTTCCTACTTCGACATCTTTAATCAAGTTTTGGGAAATATAGCTCGTCGGCCCCTTTGAGAAGCACTCATTGATAACCGCCTGGTCAAGTTTATACGATCGGTCCCTCCTTTATGACGGGAATATCCAAATATATCAGAACAATCGATGAACTTGATGTTTTTAATCGTCATTTCAAGCAATATCTATGCGTAACTACCCTTTATTCTTTATTTAAGCTCATTTAGGCAAGTATTGTTGAAAGTTCATCGTCGGCGGGGGGGGTTGGTTAGTAGTAATACAATGATATAAAGAGATGACAGCCAGATGCTTTGCGCGACTCTTTAGAGACTAAGTTAATAAATTAGACCTATGAGTTTACGAGGTATGATGATCATGTTTCGTATATGTTAAACAATTTCATCATTCCAGCCCATTCAACGCCATCTCGGCCAGCCATGGCATATTTACGCTATAACGCACTTGTAAAGTGAAGATTGAAGTTAGACAAGACGCCGATAACTTGTATGATTCCAGAGATGAGATGAAAGTTTACGGTGTGCCAATCGTGAGATATGCTGGCATGGCTGATGTAAAGACGATAGAGTCTAGCCTACCATGTGGCATTGATATGTGGTGATCGCTCCTATATGCCCAGTAGCATAGTCGTTGTATAAGAGCCCATAAATTAGACGTGTTAACTTTCAGTAAGAGAAGAAGAATTATTCTTTGCCAGAAATCACCGTTAATGAAAGTATACACGCAACCTGGACCTCAAAATTGGCAAGTTGCTAGTGTTTGCGCAAGTTCACCCATGGTTTAGTTCATGGCACACGAGGTATAACTATTGAGCTTCCGCTACAGGTTCCTGATAATTCGCTGCTTACAAGCTCTTCTTATATGACCTTGATGATTCAGATGTAAAGGGCAATCATGCCGCACTAGGCCTGGATAACGTATTGCCTACCTAGCTGAAATACATGCAATAAAGATACTAGCATATACCTGAGTATTTAAAGTTCAATGACGTTTGCATTCTAACGCTGTCCTTTATCTTACGCTTCTTATTCTCTCTGGAAATGCACTCTGGGAAGTCTTTACAATAGACATCGTTCAAGAATACGGAAAGAGAGGCTTTGTACGGATGCCAATACGAGCAAGCCATATACAAATGCTAGTAGACTCTCTACGTTCATCTGAAGTCGTTGATAGCGAACACGATCTCTCCGAGACGTTCGGCGAACCGGCGAGCAATTTGGACAGCATAGTAATTTGTTGCCGTAAATAATAGAGAATATGAGCATACCAGCCATGCTAAATCTTCAACTTTTAATTTGATACGCTAGTATGTAGTAGATGACAACTTTTGCAACTGCTTCTCAAGCTAGTATGTTGTAAAGGTCCATTGAAGCATAAAACAAAAACTAAACTTAAATAATAAATGATGGTTGTCACTTCTTTCCAGACTCCAATCTCCCACGCGTGTATTGTTAAGCGTATGTCATATCAACTCTCGTAAATGTCTCTTGGCCACGTAATGCTCTCCCCGGATAAGGGATTCCCCGGATCAGAAGGGAGTACCAGAGACGTCTGTCGTGCGTATTATGAGTCCTAGTACTACAAAGTACACGAATAAAGCACAGATCAATGCCCCCCCCGGCCAATTGTGCAGCTCTAACGGAAAGTCTCCGGGCCCTTTGGCTACCATTCACATAGATAGGCAAGGGTCTCTTTTCCAACGTGACAGGTGACAAATGACAGACTGGGGAAAAGCAAAGCTGTGATTACGTACGGAACCGTTGGGATTGAAACAAAAAGCCTTTCATTCAGCTGAGTCGTGCTCCATATTCTGACT